AAGGTGATCAAAGGAAGAGACTGAGGTTCTTCCTTGGACTTCTTAGTTTTATTTCTACCATCTGTATATTTATTTACAAACGATTTACAGGATGTAGATATCAGAAGTTATTTGAAACTCCAATTCCTTTTTTGCCTTGTGTGTGTTCATTTCGTTGTCCAATAATAAGAATTAATAACTGTATCAACACTTGTTTAGGGAAACTTCACAAGTGGCAACCCCTGTGATGCATTAGCTACTTGAACTATTGGCCAGCTTGATTCTGTATTCAAAAGGAGCATACCAAATTACTTGTGGGAGGGGCTTATTAATATATATATTCAGACTTATGAAAGATACTGGTTTTAGTTCCCATATCACATCATGTCTTAAGGAGATCTTCAGGTGTTAGGGGATTGGGAAATCTAAATACGACAATAATTTAGAGATACTTGGTGTTTTTTAAATCTGGTGCTTTTGTGCATAATACATTACATTGGCCCTGAAAGAATATACCACTATAATCTTCCTTCTACGTAAGGGAGAAAAAAAGATGATATGTGATGTCTTTCATAATGGACAAGAGACGTATGTCCATGGCGATACTACGAATGTGGTACTTATTGATATTATAATCTGATAATTTATTTTTTAATGTGTTTTTAAGCTGTATATTTTTTATTGATAGGTGAACAATATTGCCAAGACTTATATAAATAGATTAGGAAAGATAGATATTCAATGAATCGCTAGTATATTCGCCAAATTAAAGAATGCTACAATTACTGTTAAATGATATTACTCCAATAATGCTGTACAGATGGGAAAGCATATCTTTAAAGCATTCATTGTGGGAGGCATGTATAAAATGATAGTTCTCAATTGATGTCACCTTGAAGATGTATAAATGAACTGAGAGTTTAGAGGAAGAGAAGGAAAAAAATGAGTTTATCATTTGTGTCTTGCTGGATGAATTCCATTTGAACACATCAAGAAAGTATGCAAATATATTGAAATGCCATCACACAAGGGCATAACATGATTTTAAACAGGTACTTGGTGCTATGGACAAGGTCGTACAATGAAGTATCATTTCAGACAACAGAGTAATGAAACAACCGTTTAGATCAAGTACATGTAATTTGTGAAATCATGTAATGGATCAATTTTATTGTTAACCCTGCGCATCCTGCGTTGGATCAAATTTATTGTGAAGTCATGTCAGAATCGTCTGTCAGATCAATATATTGTGAAACTGTGTAGTATGTACAATCAGGTACGTATCAAGTAAAATGTGAAATCATGTCTCGGATCAAATTCTTTTTGAAATTGTGTAGCACAGTCAGATCAAGTACATTTTAGGCATCAAGAGCAATGTAAAATTATTGATCTGATTCTTTATTTTGTAGAATCAATTATCAGCTAGAGTATTAATGAAATATATTCATGAGATCCAGTATGTTTGTGATATAACTGAAGTGATCAATACATCATGGTAGATCAAATTAAGTAACTGCACTGTGAAGTCATGAATTTGATTTTTGTAGACCATCAATCGGAAGTAGGATTCATTGAATGACTTTTTGACAACAAGCACTATGTGTTTGGACAATGAAGTTGTCAAAGGTCTTTTTGTATGTGAACATGCATATATTCACCTTTTTATGTATTCCTATCTTTAATGTTTTACATGATGTTTTATTGACTTGATCCAGTTGGTAGTAATGTTTGTTTCATATTGAAAGGTTTTAATAGCGACAAGAAGAGACGTGCCTATTTTGTAGAAGATTTTTAAGACATCAAACAAGATAAGCTTGAAGTCTTCACGTATTGATTGTGTATTTGTAGATAATTGAAGAGCCTTCCTTGCCACGATGATATGTGTTTCGATCACGTTTTTGTGTATTTGTATTTTCTCTTTTGACAATCAAGTGTGCTAATTAGTGTTTATTTTAGAGAAAAACACTGAATAATTTAGAGGAAGACCAGTCCCAACTTCATTTAGAAGTTAGGACTTAATTAGGACCATAGCTTTATATCATTGTTAAGAGAAATGCATCATGAAATAAATTGTCAACTTGTTTTGAAGAAAAGAAATCTTCAAAACACTAGCTTTGTTGATGTTAACTTTTCAATCAATAGTTGGGTCTATGCTCCATGAGTTATGACTATTTTATAACAAGTTTTTATCAATGAAAAGTGATCTGAATTGAGACATCTGGTGTCCAGTCTTTAGGCAGTATATACTTACTGCAAAAGGAAGTCAAGACTTCAGTGAAGTTTTGGGATATTCTTGTCTCTTACGTTAATTAAAACCTAGATTTAAGATTATATTTATGTTAATTGCAATCATGTAAATAAAGTCATGATCAACTCGTGTATATGCAATAATTGTCTTTAGATCAAGTGTGCCAAATTTTGTTTTTCTCGTACTGCGTCATGCATTAGCTGTACTATGAATTATGCACATGTAATGTATGTACAAATATTACTGATCAAATGTATTCTAAAAGGGAAACTTTCGCCTTAAAATTCACTCTGAACAAATTTGTCTGTGAAATCATATTATCTGTTCCGTGTTATTCAGATTAAGCGTCACAAAACCAAACTCACATCCTGTGATTCTTTTAAACAATACAAAGCTTTTTATGTATCAACAACAAAAATTGGAAGAGGGATTTTTTTCTTCTTGATAACAGGGCTACAAATTTTGTTGATAATTCTGAAAAGGAAGGGACATACGGTGAGTGGTTATGTTTTCACACCATACTCACTTGTCAAGTTGAGGCAGTTAGAAATTGGAGCATGATGAAATTCTACTTAAATTTGATTATATATATGTATTTATAATTCATGGTGGATGGCATTTTCAGTAATGATCTAGGTGAGATGAATTCCTTTTCTAAAATCCAATTTGAAATGTCCTCCATTCCTGCATCACGTTTTTGAGTCAGGAACTCAAATAAGTGTATGAACCGTTTGACATTTCAGATATCTTAATAAATCATTACATGGTTTTTGCTCATGTATCTTTAAAGCTTTAAATGTGGTTCGTGAAAAAGGGGAAAATATTATGATATGAAAATAACATTATGTATATTTACTACGTAATTTTGTCATCGATTTCCATCCACTTTTGTCTCTGTAATGTCTCACTTAAGTGCATGTAGATGATTATAGATCAGTGTGTAATTGATGAGAACATGTGTTTCTTGTTTAAAAGAAAAAATGTTATCCATTATGATGCTTTTGACGATGTGTATAAACCAACTGCTATGATAAATATATTTGTACAAAAAATAGTACCAAATACTTTGTATAACTATATTAAATGTTTTATAATCAATGACGTTGGTATGATTATAGTTTTATCTTTGCAAACTGAAAGTCTGTAATGCTATGTTCTGAATATGAAGAGAAAGAGAGAAATCCAAAGAGAGAGAGACAGAGAAAGAAAGAGAAACCTAAAGAGTGACAGAGAAAGAAAAAGAGAAACCTGAAGAGAGAGAAAAACCTAAAGAGAGAGACAGAGAAAGAAAGAGAAACCTAAAGAGTAAGAGAGAAAGAAAGAGAGAAACCCGAAGAGAGAGAGAAACCTAAAGAGAAAAACCAAAAGTGAGGTGGCTTGAGAAAGAAGGCAACAGAGTTTGAGGAATGAGAGATACATTGATGAAGGGATGGAAGGAAGAATATACGTGTGTTTGGCAAAAGCCAGAGAGGGGGAAAAGAGGACAGAACATGCAAAATATAAGCAGTAAAAATGGAAAAGGGGATAATTGGAAGAAGGAAGAGTAATGCATTGCTATAATGTGAAGATGGTCATTTACATTTCTCATTGTGTACAGTTTGAGAAAGAAAAGAAAGCAATATAGAAATGTCTTATTATTTAGGAGAGATATATTTCACTTGCTTATTGTGATGTCCATAACAGTATGAATATGTTTTAGGTCATAGCCGCTAGAACAGACTATAACTAGAGATTGTAGTGTCCTGAAAGGCTTGAACAAGTTGGTATCTAATAATTTTAGACACGGCATTAAAAACTGCATAACAAAATGATATCATTATAAAACATCGTATGTTTGATACTACATACAGCTATCATGTGAATACAAATGAAAAATAATAATTTTAGACAAATAATTTATATATTTATACATGAGTTTCTAATCAATTAAAAAATTAATCGCACCAATATTGCGGCTATTCACAAATAAATATGACATTCTTTCTTGTTATAAGACATACAATTTATGATAATCTTGGCTAGTAACCTTACAAATCCACATATCAAGTAGAAAATCAGTAGGTTTTATATGGAATGTATACAGGGATACGGCATCCAACTGACAAGGATGATTTTGCACAATCTTTTGATATTTTGAATTTCAAGCTCAGCTTTTAATGTATCTACATGTTGAGTAATTTAACAAATACTGGTACCTTACAAATCTATAAACATGGAGCTTGACTGCCAAACATGTGATTGATTTAGTTCTTATTATTTCATTTTCACAGTCACATTAGGCACGTTACATTATATAAAAACCCATGTTGGCTCCAAAGATGTTAATATGAAATGCTTGCCTGAATGACTGGCGTTATTTAACTGCATTTTGCGCTTACCAAAATGAGAATAAAAAGATGAAATTGTCAATAATTGATTACTTGGCACTCTTAGGGTAAACTGGTACAATTACCGGTATGATCTTTCCATCACATTTTTTAAAACACAGTTGCAAAAACTTCCAAAAAATTAAAGGAATAGACCAGTTCTGGTCATGCAATTTCATTGTGAAAGAAATGTTGTGGAATTGATCAGAAAAGGTTGATCTAGCCAGGGATATGTAAACTCACATATCCCTGATCTAGCATATAAGTATTGGTGTGTACTGCAAGGTTCTGGAATCATCAAAATGATAAGAAATTTGGCCCAGTCTTGGTAAAGTTACAAGCACTGTACACAGAAAGATGTATATATATATGGGACTACCCTATATCTATCCAGTCCGAATAGATATAATAATTTACCAAATATATCAATTAGAAGCCGGTTTCCCGCCTATTAATGTATCATCACGTATTAGTCAAAACATATTCTTTTACATGATTGTTAAAAAGAGCTTCCATCCGAACAAGATTTCTATTGGATATCGAATAGGGTATTGAAATTGCCCATTGGTTTGAATTTCCAAAGTCTTTTATAACGATTGTGTTTTTGCTTCATTCGTTTTTAAATTCGTCTTGGTTGTCAAGAATGAGTTTACTGAGTGATCTGTTGGCGTTGAAGTTCTTTTGATTTCCTGAAGTGTACATCTGTTCCGTGTAGCCAGTCCAAGATCCCAAGAACACCATAGTTGTTTGTGAATCTGAAAAAGGGAGGAATCCTTCCATCATCAACATGATAATACCTAACATACTATCCTACGACTCAACCTTCCTGCTAATGTACAACCATATATCGCCTTATGGTCACTATCATCATTATTATCATCATCATCATCACAATCATCATCATCATAATTATCGTCATCATCAGTATCGTCATCATCACCATCATCATGTACTGTACTGCCTCTTCCGACGATCAGTACTACAATCACACCAGAACTACCACTCACTGCAAGTATAACCCTTTTGACACCTCAACACACACACACACACACACGCACACACGCACCCACACACACACACACACACACACACACTCATTTAGTCACCAGGGGTGTATGATCTACGGTAGATGTCAAAGTTACACATTACATTGGATTCATATCCCACCGCTGCCACCATAATCAAATATTAATAAAAAGAAAGAAAGAAGTCCAGAAAATGTAGGCCAAAGGTGAAGTTCTACGAGTGCCTTTACTTGATTGCCTTCATATGGTAAAGCAAAGAGGGTAATATCTTAACAAAGATTATGAAATCTACAGTAGATCATAGTTTACATTGCATAAAACACATCGACCTAAGAAATCTGTGGAGGATGTATGCATAGGATGTAAATACAAAGTAGGCGATCTGACATGTTTAAGGCGGGTATTTTTATAAATGACTAAGTAGCTACTTACTTGAAGTGATGATAGTCATGATACTCTGGTGAGGGCAGGAAGGGCAGATAGTAACCCGAGTGAGTGACAATAGTCACAAAGAGGGTAATCCTAAACCACAGCGAGGTTACAAGCATGTGAGAACCAGCCACGACCGCGCCCAGGGCCACGGGGAAGGTGTTGGACAAGAAGTAGTCAAATGGATGACTGTAGAGGGACACCATACCGAATGGAGCAGTCCACTCGTGATGCTTCTTGTGGAAGGTCTTGTACATCGATGGATGGTGAAGCAATCTGTGAATATTCAGGAAAAACAGTATTTTGAGAGTGGATGGCATGACACTTGTTTCACTGGCAATGGTGAATGATGTCAATGGTTCTTATGCCGGTGGCATGTCGGGGCAAAGGAGGATAAGCCATTCTTCCTCGTGTCTACGTTAATTCTTCTTCTTCTCTGTTTTGGCTTATTGGCAATTAGTCAGATGTGACTACCATTAAGGGTACCACGAAGAGCATTTCCCCCAAAAGATATGACCAAGGAAGCAATGAAGTCAAGGAAGCAGAAGCCAAAGAAAAACACATTCTGATACACTACATCGGGTTCATACAAGTTACCTTAATGGATTGATGGACTCACACTATACATCAAACAGTATATGTTTTCATTTGGTATTAAGACCTTAATCGATAATGACTTTTGACATTTAATCTTAAATAATTAACATGAGTTACAATTTAAACAGGTATTTTTAGCAGCTTAAATGCAGATTTATATTTCAGTTTTAGTCTGTTGGACGAAAGACTCTATATTCCTTTTGATCTCTTTTTTCTTCTTCTCAGTAACCTATAAAAGAGTATCTAACCATCCGAAGGTTATATTCTGCAAGTAGAGTCATTGATGAGTCTCTGATATCATGAGAAAAATGCTTTCAAACAAAAAATTAAAAATTAGAAAAATAAAATAGATCTCGATATCTCATTTAAATATCTGTAGAAGGCATGTGATAAAGCTTACCTGTGAGTATAGTAGAAGCCGATTTCTTCAACCACAACACAGATAGCCAGTTGACAGATTGCAGTCTGGAAGCTTGGTAGCTCATCGACAGTGATCCCACTTCCTCTCCATACAGTACCATAATGAAGAGCAACCAGAATAGGAAGACTGTAGATGGTTTGGTTCAGGAATACTGTCCAAAGGGCCTTCAGCAACCTACCTGTGGGAATCTATTTAAAGATATTAAAGGTTACTTACTTTCTTACCCTGTATCTTCTCTCTCTCTCTCTCTCTCTCTCTCTCTCTCTCTCTCTTTCTCTCCCTCTCTCTCTTTCTCTCCCTCTCTCTCTATCGCTCGCTCTTTCGTTCTGTCTTCTCTGTCTGTCTGTCCCCCTATCCCCCCCCTCTCTCTCTGATAATCAGCACCAGATAAGTTTTAACAGACATTGCTAATCTCTTCTGTCAATATCCATGCATTGATCGAATTCAATGACACAGAATCTCCATAATAACAGAGATGGTTGCAATGGTAAACATTTTGGGCCAGTTTCAAACGTACCACATCTTTACACATATAATTTTGTAAATATTGTGTCCTGAACGCTTGATCTTTCTATATTCTGAATCTAAACAATTATATTTATTGACCAAGAAAATACGTATGCAGTTTTAACAATTATAATATGAAATCCTCCCTGAAAATATATAGGAGTATATTCCATGTTAATACAAATGAAGATAACATTTCTTATCGCTCTCTTGAGGAGCGTGCTTTCTTTGCTTTACCTCGGTTTGATCAGCTTGAATTTTGAGCTTGGTAATGAACTTTGGTTTTCCAGTCAGATCCATGATCAGGAACAAACATCCCACAAACCAATGCTCCAAGACAGAGTAACAATGCAGAACTTGAAAATTGCATCAAGAAGAAAGTAAAAACTTTTCAATATATATTTTCTTCTTAAATCGGGCTAACTTTTTCTTACTCGGAAAAAATAATACTTCTATATGCATCTTCGAGACATTCATGAGTCTGGGGCTCTAACTCTAAGATCCAATGTTTTCAACAGTATAAATGTGGCACAGGACTTGTCTCTGAAGTTGAAGTTGAAACTGAAATGGAAAGGGCCTGATAGCCAATACCAGGACAAGCCAAATTCAACTTATGAAGTCAAAATTACTCCTCAAATCAGTTGTGTTTTTTTGTATTGTTTTGCTTTACTTGCCAGGAAATTTCTTAAGCAAATACTTTGAAGAACAAAGTGCTCAAACTGATAAGATTGCTTTTTTAAGGGCACTTGATAATCTTAATGATATGCGTCTGAGGGCAAAATAGTTACTACACTGAGGATAGTGTGCATAAGACATCAGACAATGTTATACCTCAAATTATAATAAATGTATACAATAAAATACCATGTAGATAAACATTTTGACAAATGTTGTATAAGGGTTCAACAGATTATATGCAGAATGAGTTAGAACGCCTGCATCTCGGGAGATCAAAGTCAGATCATTTAACTTATGTGAGTCTCTGATGATTATATTGTGTTGTGTTGGATGATTTGCTTCAATATTTAAACAAAAACATGATCTAGGTGACACAAGTGCTTTGTACTTAAAAATTAGAATTTACATATACGACATACCTAAACCCATTTTGACCTGATTTCCTTCGAAATAGTCATAGAAGTTTCCCCATTGTCTGGCTATGAAGTCCCCTGATGAAATCCAGAATGATTGGCCATGGTGAAGAAGAGAAGTTCGAAAGACAGCACAGACTACAGCTAATGTAACAGCGAGAAGAGATAGAACTGCAGTCATCATGCTGGCTTCGTGCTTCTAAAGATAGAGTTAGAAAGGGAGAGTGGGAAATCGATGATTAGAAAAGAGAGAGAGAGAGGGGGGGGGTTATAGTGATATAGAGTCATATAAACATAAAGAACAAAAATTGTCCATGGGTTTTGTTTATTAGCCGACAGAGGTGAATATATAACGCGACAGCAACTACTTTGGACAAAATTACTCGGGGCAATTTCAGTACCGGTACCTAAAAAATTATTCTTTAGCTGACATATTCTGACATATTCCCCTCTTTTTACTATTGATCTTTTTAAACCCAGTCTTATGCATTTTAATCTTCTTTTTATTGGACTCTCGGTCTGTACCTGATTTAGTTATTGCACAGCTCGAGAGCCCTTTTTTGATGTAATTGTAATGATGTATACTTATTCGTTTATATGTCCTTTTTGCAATATTTACTGATAATAGTTTAGTTATTTGATATTTTAACTTATGTAACTTATGTATTTATTCATTACTGCTATTTTATTATGTATATTTGATTTAAATTTCATTTTTGTACCCAAGACAGTGGTCAGTCTTTGGACTGTTTGCTCTTGGTTTTTGATGTTTTGATTTCAATAAAATCCTATTTTATATATATATTATTGTATATCCCATAGAAAATTCGGTTAGTATGCCATGAGAAAGTTCGCACAGCTCAAAAGAAGATCAAGAAGGCTTTTGAAAATGCCTATGTCTTAAAAAAAAACATCACTTCAGACTGCCTGAAATCGGGCATGGGTGACTTCTTGATAATGGTTTTGATGTCATATAAAAGAAGATTCTTGAGTAATTTACGGAAACACTCTTTATATAAATTGGACAAACCTCATCCCAAAACCGTTACAGTGGAGGTACGATCGAGTGAGAGGTACTCTACATAAATCAATAGAACACATAAAATTCCTCATCAACAACAGAAATCCCCATTTTACAACTTACCTTCGACTTAAAATTTTCATCGGGGACTGTCTTGTCCTTTTCAACATGGCATCCATTATTCTCCTTTTGGCGACGAACCATGGTGATATATCATGGATGATTTCTTCGAATTTGTATGAATCTAAATTGAGAGAGACGATTTTCATATAGTAAATGTTCCCTCTTCTTCCTCCAGTATACTGTCAAGACAATCAATGGTACTTCATCGTACCGCTACCTTAGAGATTGTAGGTTTTTCAAAACACAATACATGTATATTATGATTAACCAACTATACCAGCTAAAGTCTATATGAAGTCGACATCTATGAACTCTGCATTATGTTTCTTGGAATAAATTAGTATGTAGGATATGTGGTAAGGCCGTAAGGAATTCATTTTAAAAAAATGTACAGCTTTTCAACTGTTCTTGTCTATATACAATTATACATTGCAAAACAATATTGATTTTCGTCCTTCAAACACCACCACAACTGGTATTTGACCTGAACACAAACAGAAATAGGAAATTGAATGGGATCACACGTACATCAGAAACACAACACATTCACAATACAAATACACTCAGTCGTACAAGTATACAGTAATAAGGAAAGATATATATCTGTTTACAGTGGTTGTTTCACTGGCCCGTAGAGTTGTTATCGCTAGTACAGTGTCATATTTTGTATAGCAGAATCCGCCATAAATTAACCGACGCTTGTGTCTTCTCTGTCTTCAGCATAATATAGCACTGTTCACGTACATTTAACATGGTTATTATTATAACTGAAATTCACTTCATAACATAAACAAATAATTTACTTACGACTCTAAAGCGACGAGACATGTGAGCGATCGACACTTATTAAACTAAACCCCTTGTGCTATGGCCCAACTCGTCACGGACGAGTTCTGTTACATAATAACAAACTTTTAACCGACCTTTGTCATCATGTGTATGAATTGTTGACATGATCATAACAGTCCTTGGTATACCAATCTACATAGGCTGTAATTGTATTCAGGGATGTTTCGTATAGACCTACGTACGTTCCAGAGAGCTTTATTGTTCCCTCGGTATATAAGCAATGGGTGACGTAAGTCCGTTCTGGAGAGAAAGAAGGGAGAGGGGAGTTGACAACCGGGCGCCGATATTTTTTTGCGCGAACACATACATGATTATGATTTTGTCAACATTTTAAAAAATCTGATTGATTTTGCTGAAAACCAATGGTTGTATTAGTACTAGCCACCACTCCATCATAATTGTGTTGTTTTGTTTGTTTGTTTTTTTTTTTTTTTAGGGGGGTATACCCCATACCCCGGGATTTACGTCCGTGGGGAATATTAGAATGATAATGATATTATGGGAGTTACGCGTACAAGCAGACCCTATAAATGATAAGAAAGAAACCCCCACTAACTAAAGAGGTGGAAAATGGATGCCGTAATGTATCGAGTAAAGGGGTAGTGTTAATGAATGCCCCCTCCGCCAACCCATTTGAAGACCTATAAAGAGGTTAACAAAACTTGCAGGTGGGAGTCATTAGCAGGTGGGTTGCCTTCTCCCCAAGCGCGCTAAGTGGATTCTGTTTCTCAGTTTCTGGACATGCCACTTATGAACTTATATTGGTACTACTGGAGTGCCGCGCTACATTTTTGTTATCATTATTATTAGTAGTAGTAGTATTATATTTGTTATAATTGTTGTTATTATTATTATCATTATCATTATTATCATTATTGTCATCATCATTATTACCATTATCATCATCATTATTATAATTGTCGTAATTAACATTATTATTGTAATTATTATTAGGCCTATCTATAAATTATTCTTTAAATCATTACTATAGATTAGTAATCGAGGCTACTTTTTGCATCGTATGATAATTAGTTAAATTAAAGATGAGTTTTGGTGGAACGGGGATGTGGGTAATTTAACGTATCTCCTCTCTTCATTTTCTTTCAATCTCTCCCCCCCCCCCCCTCCCCCCTCCCCCCCCCCCTTTCTCTCTCTCTCTCTCTCTCTCTCTCTATCTCTCTCTCTCTCCCCTCTCTTTCTCTCTCTCTCTCTCTCTCTCTCTTTCTCACACACACTCTCCCCTTATGTCTCCCAACCTCACTCTTAAGAGGCGCCTATACGTATTAACGTAAATGCATCACGTGATTCAGTAGCGTAATATTGGTCAGTGTTGATTCGGATATGTCCTCCTCTCGTCCAATCAAATATCAGGACCTACCTACGCAATATCAGGGGTTGATCAACTTTCGACCAATCAGTAACAGAATAGGGATGCATACAGCGCTGGCGTTAGTTGCATGAAGATCGAAGCCTATTATAGTTCTGAGCTTTTCTATCTCACGGTTTATATTTTGATTTTAGATTCTTTTAACATCCGAATATCTGGGGATTTAATGATAACATTTTCAAATGAACAAAACGAAAGCATAAACAAAATTAAGATATATGTCAGTCAGTAGAAAGGGAAAAGAGGAAAAAAAGAGTATGAGCACTCAGACTGAATATGTGTTGAATGAAATTATATTTGATGAATAAAACAGTATTGCTGCCCTTCGTATAAAGCGTTCATTTTGCTCATAAGTTCATTATAAGTTCATTTTATTGATCAATTAAAAACCAATAACATTAAAATGTATACTTGTGAGATAAAATGAGGTTAAACATCGGCCTATTTTTTTAGGTAAAACAACAACAACAACAACAGCACAAAAAAAACTAGCTGAGTATCGAACTCGATACCTTTCAATTACTAGCGATCACCTATCGACGAGAGGTGTCTCAAAAAATGTAGATAAAATGTTACGACCACAAAAATAAAAAAAACAGAAAATGTGACAGCTTGAGAAGGTTCATATCTACATAATACTGATTGGTTGTGTAAAGATCTTTAAAAAGTAGGCCTACTACTAAACAATAAACTATAAAGCCAATCATAAGCGGTCTACATTGTTGCCCATAAAGTTTGATTAAAGTTTGTTAACCTCTTTTCATGAATTTTTTTTCATTTCATTTCATTTATTTTCTGATTGAAATGAAATGATTGTGACAATATGATTTGTACTTGACAGAAAAGTTTTTACATTTTCTCAGTTTTATTTATCAATCTCTTTGATTCTTTAGATTGATCAATAAAGTTCTGAGAAGATATAAACTTTATCTATCAAGAATAAATTATATTGTCACAATCATTTCATGAAAAAAGGTTAACAAAAAATGATTCTAACTTTATGGGTACCAGTGTTTTATACAAATAAGCACGGCATGAGTAAGCGTAAAGGTTAAATTGCAAAGTACGATAAAAGAATATATTTTAATATGAAATAAACAAACCCTCGGAGTGAATACAAAATTACAAACAAAAATGCACAGTGTATCAATTTTGAATGAAATGGAATGCTTTAAGTGCTAAAAGATTTAATGTACTCCTTCACAAGGAGAAAATGAAATACCATTTTAGATAATACGATTCAATAATGATAGTACAAATAATAGGTCCATTTATATAGCGCAGCCAATACTATATGAATATACTCTACTGCACTTATAGACCGGGAGCCAGGGGGGGTCAACCTAGCTGGGAGGGAAACCAATTTTCATGTGCACAGACGTAAAGACCGCATAGCACAATATAAGGAAGTGACCGTCTGGCATGTTCTAACTGGTGGGTGTGGCCAGGGGGAGGGCCCAAAGTGGTCAAAAAAATGAGCTAGCTCAGCTGGAAAGGAAACCCTATGAAACCCATATGAGAAGATTCGCCATAGTCTCGAGGTACATGAATGAACAATGCCAGACGTTTTAAGTGGTGGGGGGTGTCCGCCAGACGCCCTCAAAGATGTCAAAAAAATGAGCTAGATCAGCTGGAAAGGAAACCCCATGAAACCAAAGGGAAACTGTTCGGCAGAGTCCACAGATGCACAAATGGCCACTGCCAGACGTTTTAAGTGGTGGGGAGTGCCTGCCAGACGCCCCCAAAGTGACCCAATCCCCCAAATTGGGCTAGATCAGCTGGGAAGGAAACCCTATGAAACTCATATGAAAAGATTCGCCATAGTCTCGAGGTACATGAATGGACAATGCCAGACATTTTAAGTGGTGGGGGGTGTCCGCCAGACGCCCCCAAAGGGGGTTCAAAAATTAAGTTAGATCAGCTGTCCAGAAAGGAAACCCCATGAAACCAATGGGAAACTGTTCAGCAAAGTCCACAGATGCACAAATGGCCACTGCTAGACGTTTTAAGTGGTGGGGAGTGACTGCCAGACGCCCCCAAAGTGCCCAAACTTCCAATATTGAGCTATACCAGCTGGAAAGGAAACCCAAAGAAGAAAAAAAACATTAACAAGATTCATTCAAAAAGTTTCAGGTTTTTTTCTTCAAAACCTCTACCGCCAGCTGTAGTCAAATTTGAGCCAGTTTCCCTATCTTCAGTAGATAGTAAATTATTCTGAGGCCAGTTTCCTTGATTGTTTTCCTGCTACTGAAGAGATGTATCTATAGACAACAAATGGGTAAGTTTTAAGCTTTATATTTTGTGATGAATTAAATAAATTTGACAATCAAATCAATCAATTCTTTCTGTTAAAATAAGTAGGAAATGGTGTGGAGTGAAGCTCTAAACATGTGATAAAAACTTAATTACAGTCCCATGTGCAAATTTTTGAGTAAGTGCCTGTAAGAGTGCAGGGAGTTTTCCTTTCATAAAATGTTTTAGGTATTTAAAAAAGCAAACAAATATCCAATTACAAATAAAACTTTATTTTAGGACTCTTTTAGGTAAGCATAGGTTTTAGTGGCTAAAATAGTGACTGTTCAGTTCAGCAATGTGTAGATCTAGAGACTAGTCTAGATCTAGACCTAGACTAGCCTAGGTCTAGACTACTGACTAGGTCTATCTCATCTGTTAGCCGTGAGTCTGAGGAAAGCGAGAAGGGGTTTAAGATTTTTGTTAAAGGTAAGAAGCGATATAAATGATGACAAACATTGCACAAATCTTTCTCCTATTTTTTTTTTTTGGGGGGGGGGGGGGGGTGGTTAGGGGTGGCAGCTAGGGTCAGGGGCGCGCGGCGGCGATCAATCTGGAAATTTGAAAAAGTGGATAAAAAAAATTTAAGCAAATATTGACTAAAGACCGCAACACACTTTAGGCTCTGGAAGGCCCATGAGTGCAGCGTTTAGACAAATAAAAATGCTTGGAGGCAGTTCCCTCCGAATAAAATTCAAACATGGTTTAGATCTATTTTGTAATTCGATACCAGTCTACAAATGTTGCTAAAAATAAAATGGCATAATTTTCCTCTGAGCTTTTCCCTTGAGGCGGGCCCCTTGTTGCTCATCTGACCGTAATTAAATACCTAAAACCCCTGAGCTTCCAAAGGCTCTGTCCCCTGGACCCCACCAAAGGCCCTAAGGCGGCCCCTAGATTCAAATTCAAGTTCAGATTTTATTGGTCCAAAAGGAAATTTGTTGTGTTTACATGCATTATTCACAGAGAAAAATAGATAAAATGTACACAGATATATGATCATTTCCTACAATCAAATAGAAAAGAGTATAATTGAGTGATACATTTTAAATTTTACATTTCATTCAACAGACGGATAGAGTACGGAACAAAAGTGTTCAGGTACCTCGAAGTGCAGGATGCTCATCTGGTCTCCTCATGCCTAAAACCCAAGAGCTTCTGGGAACTCTGCCCCCTGGACCCCACTCCAATTAGTGACCTGTATGCCAGTGTCACAAATAAGGTATCAAATTATGCTCATCTGACCGTAATTAAATGACCAAAGCCCCTAAGCTTCATGGGGCCCTGGACCCCACCAAAGGCCCTAAGGCGGCCCCTTGATTCAAATTCAAATTTAAATTCAGATTTTATTGGTCCAAAAGGAAATTTGTTGTGTTTACATGCATTATTCACAGAGAAAAATAGATAAAATGTACACAGATATATGATCATTTCCTACAATCAAATAGAAAAGAGTATAATTGAGTGATACATTTTAAATTTTACATTTCATTCAACAGACGGATAGAGTACGGAACAAAAGTGTTCAGGTACCTCGAAGTGCAGGATGCTCATCTGGTCTCCTCATGCCTAAAACCCAAGAGCTTCTGGGAACTCTGCCCCCTGGACCCCACTCCAATTAGTGACCTGTATGCCAGTGTCACAAATAAGGTATCAAATTATGCTCATCTGACCGTAATTAAATGACCAAAGCCCCTAAGCTTCATGGGGCCCTGGACCCCACCAAAGGCCCTAAGGCGGCCCCTTGATTCAAATTCAAATTTAAATTCAGATTTTATTGGTCCAAAAGGAAATTTGTTGTGTTTACATGCATTATTCACAGAGAAAAATAGATAAAATGTACACAGATATATGATCATTTCCTACAATCAAATAGAAAAGAATATAATTGAGTGATACATTTTAAATTTTACATTTCATTCAACAGACGGATAGAGTACGGAACAAAAGTGTTCAGGTACCTCGAAGTGCAGGATGCTCATCTGGTCTCCTCATGCCTAAAACCCAAGAGCTTCTGGGAACTCTGCCCCCTGGACCCCACTCCAATTAGTGACCTGTATGCCAGTGTCACAAATAAGGTATCAAATTATGCTCATCTGACCGTAATTAAATGACCAAAGCCCCTAAGCTTCATGGGGCCCTGGACCCCACCAAAGGCCCTAAGGCGGCCCCTTGATTCAAATTCAAATTTAAATTCAGATTTTATTGGTCCAAAAGGAAATTTGTTGTGTTTACATGCATTATTCACAGAGAAAAATAGATAAAATGTACACAGATATATGATCATTTCCTACAATCAAATAGAAAAGAATATAATTGAGTGATACATTTTAAATTTTACATTTCATTCAACAGACGGATAGAGTACGGAACAAAAGTGTTCAGGTACCTCGAAGTGCAGGATGCTCATCTGGTCTCCTCATGCCTAAAACCCAAGAGCTTCTGGGAACTCTGCCCCCTGGACCCCACTCCAATTAGTGACCTGTATGCTCGTGTCACAAATAAGGTATCAAATTATGCTCATCTGACCGTAATTAAATGCCCAAAAACCCTAAGCTTCATGGGGCCCCGCCACCTGGATGCTCATCTTATTTCGTCCCCCCTATATATGTGCAGATTTACCAAATTATAGCAGATATAATTGATTTAGTAAGATTAATCCAAGAATCATCTAAGATTTAAAGTATATATTACTCCTCATCCTGGTAAATTAAAGTCTTGATAAATAGGAAGACACTCTAGCCGTTTGAACTCAGAGTAAAAATGACATATAGGCTTATCGTATACATGGTATAATAATGCAATATATAATACACTAAGTTTCCCTATGATATCATTGGAATATCTTGTTTTATAATTCCAGATTGAAGATTCATTAGCCGGCCAGAAACATGGATCCAGGAGAAGGAGGTGATACCGGAGAACAGCATGTGGGGGTCTCAGGCGAATGCTCAAGTAGTTCTTCTACTATTAAGAGTCATTTGGTTAGTGTTTAAAAAACGTTGAATATTTTATAAAAATATGAAGTATATTCACAATATTTAAATTCCCATTATTTTTTCAGCACCTAAGACAACAGTAATAAGCTATATAGGGTCTAATAAGGACGTACAAACATGCATAATAGTATGAAGGTAAAATACCGCCTGTTATTAGTGAAAATAAAAGCAATATCATGTATTTGTTAGTTATAAAGCAAGTGATTATGTTCTATTTTGCTGATATTCATTTCAAAATTCAAAAATAGAAATTATAATTTTGGGCAATAAACGTTAATATTAAAGTAAAGCTTATTTTTAACAAGTGAAGTGTTCAACTTTCTAAAGAGTAAACATGTTTGATATGTAGTTACAATTTGACTATTTCCGTTTCATATTACAGGATACTTTTGGAGCTGCTCCGAGCTGCTACATATGCCACGAGTCTACAACAGAGGGAAACAAGCTGATAAAGTTATGTCAGAAGACCTGGGTAACAATGAAACGCGCTGCAAGTCAGCGTAAACTTTTGAAATCCAACACATACTTTGAAGCGACGCAAAAGATTATGGAATCCACTGAGATTATGGACTACAACTGTTTCTATCATAGCTGTTGTCACAGGAAATTCACCGCCGTGAAACGATCAAGAGATAGCCAGCAAGCCGATGAAGAACAACCAGCTAAACGTCAATGCATCCAGACCAGACGCTGCAGCGTTATTCTCAAGTCGGATCAAGAAGGGCTGCTGAAAGGAACCTGCATATTCTGTGGCAAGGGCCGAAAAAAGAAGCATCAACGAGAAGAACCAAGGTTGAAGATTGCAACAGTTGGCGGTTGTGAGACGATATCTCAGCGGGTTAGATACTCAAACAACGAACGCATCAGAAGTCTCATTTGGAGCGGTGTTGACCTCATCGCAAAGGAGGCAGAATATCATAAGTCATGCCGTATTTCGTTCCTCAAAGAGACTGAGGATCGATGTCCCTCTGAAGATGGTTCGCATTTTGTATCTCACAAGAAGGCCTTTGCATCTACAATTGCTCACATCCAAGATGAAGTAATTGAGAAGAAACATACTGTGTTGTTGAGTAGTTTACTTGAAATGTACAAAAAGGAATTCATAGTTATCGCTGAGAGAAATATTCCCTCCTACACAAGCCAAAATTTGATGAGAAAAATTAAAGACCATTTCAAAGACAACATCAAGACGGCTCTGGCAGACCAACGGAGAGGAAATTTCATCTACTGTTCAGTCCTCTTAGAAGAAGAAGCAAGGGCTCGTCTTGAGGAAGATTCCATAAGATATGAAGAGGATAGCAAAGTGAGATGGGCTGCCCTTCATCTCAGATCTGAAATCTTGAAGGTTCCAAAGACGAATACACCTAATCCTGTCACAGTCCAAAACGTGAAGGAGTGCGCTGCAAAGATACCAGCACAGTTAGATTTGTTTTTTAGAACTCTCCTTTGTGGTATGGGATCGAGTTGCACAGCACAAAAAGAATCAGTTGAGCGAAAGGTAAATGCCATGTCGTCTGATGCGATGTACAATGTGACACGAGGTTCCACAAGACCTTGGAAAAACACAGTGCTTGGTCTAGGATTAGCATCACTGACAGGATGTAAGATAGCCCTGCAGGTACTGAACAGATTAGGACACTGTATAAGTTATAGTGAAATCAAAGGAATTGAGAGTGAGTTTGCCTACTCCGTTGCAGATGACCAACACGATGTTCCAGATGGCATTGCCCTTCAACCAAACTTGGCAACAGCTAGCGTCTGGGACAACAACGATGCCAACGTGGAGACGCTGGATGGAAAAGAGACATTCCATGCAACTGTTGGTCACACATACCAGAACGTGATAGAAGATGATCAGCAAGTCATTATCAATGAACCAGAATTTCGAGAGGGAAAGAACCGACGTACATTTGTTGGGAAGGATCGAGAGATACCCGAATTCAGGAAGTCCCTCAAGAAGGCCACATTTGTCAGCACTGATGCGGAACCAGGAAGCATGAGAGCAGTCGAATCAATTACATCCAAGTCGTGCGATGTCTCTAGTGGAACTGAAAGTTCAGTGCCAGAGTTGACAGCAGGCACCGATGGATCAAGTTCTGATGACTCAGTATCTGAAATAAGGACAGCCCTTGTTGAACCAGACATATCCTCCCAGTCGACTACAGACTTGGAAGTAGAACCATGTACTTCATCGCATTCTACTTCATTACAAAGTACAGAAACCAAGTCGAGTTCTGATGACTCAGTGTCTGAAATAAGGACAGCCCTTGTTGAACCAGACATTTCCTCTCGGTCGACTACAGACTTGGAAGTAGAACCATGTACTTCATCCCATTCTACTTCATTACAAAGTACAGCAACCAAGTCAAGTTCTGATGACTCATCCGCATGTACAACACTCAGTGTGTTGGATCTATATTGGTTTTGGAAACTCAGTGATGGCAGCACACCCCTGCATGCAGGATTCATGAGCAAGTACATTCAGGATTCTTTGCCACTGCAACGAATTTGCTATATGAACCCGATATCAAGATCACCTACAAACAACGATGTGGTAAGGGAAACGATGATCAGATCCCTGAACGTTGCTAAGGAAACGGGCCAAGAGCATGCCGTGGTAACCTATGACTTGGCAGTCGCCTTGAAAGCGTATTCGATCCAAACGATTGAGGCCCCTATATTCGACAAACTGTTGATCATGCTTGGAAACTTCCACACAGAGCTTGCTCTGTATGGAGCAATCGGAACGTTTATCAATGAAAGTGGAATAGAATTCATCCTGACGGAGTCCGGAGTGCTGGCAGCCGGATCTGTGCGCGGATTTGTGAAGGGCAAATTCTATAACAGATGCTTGAGAATCCATGAGCTCCTGGCAAACGTCCTGGAAAAGAAGTTGCACAGCAGATTTCTTCGTGACTTAAATGAAGAAGACAGGATCTCATTCCAAGAAGTGATGTCTACAGTACCCGAGGACCCAGAACGAGTTGAAGACCATCTATCAGATTCTGTGGTCACACGTCACATACAGATGTATGATGACTACTTCAAAGCTGTTCTCAATGGAAGTCTCGGGAAAACAGCTCAATATTGGACAACGTACATATTCTTGATCAATCGCCTCCACAGAGAAGTTCGGAGATGCATCAAGACCAATGATGTCGAGGGTTACACATATGTCTTCCCAATTTTGCTGTCTGTGTTCTTCGCCCTCAACAGACCTAACTATGCCAGGTGGGGAACATTGTTTTTACAGAAGTTGAAGAGCTGCAACTCAGTGTTCCATGAGATTCTCAAGAAGGGTGCATTTTCCATCAGAAGAACAGCAAAGAACTACAGCAGGTCCGCCGTCGATTTGTCTTTAGAACAGACAGTAAACAGAGATGCCACTTCAAAGATGAAGGGAATCGTATCATTCCGAAATTCAGAGAACGCGGTGCAAAGATGGGCACTCGGAATGACTCAACGAGCGATGGCTGTCACCGAACTTAGAACACTTCTTAGTCTAGACATCAGTGAAAACGCCTCTGTCCAATCTCGCCCATCCAGGATCCAAAAAGATCAGGATCACATGACCACACTGAGTGCAAAGATAGACGAAACGTGCAATCCCTTCTCTGATGACGCCCCGACTTCACTTGTGAATCTAGCTACAGGGCAAGCAGCTTCAAAGGAGACCACGTCGTATCTTCTTGAAACATTGCAAAGGGGACAGGAGGCAAGAGACAAATTCAGAGATGAATGGAACAAGGACAGCGCTCGCTTTCTCAAACCTGTGAAACGGATCCGTGTGAAGAACTTTGCTGCTCAGAATGTGAAGCAAAAAACCAAGCTCCCAGCTTCAATGAAAGCAAAAACAAACGCAGAGAGTCTCAGAGATATGTTCATTCGAATGATCGTAGTAATTGCTCAGAAGACCTCATTTGATCTTCGGTACGTTCTTTCTTATCCAATTACTACGTACCCATTGTCACTAGCACACTGCGATGGAATGTATATGAAGACCAACAAGTCAGCGCTGCTGAGAAGTCTTGAGTCTCTCCAAACAGAAAACATCTCTGAAGCAGGTGTACTACAGGGTCATGTAAGGGTCTATGATGGTGGACTTCTCCTGCATTCTGTCCTCTCTCAGACTAACACAGGAGCATCATACTCGTCCATTGCACGAAACATGGTTTCACTAGTACTTTCTGGAAAGTCTACTGAAGTGCACGTTTGTCTCGACAAATACGTGGGAAATTCAATCAAAGACAGCGAAAGGAAGCTACGTGGCGCACTTGACACAGTGTACGAAATAACTGGTCCTGATCAGACAATACGACAGAGCGGTCAGAAGCTTCTTGCTAATGGCGTTTTCAAAAACGAACTAGCAAAGTTTCTTCTAAGAGAATGGGGCAATGATCATCACTCCTACATCTATCACGGGAAAACCCTATTTGCCTCATATGGCGGCGAGTGCTACCAATACACCCCTGACGAGCACAATCATATCAATGTGTCAAGTCCGGACTACCTGCAAGGTGACCACGAAGAGGCAGACACGTTGATTGCCTTTCACGTTGAACACATTGAAGAAGCCAATATCATGGTGAGAGCATCTGACACCGACGTTCTTGTTATCCTCATCGGTGCCCTTGGCAAACAACGCAGAGAGGTACGCGCAATGAAAAGTGTCATCATGGATTGTGGCATGGGCAACTCCAGGCGATACATAAATGTGTCCAACATCACCGATGTACTTGAAGATTGCAGACAAGGCCTTCCAAGGGCACTACCTGGATTCCACGCCTTTACTGGATCGGACTTCAATTCCGCATTCTACAGGTATATTTTTTTGTCACTTAATTAATATGATCAGAAAAAGGATATGTATAAAAGTATTTCATTCAATATTAATTTGTTAATGGTAAATTTTAATGGTTTCATATATTGAAGGGTATAGTGAATAAATACCCACTGTTAAAAAAAAAGCAACGATAAAGTTTTTGAAAGTGAAAAATTGTATGACCATCTCAGATAGGTGAACGATGTTATCCATAATATCACCTTTTCTTTTTGCAGAAAAGGAAAAACCAAGCCCCTCGAAATCATGCAGAAAGACAAAACTGGCAACTACGTGGACCTCTTCATCAGTATGGGTAAAGCACAAGATGAAAGTATTGATCTGGATGTCGCATCAGAGTTTGTCTGCCGCATGTATGGACAACACAAGACTGGGGACGTCAATGAAGCACGATACATCAAACTGATGCAAATGACTGGCAAGGTGGACGAGGTATTTTGAAGAAAAACAATTAATTTTATTTTTAAAAGTTGCTAGTGAGAATGAAAGTCAATTGCAAGACATGATGAATCCAGGCTTTCTTGAAATATCATCAGAAGAAGACATTGAAAATTATGTTAATACACATTCTTTAAAGGCCCACTGCACTACTTATAGCTACATGCGCCCTCTTTTTAACAGACAATGCATAATCGGTGATCATTGGTCCCCCATGATCCTCTTTTTCTTATGTTATTTGAGAGCTGATTTGATGAGATAGCCACCTGCCAGTGACCATGCAGTGTGGTCTAATCCCTCTACACTTTAAGATGAGTGTAATTTTCACAACCACTTCATTTTTCACCATTTCAGGAGAATCCACTAGCCCACATCAAGAAGGTAGACTGCGCCTTGCTGCCACCATGTCGCCAGACACTTCAGATGAAGATTCGCAGGACACAGTATGTGGCAACCAGTTGGACACGAGCCAGCAACGCCCGTCCTACCGAAGGAATCTCTCCTACAGATTATGGGTGGCAAACGAAAGGTTCCCTCCTAGTACCTAGGTGGTTTGATGGCCCTGCTATACCAGAAAAGTTATTTCCATGCAATGAAGAGGCCATCGAAGCCGAGGAGAGCACTGGGAACATTGAAGAAGGGATTGTTGAGGAGCAGAACAATACCCTAGACTTGTCCTCGGACGAAGCATGGACTGAGGACTCTGAATCAGACACAGAAGACTAAATAAACAATTTGAACAGTTTGCTGAATAGTCCTCAAGAAACAGTAAACGTCTATTTGTTGCCCACATCCCAATTAAAATTCAATAAACAGAAGTAATCAAAGATTGTCTTTGAAAATGTCACTGGTGGAACTGCATGTAACATGAACGTTGATGTTCAAAGGAAACAATCTACGACAAGTTTGCATTTTATTTTATTCTGATTTTTTTAAATGTTATTCTACGTTAAAAAAGACCATACGAATTATGCACGGGCATGAAAGAACTCTAATGTATTTTGTATTTGTATTTATTAACATTTATTTCCTTCTCAACAGTACAATATGAAACACAATGTATATAATATATGTATATGTATATTATACATGATATATGTAACAATTATTTCAACATAGAGTATACAGTAAATAATTCAGATACGGAAGGAGGCGAAAACCCGGAAAGCATAGCTTGAGTTGAGAACGCCCATAATAAATTAACACAGTTACCAAAAGAACATTATAGATATAAAATTACATTTCATATAACAGAAAGTTGATAGGAAAGAACAAAAATAGTAAATGTAGTAATCTAGACGGTGATGTGTTACCAAAGTTATAAGCTGGTACCTAATGAAATGTACAAATCATCAAATCGTGAGTTCATTACAAGTGCAAGGAGTTAGTAACGATTTTCAGTTATTCATGGCTATGATAAGCAGAAAAGATTTCAAATTGATCTCAATTGTAGTTGTGGAACTTCCTTTAAAACATGCAAAGTCTAAAACTGAGATTCAATCAAATCAAGTAGTTTTCTAATGTTCTTCGATTTTCGTACCAAATTACTTGTAATCGAGAATTTTTATTTGTTTTTACATATACCTAGCCAAAATTATAAATGAGAAAAGTTCATATATTTCTAATCAGGAATTAAAGGTTATGTGGAGTACTGGTAAGGCTAAGTATCCATCATAGAAAATGTTCATCAGTTTGATTTCCATCTGAAAGCATATAAATCAAATTTATATAGCGCTCTTACAAATTGACAAAACTGTATCACCGCGCTTTACAAACATAATATGTAGCAATTTAAAAAGCATATCATGTATTCGTAGTGAACTAGTTAATATTAAAACTAGGCACCTGAAATCTGCTTGGTATTTGTAGACTTTGAAGTTCCAACATGATCATAATTTGTATGTCGATCGCCTTTCCGCGGAAATTGTAACGTTAATAGTCCCAAATGCCTGTACTTTATCATCACATTGCATCTTGGTAAAAAAAAAAATTGAATCTTTTCAGTAATGATGGTATAGTACCAGAATTATATTTATTACAGGAAAAACATAAAACAATTGTTCACATAGGAATTTGTGAATATGTATGTAGTCATGCTGCTAAAACGCCACATTACCTTTAGGTAGAATTAATTTGTCAGAGTTTGACAACAACTACTACAACGTGATTACACTATAATATGATAAGCTGTTACATGTATTTCATCATTGACACCTATACAACTTCACCAAGTTAGAGAAACCAAGAAGCATGAAAATGATAAAAGTGTTATTTATAAAGGAAAACGTGGCAAATGATGACTGTGCAGACTGGAAATGCATGGTGATCAATTCGTCAGATATTGTGTTGTATATATTCATACCAAGTATATTTCATTGTTCTTTAAAATGGCCACTTACAATCTTGGTAAGAGTGAAGGTATTTCAGAACCAAAGTGTGTTGTAAAGGAAATGTATTTGAAGACATTTTCAAGATCGTGTGTGGGTTATCAATAATGTATCAACATGAATGACGTACTTATGACTGGTTGATTCATACATATCAAGTCATTACATTTGCAGTATAATCATATTTATAGGAATGCTTGTTCATCATAATTTTGCTTATTATACATAGAAGCCGCAACAATACGACATAATTCGCTGTTGATACAATCAATTTTCATTCATAAAGTAACACGATGCATGGGATTTATTTTACCTTTTCCTTTTAATTTATCTAATACTTTTCGTGTACCGGTAGATGCATTTTTTTACAACTGTGTTTAAATGTTCGGTCACAAATGTTTTCTTAAAGTATTATGTTTATTTCACAGTGAATGAGTTGGATAGGATGGAAAAAGAAATTTGAAAAAAGGAGTAACATGCTAAAAAAAAATCTGTACAATAATATAACATTGACAAGAAATGGGCAGATATATAAGAACAATGTGCTAATTGTGCTTAACTTTTAAATCAGCAGTTTCTCAAGTGGACATCTGCATGTAATACTTTGTAAGTTCAAGCTAGTAAATGTGCTACAACTGATTTCAAGCATATTATGTACCATATACGATCCAACTCAAGTAGGCACAATGTTTTTGGAAAATTATTTGTTACGCTTTATGAATGGAAATTTATAAGCATGATGGACATGTTTTAATATTGTTTTGTTTGATCTCCGATGGATTTTTCCTTGATGTTGAAAACATATTTGTTACGTTCTGATATTGCCTTCAGAAATAAAGTTGTTAAAGGCGATGAATTAAGCATTTTGGTTGGACATTGTTTTGTGAATTTTAAAAACTCATTAACAATAATTACTGTAGAGGCCAAGGTAAAGATAAGAAGAGTTTGAAAAAGATTGTCATTGATTTAATCAATTTTTACAGTAGCTCAAGACTATTAAGTGAAATCCTGGTATAGCTCTTATTTTTTAAAGTCTTCATATCGGGAAGGAGGGCAGGAAAGGGACATATAAACCTTAGAATATGACTTTCACATTAGTCCCGCAAGATTTCTCTCCGTAATCAAAATAGCTTTCTAGCATCAAAGGGCGTCTGGCAGTCACTCCCTACCATTTAAAACGTCTGACAGTGCCCATTCATGTATCTTTGGATTGTGGCAAATCTTTTCATAAAGGTTCCATTGGGTTTCCTTTCCAGCTGGTATAGCTCAATATGTTTTCTTAGTAGTCAGGCAAAATAAACCAATTAACCAAACATGGCGATATTATATTATATTCATGTTGATCGATGAACTAACTTTTCTTAGTCATGGGGAAGATTATGACAAGCGACTGGAAGGGGGGGGGGGGAGGCAACTGCCACTGTCCATTTCCTAAAACATCCCAGATACAGAAGAAGAACTGATCAATTGCAGTCAGCGCTCCAAATCCTTTGAACTTTCTGCACTACTAAATGTCTAATCACTTTTGTCTAGTTAATATACCGATATATTGGCCAAAATCAGAGGAATATCTACAATAAAGCACCTTTTTGGCTCAAAATTTATATTTCACACACGACATCACTCATTGAAATTGATATCAGAATGAAGGTATTTTAATTATCCATCTTTTGACACCAAATACATGGTACGTGATTAGAGGTTTTAGTTCAAAGTTATCTTTAAAACTCGATGTAAACACACCAAACAGGTCCTTAATACACTATAGTTGTATATGCATACAGTTAATACACATGTGGGCAAAAATGTTGTTTTTGTGGAAATCAAATTAATAACTTTGGATTGCTATAACTTTTTATTGAAACGATATATAAATCTATCCCTCGCACAGGATAATGTCGTTGTACATAAGCAAATTCCTGGAAAGTTATGAAAAAATGCAATTCTCTGATTTTGATATTTTGAAAATAATGTTTTTTGATAAAATTCAATTTTTCGAAAAAAATCACAAAAATCATGTTTTTTACTTAAATTTGCATTGTTAATTAATCCCAAATTCCTTGAAATTGGTATCAAAATATAGATAATTTAACTCTCTTTCATATGACACCAAACTCATGGTGGTTCAAGGTTTCCTTAAAATATTATTTACAAAATACTATTTTGTCGTCAAAAGGGCCACTTTTTTTGGTGGGGGCGTCCCCCTGGCCACACCCACCAGTTAGAACATGCCAGACGGTCACTTCCTTATATTGTGCTATGCGGTCTTTACGTCTGTGCACATGAAAATTGGTTTCCCTCCCAGCTAGGTTGACCCCCCCTGGCTCCTGTACTATTAATACAAACTATCATGATTATTGGGCCGGCTGTTGCTGAGCTGCCATAACAAGGCGCTAAAACATTCAAGGAAATTCTTCCTACCGGGTACACAATTACTGCACCTGGGTGGAGAGTGGCAAATGCAATAAACTAGTACACGATTGCATAATAACTATAATAATTATTTCAGCTTTATACTATCAATAGTGTAGAGCTTCATTTCCTCTCCAACACAATATAGGAGTTACAGAAAGGTTGTAGTTATTTATCATTTTGAAGTCAAAAGTAAACTCGGTCTGAGGGTAAAAAGCAATGCATTATAAAACAGTATTTACTTGCATACATTCTGTTGGAATTGACAATCTCGCAGAAATCTGAAATTTGGGGTTTTAACATATACATGTATACGTCTACTTATCTAGAACATTATGATTCATCCTCTTCGATTATTAAGAAGCTCACAAATGATTACATGTACTTTGTAATATTTTGAGCATTAATATATATTATTTCAGTGCAAGATGTGGTACATTGAGTTATCACCATTTTTGTTGTATTTTTACCCTGCGATATATATTATTATTATTATTGGAATGCATGATAAATTTGAGTAAAAACATTGAATAGCCATGTATCTCGTAATTTTGGTTGTACAAAAAGAACACTCTGCACATTTTTGTCTGTGAAGACTTGGTAAGGTTCATTGTCGAGTAATTTAGATGGTATCAACATCAAGAATAACAACAAGAACACAATCATAGGAATAGTTGAGAGCCTTAGATAAACTAAAACACAAATTGCCCACATCTGACAGACCAGACTTTATTCACGGTGTTGTAATTACTAACCATTATTTGCATAGTTTGAAAAGAAATACGTTACGCAAAATCTTTTCATTTTTCCGTGATCACAGATTGACTTAAAAGTGCTTTATTTTGTGTTGTCAGGAATAACTTCGTTGAGTGGTTTGACTCCAAGAAGGGCCTTGTGTCTCTGGAACTGTTTGGATTTCCTGAAGTTGACATCCGTCCCGTGAAGCCAGTCCAGGATGCCAAGTACACCATAGTTGTTGTTGAATCTGAACGAAGAAGAAGGAATTGCAGACCAATTATTATCAAATTTGAAATGTAGCTTCCACGACCACCCCTAAAATGATTATTGTTTAAAAAACTTTACCCCCTTACAGTCACGATGGAGTCGGGGAAACGGCACACGGCAGTTCCATTGATTAGACGAGTTTAGCCAACCTGGTTCGAATTGGGCACAATGTAGCGACGAAACTGCTTTGTTGGGCAAGCACAAAACAAAAGAATATAGCGCATGTTGTAACCAAGTGAAACTTGGCCACAACTCTTTGTATGGATGGCTCTGTCGGGGGCATGGTCTTACTAAGTGGATGAAATGCAAATGAGCAAAGCGATTGGACAGACCGGAGGATAATGGAAGTGTCTTTCACTTTCTTGTATTCCCCCCCCCCCCCTGCTCCTCTTAGATTTAAGTAATGTAATCTGTAGGAAATGGTGAGTATTCAAGGTTCCTTGTTTTTCCTTTTGTTCTTTTGTTCTTTTGTTCTTTTTGCATATGAATATTTTGTTTCATTTTGATGTATGTTGCCGAATGAATAATGATAACATGGATGAAAAAATGTCAAGCAGCCTTTTGTATTTTATTACTAATATTTCCAATATACAGAATAGAGCCACATCATGTACTAACATATCAAATAAATTCTACACGCATGTGATAGCAAACACAATGAATCACGGACTTGTATTTGGAAATGGAAATAAAAACATACAAACAAACAGTTCACTCCTTTGCCCACGGTAAACCATCTTCAATTTTAGACAGTATGAATATGACATATTCATACTGCCTAAAATTGAAAATTGTGTACTTACTTTAGATGGTGATAGTCATGGAATTCTGGTGATGGAAGCAGTGGAAGATGGTAGCCAGAGTGAGTGATGGTTGTTACGGTGAGAGCAAGCTGGAACCACAATGATGCTACAAGCATGTGAGAGCCAGCAATGACCACACCCAAAACCGCGGGGAATGTGTTGGAGAGGAAGCTCTCAAATGGATGACTGTATAAGGACACCAGGCCAATAGGCGCCGTCCACTCGTGGTGTATTTTGTGGATTCTCTTGTACAGCCATGGATGATGGAGCAATCTGCGGATTTACAGAGAGAAGATGAGAGGAGGGGTGTGGATGAGGAATGGCACTCACTTGAGATGGTGGTAGTCGTGAGCTTCTGGAGACGGGAGAAGGGGAAGGTGGTATCCGGAGTGGTGAATCATGGAGACATATTGAGCCAGCAGGAGCCAGATGTGGAAGGTGAGAAGATGAGAGCCTACGAGGAGAGGACCGGTGATGGCTGGGAGGGAGTTAGCGAGGAGGTTCTCCACCGGGTGGGCGTACATGGTGACTAGACCGATGGGTGCGGTCCATTCGTGGTGCATCTTGTGGACGTTCTTGTAGAGGAAGGGGTGGTGGAGCAACCTTCAGAAGGAAATTTAGTAAAAACTCTCCAACTATACAGCTGCTCACGATTGCACTGAAGATCTTGGGTTTGATTATTTGTTAAATTATAGCGGAAATGAATTTTATCTTTTTAATAGACAGTGATGCGAAATAGATAGTAAGGTGTTGCATCATAATATAGGGAAATGTTGAAAGATAAAGACAGATGTTTAAACATGAGTTAAAATCAAACCTACAAAGATAAAAAGGAATGGAATGATTATAAGAACATAATACAAATAAATCATGGAGCCAAAAGGAAGACTGGATACGGAAGTGAGAGAACAGATAGAGAAAATTAATCAGGGTAAGGCAATATTTCATGTGGTATAATGTAAAACAAAAAGTTTATCAGCAAATTGCAATTTGTTAGGACTCCCTTGAATCCTATTTCGATTTTGTTTTCTTCTTAGAAATGACAAAATGCACTCCCTGTTTTCAAACACTTCAAAGTATTTAAAAGCAAAAGCTTAACAAATGAAAATAAAAAGTCTTGTACCCACCTGTGACTGTAGTAAAACCCGATTTCTTCCACTACAACAAAGACAGCCAGATGATAGAGGGCGGTCTGGAAGGTTGGTAGCTCCTCGACAGTGGATCCGCATCCTCGACGCACTGCAGCATAGTAGAGCCCGATCAGGATGGGCACATTGTAGATGGTTTGGTTCAGGAAAACAGTCCACAAAGTTCTTCGCAACTTGTCTGCAGGAATCTAAGAAAAGGTTGATTCAAAATTAATGTTACCTCAGTATTATATGAATCGTTTAACATGAATAACGAGCATATTATATTCATATTTCATATTCATATTTATTTCATTTCCAACAGAAAGGTAAACAAAGATATTACATTTTTTTTCAAATACATAATTCAAAACTATACAAATAAACTTTGCACATAATAAAATTATTACAAGAAATTCTTAATTTCTGAGGAACTTATAGTACAGTATACGGAATTGTATACCAAATGTTGTCTGAGATAAATTCTCTTCATCATAATCATAACTGCCTAAACTGGGGAAATTCAATTAAAAACTAAAGTAAGATTATTAATTCATTATAATGTTGTATGAGAAGAATATCGTTGTATGGTTCTTACATATCTATTTCTTTAAGATACTCTTTGTTATTGTTATATTGTGCCATTGTTGCATTACTAAAATAATATATAGCCACGTTTGATCCTGATTTGGCTTCAACTTCGGTTCAACAAACTATTGCTATATAAGTATATACAATGAAAGATAACACTCTGGTATTATCTTTGAAGTAATGTATGCATACGTTACATCCCAACGTCTGTCAATAGATGTATTTGTTCTAAAAACGAACGTATAAATAAGTTCATTCTAATCATATAAAGTGTCTCGATTGTAATCGAACACCGATAGGATTTTAGATACAATATATAGAAAATAATGACCTTGTTGATCGGTAAAGTCATTACTGTGTTGAGATCATGTGATCCCACTGTCTTCAATCATGGTGACAAAACAAAAATTTTTGCTTATATATATCATCAATTCACCAACTTACTTGCCATCTAATGATTTATATAATGCAAAATGATGCAAAAAAATGATAAATCTATTTTCGGAAACTTCACAAACCATCTAATTGGTTAATATAACTGAATTTCATGACTACAAAACTTCTTCCAGAAGTTCTGGCCTTTCTGAACATAGATGAAAATAATAATGTATTTACATAATAATTATGTATGTATTTTAACTCCTTGAAAATCAAGATTCGTAAATCGTAAATAAATTCTAGTCAAATTAGCATACACAAGTACATATTACTCATCTTATCATTTTGAATGATATCCCTTAATACCTCGGTTTGATCCAACTGTACTTTGTATTTGGTGATGAACTTGGGTCTACCAGTCAGGTCTATGATTAAGAACAGTCCTCCTAGCAACCAATGCTCCAGAACAGACAGACAGTGAAGAGCTTGGGAGTCACAAGAAGCACAGGAAATAAGAAATGTGAATTTGATCAGATGTCTGGCAATCATTACTTATCATCGTTTTCCAAGCTTTAACTGGATTGAATACCTGACATAGTATGGCGGTAAAGCCATCAAGAGGCTTACAATCATTATTGTAAGTCTTGCGGCAGATAATCTAAAGAAAGCCACCTACAGGTATTGTTTCTTCCCGAATGTACCCTGCAGGGAGACAGCGTCCATTTTGGGAAACAGTTTTTGAACTACTTTTTGAATAAATCATTTGACTAACTATTTTTTATTAGTTTAACTATCCAGAATATTTTAACATCATGGTTGACTGATATTTAATATCAACCTTTAAATCTATAACAAAGTCATGTTAACCACAACAGCAAGAACAAGAACAACAACAATAATAATGATATTAATAATAATAATAATAATAATAATGATAATAAGATTAATAATAATGATAATAAATATATTGATGATGATAATAATAATGCTGTATATTCAGGGAAGCCTCATCAGCTGCAAGGTTGATTTTCTTGAGGACCATGCAATTATTATCACCCCAGCAGTTGCCAGGTACCCATTTGCACTTGCGTGGAGAGGTACAATTTTTAGATAAAGCTATTAATAAGCAGGAAGTTTGCCAAATCTTTCGTAGACATGGAGATAACCCAAATCTTAAAATGGAAAGCAAATACTTCAAAGAACAAAGTGCTAAACTGATAACACGATAATGAAATATTATCGCAGTAATAATAAATTGCAATAATATTAATCAAGATGAACGTTGAGAAGAAGAATATTATGGTGCATCGTCATGGTTAAAGCATTTTAGAAAAATTGTGTTTTGGTTGAGATTCCCATATACTTAAAGCCCATCAATACTAGTGAACAGGAGGGATACAACTACCCTGCAAGGTCACTGGACAGGTGGTTATCTCATCAAATCAGCTCTCAATTAACATAAGAAAAGAGGATCATGGGGGACCAATGGTCACCGATTATGCAGTGTTTGTTACATAGAGGGCGCAAGTAGTGCAGTGTGGCTTTAAGAAGTCCGACATAGAAGGGTTGTCCATACTTACCTATCCCCATTTTGGCAAAATTTCCCTCAAAATAGTCATAGAAGTGTCCCCATTGTCTGGCTATGAAGTCCCCTGATGAAATCCAGAATGATTGACCATGGTGAAGAAGAGAGCTTCGGAATGCAGCACAAAATATTGCAAACATTACAGCTAGGACTGACAGGATGGCAGTCGTCAGGTTGGCTCCTTGTTTACCGAGATGCGGTGACTACATAGAAAGAAAGAGAGGGAGTGGAAGAGAGAGAGAGAGAGAGAGAAAGAGAGAAAGGGAGAGAGAGAGAGAGAGAGAGAGAGAGGGAGAGAGAGAGAGAGAGATACAGAGAGAGGTGGGGAAAAAGAAAGTAAACAATAAGCAAATTAATACAAACAGATTAAGGGTTTGAAAGAAAGAAAAAGACAACAAGTTTTAGAAAAACGAGGCGATATAATTAGAGAAAGAAATAGAGATAGATGGAAAAGGAGAGAGAGAGAGAGGTGAGGAGAGAGTGTGTGTGTGTGAGAAAGAGAGAGAGAGAGAGAGTGGGAGAGAGAGAAATGGGAAAATGGTGAAAGAGAAATGGGAGAGAAATCAAAGAAACGGGAAAAAGAAAGAAATCATAAAAAGAGAAAAGGATAACATAATTAAATGTACAAATATATAATGAAAGATAGAGAAATAAAAATGAGGCGTATAGTAAAGAAAAGAGCAGCTAATATACAAGAATATATAGGAGGGAGGTAGATAGATAGAGAGAGAGAGAGGGGAGAGAGAGAAAGAGAGGAGGGAGAGATATATAATATATTTATATAGAGAGATGGGGTATATGATAACAAAAATCATGAGATGGATATAATGAAAGTAAAGACACACATAATATTATGCTCGACTGTCACCAGTACTAATTTGGAGATGGTGTAAAAAATATTTTCAGAAACTAAAGAAAATAAAGCCAGATTTTTAAAAAATATCGGAAATGTTTATTTAAAGAAGAACATATCGCAATAATCAGTTATTGTTTTTTCTCTGACGTTTCTCCTGGCATTTCTCTTACCTTTAGCTTTACATTCTCATGTGGATCTCCTTTGTCTCTTTCCAAATGTACTCCATTCTGCTTGTGGTGATTTGCCATGACTACTCACTTGCTTGTTCGCTCGAACTATGAACAGAAAATTGTGAGTGTACACACAGCGTTATACTAAAGTCAGATACCAAGGCAGTGACAAATCATGTGATAGAATTTAATGGTTAATGGAGGCAATAATCATATAGGCCTGAATTCACAAAGGAGGTTTAAATTTAACCCATGGTTTAAACCCTCATTTACATAACAACATTCGTTGAAAGATTAACATTAATTCTATTCAACTCGGCTGACGCTTTGTTGAATAGAATGTTAATCTTTCAACTCATGAAAATATTCGCACTATTGAACTCATAACCATTCATTATTTGTATAATAATAGATCAAAATTAAGTCAGCTTGAACAGGAAAACCCACGAAAGCTCGAGAGCTTATTTCCGATGGGATCCCCTAAGAATGAATAAGTTAAAATAGTAATATTTACAGACAGATAATAAAATTCAAAATAATTACTAAGTAATGATAATAATGATAACAACATTAAACTGATGATAGAAATGATAATAAGTACAAGAAGAAAAAGAAGGAGCAGAAGAAAAAGAGGAGGAGGAAGAAGAGGAAAATAAAGATGAATTTGTAGAATGTCTATAACGTATACAAAAACATAAGTATACCGGTATACAAAATGAAAAAGTATGAAACGGCAGAAGAATACAAATTTCAATCATATAACATGTCATTCACTTCTCTTCTCTGACTCTTAAGTATTAGGTATTCCTTTAATTTCCTCTTAAAATGAACATAGTTTGTTTTACTTCCTTTATACCATTGGGAAGGGAATTCCAATGTTTTATGGCATTGTAATAAAACGAATTTCCAATACTCCCTACTCTTTCTGGTAGAGTTAAAGTTGAATCGGCTATTTCTTGTATTATAATCATGTAAGTCAGTAACAAGATCGAAGTTGGATCGAATATAATGATTCGACCTAGTATGATATCAACAGTGCTGGCAAAATATAACAATCTACTCAACATTCAGCACGAATACAACGCAACCACTATTATGTCCCAGTCGTTCCAAGTTACTATAGCACACAGCACAATAAACAAAGTATCTCAAATTCTTACGTATATTATTACCGCGTAATGTCGTATGCCCGTTGAACAAATTAATATACATTATGCAATTACCAAATGAATTATAGAATCTGATTTAGTCTTACTTTTTATTCGGAAACGAAGAAAGATTTGATATTCTGGTTTCTGATACGCAGTAACTGCACCTAGTCAACTTGTCTGAAGCAAGTGGAGGCCTTCGGCTAAGTATTTATACATGAACCATCACATTAATAATCGACCTTTGGACTTTGTGAGCTTACTTAGCCTTTATATAGTTTCTAACCTTGACCCAAATTCACTTCTATAATCGAGTTTGAATATTAATAGTATAATACAAAGGTTGCTCAAAAATGAGTGCAAAGCACTTTACCCCCCTCCCCTTACTACCACCACCAGCCTATACCTCATATAAAAACAATGCAAAATGTTATCTAAAATAAATGCAACATAATAGAGAAAACACAATATACAGTGGCGTAGCTAAGTCGTAAAAGACTAATCCGTTACAATTTGGGGTCCTCTGTTGAGCAGTGGCGCAATGAGCAAAAACTTTTTTTGGAGGGGGGGGGGGGGGGGGAGAAAGAAACCTCGGAAAATCATGTAAGCCTAATTTCAGCAACATCAATTTGAAAATCATTGGTATCGAATTAGAAGTAAACCACGTTTGAATGTTGTTGTTTTTTTTTTGGGGGGGGGCAACTGCCCTGAGCCCCCCCCCCCCCCCATCTGTACGCCAGTGCTTTTGAGTGAATTCATTTTTTTTCTCCAACATCCGAGTTGAGAAATGATAGTAGTTTGAAGCTCTTTGCTTTTATCACATAGACTCTATATCACTAAATTTTTATTTTATGAACTAAACACCCTAGATAAGATAAGATATCATGTATGCGGGCACCTCGCTGCCCAATACATGAATCAAACTCATATATTCAGTCACCTCGATCCCTATAAAACTTGAAAAATAGACCTATTATCATAATATTTAGGGTTTAGTAACTCGGATATAGACCTGACTTCAGATCAAGGTATTTTGGAAGAGTCGCTGTCTGGGCATTAGCAAAAGAAGTACATTTCAAACTAGCAATGCAGTGTGGAAAATAACGTCGCACTGGCTGATTTTATTTGTTATAAAGAAGGGGGAGGGGCCCGGGGAGGGGGGCAAAACAGGGTTGTTGTTTTTTCTCATTTTTACCACATTACGAACAAATTTGGCCCGTGCCGACAACTATACTGAGGACTAACTCACCGTTAAAAAGTCATTTTTGTCATTATAGGTAAGTATTGTTGGGGCCCACGTTACCAAGTTTGATTATAGGTCTGAATGATAATGATAATGATAACGATAATGATTGATAAACCATAATCCTCTCAAAGCAGCAGCCCTTGTGAAGCAGCCGGCCTAAAAAAAATATATCGGCAAGCGAATATACAAAACAGAAAGGAGAGTATTACTACATGCATGGCAATTTAAATTTGAAACTAATACTAAATAGCCAAGTCGTCAATGACCTGTAAATTGTGGCGTATGGATCAAATTGACATAAAATTTGTTATTTCACTCGATGGTCTGATCCGATCTCCGTTTAGGTCAGATAATGTATAATAAAATATGTGATACATGTATTATGGTTGGAAACTTGTGGGGCAAAATATCGCCGAACAATTATACAATTATTATATTGCGTACGCCAAGGGCAAGGTGGTGGGGGGGGGGGCACGCCCCCTTTGTTGCCCCCTCTTGCCCATGCACTGCCAGCTACGCCTATTTCTGGTTTTCCTTTTGACTTACAGCACTTGTAGAATTCAATAGAAAAATTGGGCTAACTTCAATATGTTCAATATGTGTACAATATTGGTCGCTAAATTCACTCCACGACTTGACAGAGCTGAGAGTCTGCTTGAATGAAACGGCCTAATCTTTCTACTATTCTACATCAAACTCTTCTCTTTCGAAGTGTTTTATTGTAAGTTGTATAATGAAATATTTTAGTGAAGTACTGTTTTGATTGTTTACCTGCAGAGGCCTATTTGATTATGATTAAACAAATGAAAAATGATACGATGGCATTTTCAGTCTAGTCCCACATGTCTAATTTTGTGTGGTATCTGACTTTGAATAGAGTTATTGGCCCGAGCTGTTGTTTGTTTGTTTTACCTGACTGCTAAAAAAGCATGAGTATGATTGTAATGTGAGGTGGTCGAGAACTCGAAATCAACGACAGACAGATCCTGTGAGAGGGCCAAGCAAAGAGTCTTTATTAGTAGTAACCAGTAACAGACACATTACATATCACTAATGCCGATAATCATGGAGATCATGCATTCCCCAAAACAAGTCATGTTATCAAATATTAAACGAGTAAATCTGCCCTTTAAAAACCAATTGCCACAGTACAATGTAGCTGAAACTCTCAACATTACGCAGGTAAATACCTGACCCAAATACTTAAACAACTGGAAGTAACAGTCAATATAAACCTCAGATAAAGCAATACATTCACATATTTGGATAAACCAACACACCAAGCTAGGTTTAATAACCTTATCATGTGACCTCAATATCACTACTTAATTCTTGTTCAATAAACTATACCTTTAACTTGTACATTGTAATATTAAGACAATGCAAATATCCTAATAACATAAACTTAAATAGGGCTATCCTGGTTCCCCCTTTTCACAGTAAGCACATATTAAAGAATGAATAATGAAACTAACAATATATCATAATAATGGAACAAAGACAAAATATCTCTGCTTTTAAATATCAGAATATCCCAAGTCCTGAAACATTGATAAATCCTGGAAACTATAAATCTCCTTATATCTGCATCAAATACAACCTTCATCAACCAATCCAATTCAAATATTTATCTTCCATACTTTTCTTGCTTCCAAACAAACTCCAATAATCTCCTGGTCTAACCCTAAACATTGCTCTTACTCCTATTATTCCATCTCAATTTAACATGTAACAATATTCCTTTATAGCAATCTGCAAAATGAGAAATAAGGTTTACAATGATAGAGGGCGCTAGAAACCCTGAAATGGCTACATAGTCAGACAAAGTTCGATCTTCACTGTTTGAAGTGCCATAATTAATATCCCCTAGCTTAGCAACCAAAATACAAACAACATATGCAATACTTTTAAACACTCAACTTCTATTATAAGCACTTCTTTTCTATGCTCCCTACCGTTCTTACTGACCTCATTCCTAAACCAAGACTTATACTCATCACATCAATTAGAGCGTACCCTGGTCCTGGTCCTGGCTCTGGGACCAGGCACAACATTAGCGCGCGCGCACTACACCCAATTTTGGTACCGCGCGTTCAACTTATTAGTGTACATAACCATGTACTACAATGTAAATGCATATAACAAATCAAAGCGCTAAGCATCACACAGTTTAACATTAAATCCTCGTCTCCAATATAATCATATCAACCCACATGATACATCAAAATAACTACTGAAATCGTTCTGACACAATACACATATGTACATAACAAATCTCTAGCATAACAATATTAATATTTACTAAACATAACAGTGGTTCAAGTTTGGTCAACTCACCTGTGAGAGGGCCAAGCAAAGAGTGCCGGCTTGTCTCAGCACTCCGCCCTCTACAGGTCACATGGTAATTTCCTAACCCCTTACAGTAAGTACGCAACCAGGACCCAGGGGACAGATGGCTTTAAGTCCTCTCTAAGGGCGTTAAATTTGCTGGATGATTTGACTCTGCATTCTTCAAATAGTGTAGCGCGCCCAGTATTCGGTCAGACAGCCATTTCAATTCAACAGCTGTAACAATTTAAAAAATAATTAATGAGCCGCGAAACTTGCCCAAATCAGGCAGCTAAACAACTTTTCTTAACTCTCAAAATTAAATCAGATATAGACCTAGTGCCCCGGAAAGATCTCCAACTTAGCTCGAAATTGGTCAGTGTCGCACCACTTTCTGCACTTCCGCGTTCTGTTAGCACATGCGCTAACATGCATAGCCATATGTAGAAGTCTATTGTGAAACAACTTTGTGTGCTGTCGCAATGAATTTAGTATGTGTGTGAAGAGGAGCTCTTCCGTGTTCGCTCCATCGCAGCAAATTTGCAAATGACACACATGCCGATGTGCAAGAGGTATTTATACGATACCCTTGCCATGCGGTATCGCTCGTCCAGTATTCGGTCAACGCATTGACAATCAGTGCTTTATCGCGCAATTGTGTGAAAATAGCGCACAGAGATTCAACGCACAAATTGCGTGACCGAATTCTAATCGGCGCGACCGCATTCTGGGCAGAAAAATGCTCCGTCTTCTTTCAGAAATATTTTTCTTATCATCATTCTTTATTTTAAGTGACTATAAAATCCTGTTAGAGGAATATTTTTTCGTTCTTTTGATGGGTAGATTGCAAAATAAAAGAGGTAAGAATTCAAAATATCAGTGATTTCCCCTTAAGTGACCAAATATTGGGCACTCTACCCTACACTCAATTTTAGAGTTTCAAAAGTCAAACTCAAAGACCCTTTGCCTTTGTAAAGCCACGCAGCAAAAGTGTTTCATGTTTTTTCCTAGAAAGTAAAAACCTATGATTCTACTGCATGCATGATGGATGAGCATACTCAGCTTGCTATGGCCTTGTCCATATCAATGATAGGGGAAAAGGAGCAAGGTAGCACAGCCATAGAAGTACCCATCAAGGATCCAGCAGTGAAACCAAAGAAGAAGAGAGGCAGGAAAAAGAAGAAAACAGAGTAAGTTTTTTGCAGTCCATACCATCAAGATATGGCTTCCTTGATATTTAATTAAGAATTGTGTGATTGATAATGATATTAATGATAGTATAATCCATTGACTAATTAACTATTTATTCCCATGGGGTTTATACAGGAGACACTCAGTTCCCGTAGGTGATTGGATAAAGTGATTTTTCCTGAAAATACAAAAAAAAACGCTTAACAGTATTACCATCCTGGCTTTAGCTGAGGTTCCATGATAAAGTGCTCAAGCATCTTCTTGCTTGTGAGAATTTTTTTATTTCACCAGAGGAATGCAAATTATAATTGAAATTGGTGATCATGTATGAATTATATATTTTAGTATTAGACATTGTAGCATAGTAAAGAAGAAAAAAAATTCAGGAGAACCTTTTTAGATTTATGTATAGGTAATCTGGACATGATATAAATTTTCCAAAGCTCTATATTTTATCCCCACTTTGAATTCTTGGTCTGGGAATTAAATTCATAGCTTTAAGAATGGATTCTAGTTTTGCTTGCAATATTGAAAACAACAATTTTGACCAGGAACGAGAACGTCGTAAATCTAGATTGATGTACTTTTTACAGTGAGGACCCTGATGAGCAAACCCGGATTGCCATGGCGATATCGGCATCTCTGGCTGATGAGACGAAGCAGAAGAATAAAGATCTTGGGAAGAATGAAGAGAGACCAGGAAAGAAGACCAGGGCTAAGGCTAAAAAAAAGCTCAAGAAGATTCATGCTGAGTAAGTTCAGTATTTGAGGACCTTAGTTCAGAAAATGCAATAAATCATTGCATAAATTTTGAACAATTTCATTTTCTTGCTATTTCTTTATTAATTTTTTTTTTTTCCTTTTCATTTTATATTATACTTAACATTTGATATATGTTGAATTCAAGAGTTAGAAAATCATATCCGATTGAAAGCTTTTTTCAAATTATGTTGTTAAAATATATTTCATAGCAACTATAAAGTAGTACATTAAACCTGGCTGTCTGGGTGCTATGTCTGTTATTCATATATCATGATGTAACAAACTTTTTTTTAAATGCAGCTTTAAACAAGTATGAGTTTTGATCGTATGTTCAGATTTCCAGTTCTGTTAACAAGGCTAGATGATGAACGACAGAAAATTTTGGAAGGACGCATCAGTGCTCTTCTGGAACCTAAACACTCTGTAAGTACATAACATGTCTTTACACAGTTGTGTTTCATAGACCTTTAAAATCAGATCTCCAATACTTTCTTTAACTAGCATTTTAGTTGAATTAGACACCAGGAAAAATGAAGTCCAAGCTTCTTGCTATGTACAAAAAGATGTGAATTAATTTTTACCAGCTCTGACAAAATTATCAGTTTAATTTCTTAGCTGGTCTCAAATGTTCTAGAATAGTATTCCCATCGAGAAAAGCAATTTTTGTTTTTGTTGGTGTTTAAAGGAAAATTTAGCCACATTGTTCATTAAAGAACTACTATGCGACATTCTTTCTTTCCTCTACAGGGTGTGTGAAGTAAATTTCCATAAACCTTGTAGTCAATGAAAGTATTGTTTTACTATATAATGTATGTATTTTTTTACTTTATAATGTATGTATTGTATTCAATACACACTACCAGGTTTGTGAAGAAATATGAACATTATCATAATTGATCAAAGAAGTTATATCTTTACAAATTATTAATTCTTACTAAAGTACAGGGAACATAGATAATTTTTTGCTACCCCCTAAAGTGTTCTATGAAGTGATAGCCTAATGAGTTGTTCATTTATGTTTTTAACCTAGGAGGACATTATTTTCTCTGACCATGTGTTTCAACGGAGTAACATCAGGACAAAATATTCGGACCCCGACAGTCGGCCTCTCACAGAGACCTACCCTGGGAATATTAGAGTAAGCTATTTTACCCTGTCAGATATTAAAGTACCGGTATGGTAATCAATACCCTCCTTTATGTTTTCATCCTTTCCCTAGATTTCAATTGATCTTAATTTCATGTAGGTATTGCTAAAGATATCTTTATTTTCATGGGAAATTTTGTTATTTACCATTTTCAATAAAGGAATATAAATTTGCCATTGATAAGTGTATAATAATTTTCTGTGGATATTTGTCCTTCTGATTTTTGTGATATAAAGCGAAAATGACATATTTTGGAATTACCTTAAAATCAACCACTGGTCTCCTTTGCCTTTTGATGCAGATTATAGCCACAAAATATAATCTAATATAGTTTCACCATCTGGGATTATGCTCCAAATTCAAATTCAATGTATTTTTAATTTATCACTTGATGAGCAACCAACTGAAGCATATATCCAAAGAACTAGTCATGAAATTCAGTAGAAACTGAACTCTCCTTTCTTGCAAATAAAGTATTTGTTTCCATTATTGCCAACCTTCACAGATAAAGTCTGGTCTTCAACTATGGAATGCCACTGGAGCAGACCTATCATGGAAGCAGACTGGTAGGTCACCCTTCTATGTGGAGCAGCTGCAGCCAACGATTGTACCCTTGACTCCAAAAAGCCATACCAGTCCCATCTCACATCAAGTTTTCAGCAAGACTCCTACTGAGACCCCAAGCAAGCAGTCTCCAAAGGTATGTGTACTTCTCTCACATAAAAAGTATGCCTTCCAGAATTCATCCTCAAAGTGTTTTCAAAGGGGATTGAAAGAATTAGTCAATATTGTCTGTTTAGAGCCAGGAGGGGGTTAACTAGGCCTGATAAAAACCCGATTTAAATCGGTTTCCCGATTTTTTTTTATTTTTCCCGAATTTATTTTCTTCCCGATTTAAAAAAATAAAAAATAAAAATCCAGATTTTTTTTTTTTTTTTTATTTTTTTTTTTACCAGATTTTTTTTCCTTTCCTATTTTATCCTGATTTTCCCGATTCCCCCTTATTTTCTCTATTCTTCCCTATTTTGCCCTATTTTTTTCCCAATTTTCTTACTCGAAAGGGGGGAATGTTGTTGGATGCCATTTTTTCCTCGTGAATCCTCTTCTTCTTTTTTACTCAAGGGGGGCATGGTTGAGGGGAAAACAAAAAACCTATTTTTTTAATGCTCACTATCACCCCTGGTTAACTCTGTGTAAAATGATATGGTTTACAGGCATTTCGGCTCTAAACAGATGATGTATCATCTATTACATTATTTAGTCACATTGTAGTTTAACTTTGATTGAGAACATGTCTGTAAGCCAGTATGGTGATGAATCAACTCCACCTGTGGTCAGACTAGTCATACAAATTTGTCTCTTTGCTGCAGATTTTTTAATTCAATGAATTCCATCTCTGGACTGGCGATTTGTTCTAAACTGATAGGTGTCAATCAACAAATTTAATATTTATACCACAGCAGTTTATCTTATATTTTCATACTAGTAAAGAATTCCAATTTCAGGAATAGTAAGCGAATAACTACCGTTGGTGAAGGTGATGGGACAAACTATCACTTCCGAGGCGATCTGGATGTAGCTATCTTTCAGAAGCGAAGCTGAGGAAAGATAGCGTATACATTCTGATTGACGAGGAAGTGATAGTTTGCCATCGCCTGAAACCAAAAAGTAATTATTTGCTTTATATTCCACATCTAAAACAATTTAACTACAAAAAGAAAAGAATGTGTATGCATCTAGACCCTACATGAAAGACACCAGGCCCAAATTCACACCAAACAAGTTAAAAGTTTAACCCAACCCCTTGAGGGTACGGTGCGCGCATGTCTTTGCCTTAATTGCGCTCATTGGTAATGCGCGCTTAATTACGCCTGTTTTAGTGCGCTTTTGGATAATCTTCAGTGAAAGTGCTTTGCCCTGTGTAGATAGTACCTCTATCTTCAGTGAAAGTGCGTTGCACTGTGTATATAGTAGTACTATCTACACAGTGTAACAAACTTTTTGCTTCTCCCATCAATAATAGGCGAACTATCTTTCATCACGTGATTTACTTTTGACCAATCATAGAGCAAGATTCTTAGTATGTGGAATATAATGCCAGATATTTTAAAACTATGCAATCAGTTTAGTTTGATAGTCTATTTTATTTTGATGCTACTGCGCAGTATATTATGGGTCTAGTCTTAATGTGTAATATTCAAATCACCCCTCATTAAGTCTTTTTTGCTTGTGTATTTACCAGGCTGCAGTACTATCAAACGAAGGCAGTGTAGAAGAGAGCTTCAGTACGACGCAGTCCTTGGGTATGACAGTGCAATGCCTGGCTGAGCTAGCGGAGGAAGGACTGCAAGACTCAACATCTCTGTCTCTGTCATCAGATAAATGTGGGTTTATTCCACAGGAGACAGCTCACAGGGTATGAATTTTGTATCTGGGGGTAATGTCCTCATGTTAGAGTAGAATCAGAAGTAGAAAGTTGTAAGCAATGTAGTAGAAGGGGCAGTGATAGTAGAGTAGTAGAAGTGGTAGTGGTAGTGGTGGTAGTATTTGTAGTAGTAGTAGTAGCAGCAGTAGTAGTAGTAGTAGCAGTAGTAGTAGTAGTAGTAGTAGTAGTAGCAGCAGTAGTAGTAGTAGTAGTAGCAGTAGTAGTAGTAGTAGTAGTAGTAGTAGTAGCAGTAGTAGTACTAGTAGTAGCAGTAGTAGTAGAAGTAGTAGTAGTAGTAGTAGTAGTAGTAGTAGTAGTAGTAGTAGTAGTAGCAGTAGAAGTAGTAGTAGTAGCAGTAGTAGTAGTAGTAGTAGTAGTAGTAGTAGTAGTAGTAGTAGTAGTAGTAGTAGTGGTGGTAGTAGTATTTGCATCAACAATGGGAGCAACAGAAGCATTACTAGTGACAGGATCAACAGTAGCCATAGGACGATAAGTAGATAAGTAGGATGATAAGTAGTCTTGGGAGTAGTAAGATTTCAACTCTATCAAAGCATCTCCTATCACTTCATGCAATCATTTTGATATAAGCAATGCCAGTAATGTTTTCTGTCCAAATTCAGTTCAACCTAGCTTTTTTAAAGATATTTTTATTCTAGAAATCAGGATGTAGATGGTGTGAATAGCAACACTATTGATACTAACTTTTGATGATTTCTTTTCAGGCGGACAGCCCAGAGAATCGGCTGAGTGATGACCAGCTGACCCTCTTAGAAGACCTGTCTAGTTTAGTGAACTCACCCACTATGAGTGATGCTGTCATACAGATAGATGATGGCAGTAAACTTCATGTGCATAGCTTCATGATCCAACTGAGATGCCCCGCCTTAGCAACGGTAAGTATGCCCAAGAGGTTGGGGAATTGCTTTTGAAATCATACTGTGACACAGCGAAAGTTTTGTTTTCATTCAGTGTATTCTCATTTACGTCATTGTAATTAATCTCAAGCTTTAATAGTATAACATTATTACGATGTTGATTCATTATCGGATTATGATATTGACATAGCTGCCAACCAATCTTATTTTGGAGAAATTATTCTGATGATTCTGCCTTCAAACTAATGTTATGAACCCAATATTCCTCTAATTTTCTGATCACATCTGTATAAAATGATGTCAATACACTATATCCTTAATTTGGCTTTGGAAATTTTCTAAGTTTTGCTGTGGAAGGTTGCCAGATACATATAAATTAAAGCCCCTCTAAAGTCTTGAGAGCCCCAAATTCACCAAAAATTTGATGGCAAAATTTAACTTAAATTGTATCATAATGTGAAAGAGGATGTCATTTAAGACACACTTCTGCAAAGACCCCCCCCCCCCCAACAACAACAAAAAAAAACAAAAAAATGTGTTTGAAGGCAAATATTGATAAAATAATACATAATTTGGGTTTTCTGTTGTACGCAGAAAACCTGAATTTTGTATTCTTTCATTAATATTTGACTTCAAACACATTTGTTCTGAAAATCCTTGCAGAAATGCAATCCTCTCTCACATTATAATACAATTTAGGTGAAATTCTTCATCAACTTTTGGGGCTCCAACACTTTAGAGAGGCTTTAATGAGGATGGGGATGATGGTGGTGGTGGTGGTGGTGGTGGTGGGGTGGTTGTGGTGGAGGTGGTAATGAAGATGACGATGCTGATGATGATGTTGATTATAAAGATGATGATGATGACAAATATAACTAAGATGAAAGAGGTGATAACGATAATCTGACAAAAGGAGAAAACTTCGATAAATCAGATACTTCCTTTCTGTATCCAATAATGTTTTGTCATTTCATTTTCCAACAGCTTCTGGCTAAACCATTTGGAAGAAAAAGCACCGGCCTTCCATCCATTGTTGTGAGTGATATGGGCTATGAAGCAATGGAGAATGTTCTGAGTTATATTTATTCAGCCACTGTCAATATTAGTAATGATACAGCAGTTGAAACCCACAAATTTGCTGAAAGGTGAGTGAATTATCTCTCCCTCTTAGTAAAACTAAGTTGCAGGGTATAAGAGCTTGATTTTGGTGCATAATACATGAGCTTGTAAGTTGCTAATTCTTGGAAAGGTCATTGATTTGGGGTTATCAAAACCATAAAGAAAATATGGGTTGTAAATAGGTTTGCACATACATTTTTGAAAAACTAGACAATTAAGCTTTCTAGAGACATTCCTGAGCATAAAGTAAAGCTACAGAAATCTTTCTATCTATCTATCTATGTTCCATAGCTTGAAGGCCGTTGGGGTGACAATGAAACGGACATTGAGACACAGGTTCTACATAACTTTCTGCCTTCAGCTGTTTTAGTTAGCTGCTCAAATGGCACTCACATCCACTGTTTGATGTTATTAGTCAGAAATAGATACAAGAAATTATTGCAAGATTATGTTACACTTTACTTTTACATCTCTATTTTCGTCAAATAGATTTGAAATGGCAGATTTAGCCTCACACTGCAAGCCATATCTTCAGGATGACACTGACTCTAAGATAAGACGGAAAGGAAGTGAGCTGGACATTGTGGATAAAGACCTCAACCAACTCATCGACAGTCTGTGGGAAGATGAAGAAGATGACAAGGAGGAGAAAAATAGAGATGCTGGTCGAACGTCGGATGATGACGTGAATGATGCCCTCGACGATGATGAGATCAAAGAGATTTATGAGTCATCCCAACGATTCAGGACGATAATGTTGGAAGATGAGGAGTTGGAGGATGATTCCCCCTTTAGGGAATTTGTCCACTCTAGTGTCAGCAGCCCGAAGAATATCGAGAATGATGGTGAAAGGATGATGGATGAGGAGGAGGAGGAGGAGGAGGAGCTTCACAAGATGATGTTGACACAAGGGCATAGACGGAGTAATACCAGTAGTTACTGTTCCCGTGACAACAGCAATAGTGATAATGAGGATTGGAGCATGGCAATAGATGATGAAGTGGTAGTACAAGGTGAAGTAAATGCCCAATGTGTGACCCCCTTAGCAAAGAGGACTACTGATGAAAGGAAAGATATGATTGGAGAGAACTTAAATGAGTGTACTGAAGACATCGTTGATGAAACTCCAAAGGAAACATATAATAGCAGAAGGAGGGTCAGTGTTAGTTCCTCATCAACAAATGAAACAATTACTGATGAACATCATCATATATCGTTCTTGAATCAGACACTAGTACGTGAGAGTAATGTCAGTGCAATATCCATGACGGACCGTCAGAAGAAAAGGAAGGCATCCCCAGAAACTTCAAACATATCTAAGGGTGGCAGTATGGGTTTAGAATGTGGTGATGGGGTCAAAGTTTTGCATAAGCGCTTTTTGGATGCTGGTGTAGAGCACTCAGAGAGTCCTGATGACGAAGTACTATTCCTTCGGATGGATTCTGCAGAATCTGAGAGTGATGGGCGGAACAGAACTTTGGAGAAGAGTCTGCAAAGTGTACGGGAAACAAGTTTACAGGTAGAAAATAGTACAGGGTTGAACGGTAAGGTCCAAGATCGTGGCTTTGAAGACACTGATCAAGGGAGATTAAGTTCTTCAAGGAAAAAAAACTGTTGATACAGCAATACTCTCCACAGACTGATTCTGATGATAATCGCTCACCACCAGAGCAAGTAGCATCTCATGATGGGAATGAGATACAAGTGGTTAGGATAAAGGAATCAGAGTCTGGAGAAATCATAGATAAGATCCATCGTAACTCTTCAGTAGTTCTTAAGAAACTCTCCATGACCTTAAAGTGTAATAAGCTTGATAAAGATGGCGAATCAAGGCAGAAAAGGCTTGCATCGCAGTCATCAACAGAAAACCATGATGATCGAGGATTCAAAAAAAGACAAGGGTCCTTAGATTGGAGTCTCTCTGAAGATATTCTATCTCCATCACCACCACCATCGCCCAAATTTTCCAAGGCATCTCAGATTCCAAGGTTGGAGAAAATGGTAGAGAGTAAAAGAGGTCCAGTCAGCAGAAATAATCATTTAGGATTGGATCACAGCAGGAGTTTGAAAGCATCCCCGAAGATCAAAGCAGAGAGCCTTGAGGAGGAGGAGGAGGATGATCCATACCAACTCTCTCCATCATCTTCAACTTCTTCAAGAAAAGGGAGCAAGCATCCATCCTCTTCCAAGCGCAAGAAGAAAATGAGGGTTAAAAGAGAAACCCCGCAACGTGGGAATGGCAGCAGCTTGTCTAGCCCTTCCTTTGAATCCAGTGCAAGCTCCAAAGACACTAACAGAAGATGGTCCAGTCTAAAGATGGACCAGGATCTTCCCTCCTGCAGATCTAGAGACTCGTTTCATTGTGAAGCATCACCTGAGCTGATGCATGACTTATCTCCTTCCACTTCTCCACCCGTATTGCATAGAATATCACCGTCTCCTTCCTTTGAAAGGTCTCCACCTCCTGGAGCCTCTTCTGTTCCATTGCATAGAATATCACTGTCTCCTTCCATGGAAAGATCTTCAGCTCCTGGAGCCTCTCCCGTTCCAGGTGCTTCTCCTGCTGTATCAACATCTCCTTCAGTATCGTCCAGGCAGTCTCCATACCGTGCCATGCAGGACATGGATGAGGAGCCAGAAGAAAGATTTGCCTATGACATGGAGGAGGGATGCGGTTATGATGACTTCCATGTTGGGATGGAGCATCCAAATGATGAGGATGATGATGGTGATGCAGGAATTGCACACCAGGATGAGAAGTCCGTGGAAGATGGGGAAGGATCTCACAGAAATGGTGAAATAAGTGAAGGCATTATGACTGGGAGTCATCAAAATGAACATATTGAAGAAGAAAATGAAATTGACTTAACAAATGAGGAGGAGGAGGGGGAAGACAGACTCATGGATGATGTTCACCTCCCTTCTTCAGCCTTCAGAGATAGGAGTCGTGAGGGTAGTGGTTTACCAATGCAAGTTAGTCACAAGGAGCCTGAACAAGAAGATGAATATAACAGTATGGGAACCCCACATGTCAAACATTATCAGGTGAGCTAATGACATAGTTACATTTATAATTGTAATAATGGAAATTAGTTAAATTCTTCAGACAGTTGTAATGATTTATCATGGTCTTAGGATTAATAATAGCAATAAGGGTACCCCTATATATTTCTCATGGCACATTTCAGGTATATTTATTCCACATAATTGTGTCCCATATTTGAATTATTAGTGAAATAACCTAAACTGTTTTAAAACTAGTAAGGTGGTCTAAATTAAATTAAATTTTGATTACATTCAAAATTTGATTTCATTGCATAAAAATAGAGTAAAAGTAACCCTTGCATATACAATCAAAAAGATGTCCACTTGTGCCAGATCCTCTGATAAGTGCTGGACTTTGTGTATGGTATTATGGAAACATGAAATAAATATTGACTTCTGTTAAAAATGTTTTCAGAGACCACTTTTAGGTGGAGGACCAGGAGATGGACCAAAAGCTCATAGGCTTTCTCAATCGTTGACAACAACCCCTAGGACTTCACAGTCAAACGCAGCCTCCACAGGTATGCTTTGTTATGTTAAAACCAAAGTTGTACTGAAGTGTATTTAGAGCAAGTAAGAAGACCTTGCAGATTTTTAAAATATAAATTGGGACGCACCTGTCAAAATGTGAAAATGGAGCCTGATTTAAAGATTTGTTTGATACATTTTGAAAAAAATTAACAACTTATATGTATATTTTTGACAAATAAATGGCCAAATAAATAAGATTTGTGTTATTGGAAGGGTCAGTTGTAAATTCAAAATTATTCAACATGGTCTCATGACCACTTCCAATTGTCTTATTGATAATGTAACGTTATCAGGTATTACATGTATAATCACAAGGAAGTAATTAATTGAATATGCTCAGCTCCTTATGGCAGCTTGGCTAAAGCCAAGATCCTAGTATTATTTTCTAGGTGCCTTGAGCATCCCTTGGGATGAGTATGTGTGCAACATGAATGTAGTTATTATTGTTTTTAAATCAATGGGACACTACCTATATTTAATTCACAATTTGATCAGACTTCATTGTTGAAAAGAACAAAATATTAAGTTAAAGATTGGTGCTGCAGCGTAATGCAGTGTGAGTGAGCCGTCCATGTAACAGAAAAATTGCTGTATCCTGATTGACATTATTAGGTGCTGTTCTGAAGACACCATCGATATCCCGTCTGATAAGAGACGAGTATTACCCTCCAGCTCCAATCACCCCAATGCCCAACTATGACTCTATGATGACTCCAGAACTCAAGGTAGGCATCACTAATAGTTTTCTTTTCTAAAGCCAGTTGTATCAGTTTGACCTGGTTATGAAAGTAGTTGAATTGCAGTAAACTTTTTCTCTCAGTGTCTTCATCATTTATCGTCCATTTTTCCCATGCAGTGGAGTTGGACGCTTCATTTCCCTTTAATATCGCTTCCGCTTGAGTGAGGTCTCCTTCCAAGTTGTAGGTTTTGAAAATTTGGCAGCATGAGAAATATATATCCCTGAAAGTTTCAGGAAAAAGGATTGATGTTTAGAGAGAGAAAATTTGATATTGATTTACAGTAAGAGTTCCCTTTTTGAAATGATCTATCCATAATATTGGTGTTGTTTGATTTAATCTGATTTGATTGAGTTTTATTTTGACGAGGTAGCCTCATCAGAAAACAAAATACTTTTCTTCCTTGGGGAATTGTATGAAAGCCAACATAGATTAAACGGTTGAATTATAAATTCATAAAACATAATACAAAATCAACAAATAGGGTAACAAATGTTGAGATATATTAAATATGACATTAGTTTAGTAATAAACCATTGTATCACATTATTGTGATTCATTTAAGAATTTATTAATGGATTTCACAACATTACTTATAATGTTTTATACTATTTTTACATTCAGAAAGAGCTTAAGAGGTATGGAGTTAAGCCCCTAGGTAAAAAGAAGGCCAAGCTACTACTGTCTGAAATATATTCTTATTTACATCAAGGTAAGAATTATTGAGGTGTTTTTTTGTTTTATAGGAATATTCTTCATCATATGGCCAAGATTAAGAAGCTTTATGATAACCTATCTAGGAAGGGCATTCCTCAGAGTCACTTATTATTACCATTTTTATAAGTAGGTTCAATCTAAAAATACATGCATGTGTCTAAAAAGCCTATTCTCAAGCTTATGTATCTGTTATTCTCAAGCTTATGTATCTGTTTTTCATTTGCTATGTGTCAAATGTATAAAATGTATTTTCTTACCTTGTATATTCTTCTGGTTTTTAATGTGGAAAATAAATGAAATGAAATGAAAAATGAAATATGTGTAGGTGCAATGTTACAGGGAAGAGGTGGATATTTCTCTCCCTATGATTTGCCATATTTGATCCAAAATGTTGACACCCTGTTTGTTTTGTTTTTTAAATTTGTTATTCATTGCTTATCAGAGACTTTGAACACTTTAATGCTACATAGAAACATGAAACTGATTTTCTTTTGATTGTTAGAGATTTTTTAAGGTATGTGCCCTCATACAAAGAGTCAGCTTACACCAAGGCATACATGTACATGCATACTTATACCCATGCTTCTCAAATGAGAAACATGACTATTAGTATATACAGTCAAACCTGTCTACGGCAACCGCCCAAGGGAAACATAAAAAAAGGGTCTTGGTAGACAGGTGGTCTTTGTAGACAGGTTCATTTAGTACATGTTTCAATGAGAAACCATTTTCAAGGGAAACAAACAATGTGCTTGTTGTAGACAGGTGGTCACTAAAGCAGGTTAGACTGTATAATCATCTTTCTTTCTTTCTCCCAGTCATGCCAGGAGACGAATCCGATGAAGACACATCATCCACCGCCATGACCAAAGCAGAGCCGGAACCATCCAAGGGAAGATCTAAAAAGGGAAAGGCCACAACAAAGCAGAAACCAGCAACAAAGAGAGGCAAAGCTCAGCCAAAGCCAAGGGAGGAGTCTTCATCCGATGATAGACAATTCAAGGAAACGAACAATAAGAAATCCAATATCCAGAAGAAGCAGACTAAGCCAAGGAAACGCAAGAAAGCAGAGGGATGTCTGGACGAGACACTGACGAAGAGGGTGAAGACGGAGATACCTTTGAAGGAGAGGATCCTGGATACTGCCAGGAGGGGCGTAGAAACAGAGGATAGCACAGGCTTGGATGAGCCAGTGTCTAGCCAAGGTAGTCATAGCTCAAGTATTGATAGGTGAGTCGAGTCTTTCTTGTGAGCAACTGCCTATCTTTTTAGAAGCATTCTTGGTCCGTCTTGTAAAGAGTTCCAGCCCTCCAATCAAACGCGAGTTTGCAGTCTCTTATCTCTTACATACATAGTTCCGATTGATATTGATTGCAAAAAAGTTGAGATTGATATCAACTGTTTATAAGATGGGGCCCTAGGACCTGTTTTACAAAGCCTGTTTTCAATGACAAATGACAAAAATCAGTAACAAATCTGCTTATAACCAATCAGAACCAAGGATTTCACTAGCTTATAACAAAAAACTGTCATTTGTCACTGATGACAAGTTAGTCGAATTGAAATCAGATTTACAAGATTGTTTTTTAAACTAAAAGAATGCAAAAATTGATTATATCAAAGTTCAACTGATATGGAAATTATAATGTGCTATATTTCAAGGAGAAAAATGGGCATAAGTTTCAGATTTGTTACCAGCATTTATGTCGTTTTTTTACCTTGCAAAGATTATATGTCTACCGGTATGCTATATGATATACCTTGTATAGATGAATGGATGAATGACATTGTTAGAATAGGGATAAATGTTATACATATACTTAGGGGTAGCACATTATCTCCAAATGTAATTGTCATGATTTGCAATATTTATTCTGTATCTGTTTTTTTAACCAGAGAATAACACCAAGGTGATTTATTACAAGATATATTAGTAATGTGTGTTCAATAATTTAATATTCATGTTTCATGTTTACAGTAATAAGAGTGACTTTGGAGAAAGCATTTACTATGAGGACATGGAAGATGAAGATGATGATGTCATGGAAACACAACAGGTGTGAATTGTTCTGATTTTAATTGAATGCAGTACTGGTATATATATATATATTACATTTAAAATTCATTATCATGCATAAGAAAGTTTTGCGCAGTGCTCTAACAGGGCTCTAAGATTTTCGCTTGTTTTTCACAATTATTATGAAACTGTTACAATAAATATCTTGACAGAGGTAAGATAGCAGAGCCAACCTGCATTTTAATGGGATTTAACTCCTGTGAGAGAATAATATGATGTAAAAATTAGGAAAAAACTGCCAACCACTACAACTGAGGGGAATTTGAATTGACATGTCTTCATTTTTTGGTCATTTCTTAAGTAGATCAAGGCCCCGTCTTACAAAGAGTTTATATCACTCACTACTTATTTGCAATTGATATCAATCGCAACTATGTACATAAGAGATAGGAGACTGCAAACTTGATTGGAGGACTTGCGATTTATTTGGTTCAATCGTAACTCTTTGTAAGACGGGGCCCAGACCTATAGTTAATATAATATGTACTTTTTTTCTGTGTGACACATTAGGAACAAGATATGTCCACCGAGGTAAAGAGATATATCATGAGGAATAAGGAGCTACATCAGAAGATCCTCCAATATGAGGTAAGCACAAACATTGCTATGTCAAGAACATTTTGTTCCTTTTCAGTTGATTTGTCATTTCATGAAGAGATGAAATGATGATGCGCACATAAAAGTGCTAGATTAGGAGAATATAATCTTTTGAAAATAATGTACTACCCTAAGAGTATGATTACATTTTAAGACAAAGGCAATATTTTTATTGTTAGTCTTCCAGTTTTATTTCCCAATTTCTTGCAGTCTTTACTGAGCAATTATACATTTTTATTTCAAGTTCGTGTGGCAGATATTTATTTGTAGTCTTTAGCATTGACATAAATTCTGTTGGATTCTGTGTAGACTATTTTGTAATTTTAACATTTGTTCTTCTCCCATCCTTACAACTGAGGGTCGGGGGTCATGGATTCATACACTGATGCTGTCCACTGTTTCCTCTCTCTCTCTCTCTCTCTCTCTCTCTCTCTCACTCTCTCTCTCTCTCTCTCTCTCTTGCTGTTTCTGTGCATTCTGCAAGGGATCTCCTTGTCCACTGTTTGATATCATCTGTCCATCTCCTTCTTTGCCTTCCTCTTGACCTTATCTCATTGGTTTGACCCTCAAGGATGTGGGTACAGAGATTTCGGGCCCTGATGATGTGTCCCACATTTTTGCATTATCAAAATTAAAAGGTTGCCATGAATAAATTAGGTTTTTATTTTTTCAGGCGTTGAATCTGGAAGAGTTTTACAAAGAACTGAAAGAAGCCAAAGTACAGTGTTCTAAAGTCAAGCTTATGGAGTTTCTAGACCATCAAGTAAGTCATGTCATATGAATGGACATTACTTGTACTTATTTTTTCAGTAGTCTAATGATGATTGTAGAAGTATACCAAGACGTTATGTATCTGGATCATTGATTTAAAGAAGTTTATGAGCAATATTTCATAAATTTTCTAAGACTTATGTTGGAAAATATTATAAAGAATAAATATTCATGCAGTAAGTGCTATTTAAAGATGAAGTTGAGTTCTGGTCATGCAATTGCATTGTGAAAGAAACGGTGTGGAATCGACAAGAAAAGGTTGATCATCTAGCATATAAGAATTTGTGTGTATTGCAAGGTCCTGGAATCATCAAAATGATAAGAAATTTGGCCAAGTCTTGGTAAAGTTACAAACACTGTACACAGAAAGATGTATATGGGACTACACGAACACGTGGCGTAAAAAACCTACCCCCCCCCCCCCCCCCCCGAGTTTTACGATGTTACATGACATATTTAGAATATGAAGGCATTTGAAGAGCCATGCTTTTCAGGGAACATGTCTTATCTGATGTTCTTCCACACTTGCACAATAAGAATGATAAAGTTCATAAATTATTTTTCATCTCTTCCCAAAACTCAACTTTCTCTTTAATGAATATTTTTTGTTAAATCTTAGGGCAAGAGAGAAGGCTTTATGTTTGTTAAGTGTCAAGACGCACACTTCTCCATCATATAATGAAATGAATAGACTCAAAGTGTGATGAACTGGTTAAATGTGTGTTTACAGTGTGTTATAGTACAAATAACCAGGTCTTTGTGCTATACTTGACATTGTGTCTGTCCCTCATAAACAACAGAGGAGTATAAAATCAAGGATTATTGATTATTCATATTTGACATTAGCCACTAAAAAGAGTTTTCACAACTGTATGACTTACCATATTAATGTTATTGAATTAAACTAAAAGCACATTATTGAAATCAAATGGGTCACTGGTTCGATTCAAACTTATTATTTTCATTGTGATTTTTATTCTTCTAAAATATTAATGTTCCTCTATCTCAAGTTACCTTACTCTGTATGATGTACCTCACCATAAGCATTATGTATTGCCACGACACGGCCGGTTGTAGCAACTACTCCAAAGATCAAGATTCAATCTTGATAGGAGACACAAACGAACGAACGATTGTCTCTCTTTCTCTCTCTTTCTGTCTTTTGTCTTTCAGTCTTTGTAATTTGAACAATTAATTTCTTTTTGCTCCCACATTTTTAGTGTAAGAGCTGAACAAAAACATTTTAACCATACTTGAGATATCGACTAGAAATATTGCATTTTATCAATTATAGGGCTAAGAAATGATTTTCTATGCCATTATTCTCTTATTTTGTCTCCAGTGTATCACCTTTCGAGGCCAAGGAGGCAGTCGGCAGCGCAAACCAAAGAATACCAAGACCAAGACCAAGACCAAGAGATAACCAAAGTCCTTCCCTCTACTCGTTCATCAAGCAGAGCAAAACTATTTTAGCCAACTTTAACAAAGATCTTTATGCAGATTGGTTCTGTTTGGGATCCAAGATAATCTTGAGAGTCCATCATGGAATTGGGTTCCATTCTCAAGACACAGAGAAGGCGTAAAACTCACCCTTGAGGTCAGATGAAAGCGCAGTAATGGCTGGTGTCACAGTGAGAGGAAAAAATGTTGTTATCCATGAAAATCACTGAAGAGGTTCATCTGATTGGTGATGTAACTTGAAAACTAGGTAATTTTTCTTCTGATTGTGAAGAAAGACGTTGTTTTCAAGTTCATTTCACATTGTGTTCCCTTTAATTTGTTGGTATTCACAACTTCCTGAAAGCTGTTTACATGATTTCCATTGGAATTGGAAATTGGAATTACAAAAGTAATGGGAAACAAAAGAGATTTATATCATGACTATGTGTTAACATAATGCTGCATGTAATTCATAGAATAAGACCTATGAATTCGGGTTTGTTAATGTATATGGCTTTAAAAGCTATTGTGTATTTTGGTTATGGAATAACATTTTGAGAGAAGCTTTCTTTAAGTGAGTCAGCATTGTTTATCAATTATTTGATGGGTTTATTGAATCAGAATATTTTATCACATTCATGATATTTTGATGGAAATTATACTTCATAAAAAGCTCAATTGCTCGCATTTACACGCAGGAGACTGATTGTTCTGTCTAGATTTCTTTTTTTTTTTTGCTCATCACTCAGGTATTACGATCTCACTTATCCAGATAAATCATACATCTTATTTTTTTCAATCAAGTATCAGGTTATCTCAAATATGTGCAATAAACATGAATAATGCAATGCAGTGATTTTATGTTGATCATGCAGTATTCTTGGTTTACTGGTGTATAGTACTGATTGAACAGTAGGGCCTATATACAGCAAATGGCTTGGTGCAGAGTGAAGCCTGCCCCCCCCCCCCCCCCCCCCTTTGTATAAAGAAATTAACTACAACTGCATGACATGCTACCTTTCTGTCTAGTAATTAAATTATTGTCTATTCTTGGAAGTGGCTTTTAGAATTTAAACCTTGCTTATAACTTACACTATGAACATGACTGACAAAGAAAGCGGACAAAATATACAGTTCCTCAGGTAGACAAAGGAACATCCCTTCACTGCTATTATGTAAAAATATGTAGAACAGGTGTCACATGCACATTCACTTTTTACATAATAGCAGTGAAGGGATGTTCCTTTGTCTACCTGAGGAACTGTATATTTTGTCCGCTCTCTTTGTCTGTCATGTTCATAGTGTTAGTTGTGGTTTGTTCACTTATTTATGGAAAGCCAAGTGTCAACCATTTGATTCCATATAAATTACTGTTATTATGAAACAAAATTGATAAGTAAAATTAATTTGGTCATAAAATGATTATTGAGAAAGTAATTTCACGATGACAAGTTTGTTTGATTGGTGGTGTTTTTTTGTTACAAAATTGTGACGATTAATGGAGGACGAAGAGACTGATGGTTGCACACTATAAAATCAATGAACTATTAAAATCTGTCTAGATGTGGTTTGTACCTGGCCTTAAATGGGGTAGCTTTCAAGAATACAGGTCCTAGTTCTAACTGTGTTGTAAATGAAGCTAAAGATGGTACCCTTCAATATTTACTCCTTGTTTGATCACTAGTTTATCGTTGATAGTTTGATCGATGTGCAATTTTGTATGTATCTTGAAGATAAGAATATTCTTGATCTCTCTTCACAAGTGTCCTAATATAAGATAAATATTATATTTATGTTCTTGTTTTGCCAAGGAAATGTGTGCTTATTTGTGCCCAAGGGTTGCTCAGTACAGGAAATGTAATACCGGTAGTATTTATATGAAAAACTTTAAATAGTGTTTTGATGTTTCAAATATTACTGCTTCTTACCTTAAAATGTCAAGCATTAGTATAATGCTTGGGAACTGCTAAGTCGGACTAGAAATGAAGTATGTTTGTGAAAGTTTATGAATCAATTATCACCAAACTCAAAGATTCATTCCATAAACAGGGAATGTATGATCCACACGGCTTATTTAGAATCAAGGGGTTATCATGTCCAGTCGGGTGGTCGTGTTACACAACCTTTCGTGAAATGAAAACACTTCAGGACACTACTTTTCAAAGCTTAATTTTGCCTTGGGTTTTCACAAAGTGTCAGATAAATTGAACCAGACCATTTGTAGATGAGAGGGGTGTATTTCACAAACATTACCCCCGACATTTCGTGAATAAAGGGCCACGTTTTCAGAAAAGGTCGGGTAACGCGATGACCTGACCCTACACGATGACCTGATGATTCGAAGTAAACCTATTCACACAAACCTTTTCATGTATTCATCTATCTCATTAATTGCATGAATACAAACATTTCTTTCAAGAGAGAAATTGATCTCTGTTGTAATAAAAATGTTTTAAAAATCCATATTAATCGTTGTCTGTCTTGTGATTTTATTTCCCATAGTATTTCTATGGATACTTATAGTCAATGTTACAATTTTCATGCAGACTAATATATTTAACCACATTTTTTTGTGGTATGGGGAAGATCTGACTCAGATTTGTTGCATTTTCTCTAGTGGCTGTGGTATGCATTTACAACAGTGAGGGAAAGATATGACAAATGTAAATGCTAAAATCAAGGGGATATGTTGACTAAATTTTAAAATGTTAGGAAACTATTCTAAAATGGTGAAAATGTGGAAGTTTGTTAGGTTTTTATGTTTTTGCTGCTTTTGGGATGGGGGAGAAAGAGAAGGAGAGAGAGAGAGAGAGAGAGAGAGAGAGAGAGAGAAAGAAGAAATGGGGGAGGGGGGGGGGCAGCTTGTGTACTTGTGAGATGAAATAGTTCACTGTTACAATTTCATTTCACAGACTCATATTTAAAAAATATTGCTTTAATAAATGATGATGAAAAAGAGAAGAAGGAAAAGGGAGAAAAAAATAAGTGGGGGAAGAAGAACGAAATAAAGATTTAAAAGGGTTAGAGATCAGATGGATTAGGAAAAGTGAGAATAGGATAAACAATATGAAGGAGAGTAGTACTAGGAAAACAAAACAAGATGTAAGTAGAATATAAAATGGTGGGGGGATGGCCGATGGCTAATCGAATTGACAAACAATATTTTTCCTTTTTATGAATACCTTGAACTTTAAAGGTACCATACGTGAGATCGACTAAAATTTCACATGTGAGTATTATTTATTGAAAATTTGAAATATTAAACGTTTGACATTTATTTCTCAAGATATTTAGTGTCATTGGCTACGAAGTAGATTTGTAGTATTGGTATAGACCTTAGGGATACATTTTCGTCCAAATGAGAAACAGATTATACTACTCACAACAGTGCAGTCTGCAGTCACCACGTCCACGACAGTAATCTACAGTCCCATATGCTAGCTTTTATGCTGCCATCAATGCACGCTGTGCCAAAAATCTGACTTGTGGAATACTTTTTAATTACTCTTACTTTTAGTTCTTTAATTTTTCAAAATTTTGACACTCCTTTGAACAGTCTCAAAATACATTATTGTTCAAAAGAGCTTTTTCTGTTCATTTATATTTATAGTCTAATGTGCTGCAATTTCTGCAGTTTTGAATTTCATTTTTTTTTTTCTTTCTTTGTCCTTTGAATTTTAGTTTTGTTGTGTTTTAACCAGATCGAGCCCTTAATTAGTTTTTTTTTTCTTCTCGTTCTTGTAAGAGATGAAAAAAAAAATCAAAATATATTGCCACTCGTGCATTATTTGGATTAATGACTATCTACACATGCATACACTCGACTCTTGTGTCAATAACGAGGTTTTCTGGTAAATTGGAGAAAACTGAAAAAGAATGTAAATTTTCAGTTTGATTTTCTTTGAAAAGTAAAAGAAAGTTCATGTATTCTGGCAATTCATCTCCATCCTCTTGCTTGCAAAGTTGTTTGAAAAGAATAAAATAAAGAAAAAGGTAATGTAACTTTAACTCCAAGTAATGAAGTATAATTAATAGATGCATGTTAGCAGAATTTTTTTCAATTAGTGTAGTTGAGAAATTTGTTATTATTAACTTAAAATTAAATAAGATGATGTATGCTTAGTATTACATGTTCTAATAACAGTTACTTAATCTTTTACTCATCTGTATCTTGTATTCTATGCTTTTATTGAAAGTAAGACAATATCTTGATGGAATTTTCTTTTAAAGTTTGTATGATTCTTTCCGATAGGTTTGTTGCTAGAAGCTTGATTAGGTCAGGAATCATGTCGGCAACTAGTGGGGTGGTCCAGCGTCTGGAGCAACGAGCTCAGCTGGCAGATGAGATCATCTTGAGACTCCAGCAACAGGTTGGGCAACTCCGCAGGACAATTGGTAAGTTCTCAATTTCTCCATATCTCAAGCTGTACCAATTGGAATAAGAGTAAACCTACTCAGTTAGAGTTAGCATATTCCAAAATCACAATACATTCACATCTGACCTTTAAGTTATAAATTTTTTAAAGTACTAATTTCTTTTACTGAAATATACATTTGTATCCAGATTATCACATTTTCTTACCACCTTTACGGAGTCCTTCAATTCAGCCAAAGTCCTGGCTTTTAACATACTATACAATATCTCATTTAACACTGTGGTAACTTGACTTTCATGGATGTGTCTCTATCCTTTAGTGGGTCGTGAGGAGCAACGCTTGGCTGAGGAGAATAGTCTTCTGAGACGGGAGGTTACCCAGCTCAAGGCCACACTGGTGGGAGCAGAAACGAGAAACGGTGGTAAGTTGATTCAAGCTCTACCTTATCTATGCTCATCATATTTAAATCGTTTTAAATTGTATAGATTCAGGAGAGATGGTTCATCTTCATGAAATAATTGGAAGTAAACAATTCAAATTTGTTAAACTGTGCGATCGAAGGGGGGGGGGGGACATGATTCCCCCTTAACAATTTAAGGGGAGGGATATGTCCCCCCCCCCCCCCCATCGTCGCCCATGATAGTAATGAAAAGATAGTACTATACACTTTATTATTCTTTGTCAATGCAGTGAAGCAGATTCCTGTGCCAAAAGCAGGAGCTACTGTAGCTGCTTCAGCTGTGAAGCCACCAACTCAGCCAGCTGCCCCTGCCAAAGCTCAAGCCCCAGCTCAAGCCCCTGCCGACCAGAATCAGAAGAAGAAAGAAAAGAAAGGTAAGTTGTTAACCTGTTGAATACAACCCCTGATATATTTTGGGCTGGGGTGTCCCCCTAAGATCAAATTGTATTTAATTAGCTGAGTGGGTTAATTAGATGAGTGGAATGCTGTGCACTTGGATTTCTTGTAAGATTTAATTATGATGTTTAACACCCAAATGTGGTGGACAAAAATGATACAAATAGAATAGCAGCTTCATTTAAAGTATGGATTGTTCTAATTTTCATAAGTATCTTTTGATGATTTTAAAGTTGTCATTAGTAAAATATAATGGCGCTGCAGAGAAAATACGGAAGTTTAAGTCTTCTTGTTAAATGGTTTGTGTCGTTAAATTCGATACTTTCATGTACGCATCAAATGTTTCCTCATTTTGATTAGGGTAAGTAATCATCCGTTTGGAGTAAAACTACACTATTGATTTACTCTTTTAACAGAGAAACCCAAGAAAGAGGCCAAGAAGGATGGTAAACAGGATGACCAAGCTGCTGCTGAGGTGGACTTCCGTAACCTAGACCTTCGCATTGGTAAGATCACCAACGTGAAAAAGCACCCTGATGCAGACTCACTCTATGTGGAGGAGGTGGAGCTGGGCGAGACACAGCCTAGGACTGTGGTGTCGGGATTGGTCAAGCATATTCCTATTGAAGAGGTGAGTGATGCCTTGTTTGTGCAGGATTGAAATCGTGGGTTTTCATCTGCTTGATAAAAAAAATTTACACTGAGTTTTAATTAGAAATGTGCCTCACAAAACTCAATGCAGTACATGTCGCTAACAAAATCTGATGATTTGTAATGAAATTTGATCATTTAAAAAACATTGTTATAGGTATGGAATGGAGAGATACATGTAAATCCGTAGATCAGACATACAAAATAGAACTATTTTTCAGGCCTAGTTGGAAGCTAAATATCTGTCGCATTGCATCAACAATACAGTTTCATAAAATTTATGGTCACAGATATTCATTCTTTGCTAAATATTACTACTAAATCTCAGTAGTCTGTTGTGTTCAAGCATGAATACAACACACTAGGATAAATATTATTAATGTTTCATGTGATATTCGATGCTTTCTGCAGGTCTGGTAAAGACATCTAGTCTGTTACTCCTTTTCTTAGTGATGATTCTAATGCTCTTTTTGTAAACCTATAAACTTTGACCTGTAGATGCAAGACCGCATGGTGATTCTGTGCTGTAACCTGAAGCCGGCTAAGATGCGAGGTATCCTCAGTCAAGCCATGGTCATGTGTGCCTCATCACCAGACAAGGTTGAGATTCTTTCTCCGCCCTCAGATGCAGTGCCAGGGGACAGGGTCTGCTGTGAGGGCTATGAAAGTAAGTAGTGTCTTGTTTTAACCCCCCTTTCAAAAAGGTTCTTGCCCCACCCTATGGTTCATTGTTAAGGGATAAAGTCATCTGTGTGGAGGCCATAAAGATAATGTCTGGTCTTCAGTGTCTCACCACCTTAACAAGGTTGAAATCTGAGCCCAATCCCTACCCCCTCTCTGCTACCCCCCCCCCCCCCCCAAAAAAAGGTTGAGATCCTTTACCCATCCCCAGATGCAGTGCGAATGGAGACCGAATCGACTGGTAGCCCTTTGCCTACTGGAACTCGGTGGCCCCTGTATTAAGCCTACAGCAATTAAAGAATTCAGTAGTCAGCAGGTTAGTTCTAGAGTCTGGTCTTTAGTGCCCCACCCCTCTTCGCCCCCTCCCCCAACAAGGGAGACATCCTTGCCCCACCCACGTGTTCACTGCCAGGGAATTGAGAGGGCTTTAATGAGAGTAATGTATTGATTTTAATTTTTTAGTCAGGAAGGTTGGGGTTGAGATTGGGGGGCGGGTGGCTCTGTATTTTAAGAGTATTGTCATGAAAAACAAAAGTGCAATTCTAATTTTGATTCCATTTTTATTGCAGTGAGTGAGAGTTTCCCAGTCCAGATGAATCCCAAGAAGAAGATCTTTGAAAGAATCCAGCCTGATCTAAAGACTGATGACAAGCTTCAAGCAACCTATAAGGGGTCACTGTGGAAGGTTGAGGGCAAAGGTCATATTGTCGCTGCTACCATGGCTAACTCTGGTATCAAATAATGATGGGTAGATTTTCCCCTCGTATAGAATTAGTCATTATTTGATAAAACAAGATCACAAAGATTTTCAAGAAATCATCTTGAGGTCACTCTCACTGTCTTGATGTATTGCCTTCTGAAATCATGTTTAATGTCAGTATAAGGTCCACCGATGTCCAAAGGTGATGCACAAGACTATTAGAAATCCTGTACTGTATATGATTTTTGTAAAAGTCTTTGTGATCATGCTAAGAGTACAGTTAAAGGAAATGGTTCATAAATGAAGGCTCCACTGTTGTCTGCTTGGCTGTAGGATTAAGATTAGATGATTCCATTTTATTGATAAGGTAATACTACTCAAGCACGTTTTCTTCCTGATATTTTGCTTGTTTTACATTCTGTAGAAAATAAAGAATACCTATAAATTGTACTGATTATCGATTTAGTTCAGTATTAAAGAACACACTTTCATGACATTCCATGATTGATACTTGAGATTATGAAAGATTTAATTACAAATATATATACAAGTACTATCATAATTATTTAGAGTGTTAAGGAGCTGTTTTGAAGCCTTCTTTTTTTTAAATCAAGAATATTAAACAAATGTTCTCTTTATTTTATTAAGGGATGTATATGTGTTGTATTCACAGGGATATTCTAAACATAACATTAAAGTGGTACTCTGTCCTTTACTATTTGCATAAATTAAGTTCCTTCATGAATAAATTAGTATGGTGACTTCTTGTATCTTTAATTCTGTTAAGCATTTGGGAAATGGCATATTAACATCTTCTATTTAAGATATTATTTGTTTATTACTTTTAAAAACAAGAAAGTATTGGAGCATATAGGAATGATGAGGTTGAGTATTTACTAGAGAAGTAGATTACCCTTTCATCAGAATTGTAACTGGAGTGATGGAAAATAACAATGTGGTAAATGTGCATTAAAAATGCAAACTCAACGTATAGGTAGGTAGTTATATAGTTCTACAGATAGAGGAATATTAGAAATAGTAATAATATTTGAATATGTAACAAATACATGATATTATGACAAATACACTTGGATGATTTGTACTGTAACATACTCAGTTTAAATAGTGTTTAAGTAAGAGAGAGAGAGAGAGAGAGAGAGAGAGGGAGGGATAGTGAAGAAGAGTGAGAGATTTTAAAGGGAAAAGAAGAGCAAGAGCGGGAAAAATAAAGAGGAAAGAGCGAGAGAGGGAGAAAGTAAAGAAGTAAATTGCATGTGCATGTTTAAAAAGTGTCCAACAACAGTTCTATATTCCGTCACTGTCTGGTTGTACTTTGCTGCCAAATTCGTTAGCAATGATCCAAACAGATAAAAAGTAGAGAACAAGATAGATGTTTAGAAAGAGGGGAATAAGGAATGACAGGGAGAGAGAGTGAGAGTGTGACGGAGTGACGGAGAGAGAGAGAGAGAGTGTGTGACTAAGAGAGAGACTGATAGAGGGAGGAACATAGAATCAGAGAGAGTGACAGAGAGAGAGAGAGAGAGGAGGAAAGAGGATAAAGAAAGAGATAAGGGTTATCGAGAGAAAGGGAGAGAAATTATTAAGAGGTAGAGGATATAATGTGTGTAGAGAAAGTGAGAGCAAAAGGAATGAAGACGTGTATGAAGAGCGATTGTGTGGATAAAATGAGAGAAAGGAGAAATTGATAGGAAGGCATAGATTAAAGAGAAACGTAGTGAAAGAACAGCATGAGGAAAGAGGATAGTCCAGTGAGAGAAAGAGGGAAGAACACAGCGATGGAGAGCAAGTTCAAGTTCAAGTTCAAATAAGGTTTTATTCATTACTTGTCAACAAGTCCGAAGACTAAAAATGCAAGTTTACATCAATATAAAAAGCATTCAAAAACATAAAGATAACATAGCAAATGAGGACAAATATATAACAATGAATACATTTTTTAATCAAAACATTAAAGTAGTAACAAGAAAACAAAACCAAAAAAAAGATTTTAAAAAAATACAAGATATGAAATATTGCTAGCAAAAATGAATAAATGTTGACATATAAACAAATAAAATGTATACAGATACGTGAATTCAATTAACTGTAACATTGGAAACATTGTAATTAAGTATTGAGTATTGAGTATTGAGTATTAAAAAGTATTAAAAAGTATTAAAAAGTATTAAAAAGTATTACAATTGGAGTCTTGGCAGTGTGCTTATCACAAGCGTGGAAATCAGCATGGAAATTTAGTGACAGAGAAAGAAATAGAAAGGAAGACTGAACTGAAGAGAGAGACATACAAACAGAGACAGACAGACAGACTGAGAGGGAAAGAAAAGTCTTGATATAAATTAAAATGAAGATTAATGAATAAAGAAATTATATAATGAGGGAGACTTCATGTGTAGTTTTAAATCAAGTATTTAGATTGTGATGATTTCTTGAAAGCATAAGGCAAACACTTTTAGTAATTATTACTTTACAAGACATAATGCAACAATAATTGTTGTATTATGTCTTGTAAAGTTCCTCACATTAAACTGCCATACCATATTTTTTGCAATTTTAACAACGATATTCACTCATCAAAATCACTAATATGACAATCAGCTACGATGCCATCATAATCATCATCATCATAATCAGCAACATCTTCATATCATTATAATCATCATATTCATCATCATCTCATCATCATTATCATCATCATTATTATCATGAACATCATCATTAGCAATCATCATCACCATCATCATCATCACTATCATTATCATCATTACCACCACCACCACCACCATCATCATTATCATCATCATCACTATCATCATCACCATTACCATCATCATCATCACTATCATCATCATCACTATCATTATCATCATTACCACCACCACCACCATCTTCATTATCATCATCATCACCATCATCATCACCATTATCATCAACATCATCATCATTATCATCACCATCATCCTTATTATCATGAACATCATCATTACAATCATCATCACCATCATCATCATCATCACTATCATTATCATCATTACCACCACCACCATCATCATCATTATCATCATCACTATCATCATCATCACCATTACTATCATCATCATCACTATCATCATCATCATCATCATCATCATCATCATCATCACAAGCACCATCTTCAGCAAGCTCAATTGCGTAAATGTTAGCGAGAGTTTAACAAATTGTACGTACTGGCAGTATATTCCTTTCATTTTTATTGCTGAAATTTGATGTTACAAAGTAAGAAAACACAAGTACAAAGTTTCGTCAGGGATCCGAAAATACGGAATTGTGAATAAAACGAGGCTTAACTTAACCAAAGTAATGAGTATAGAATATATTATCAGTTATCAGTATGTTAATCATAAATAAAACAACAAGCTACTTGTAAACAAACTTTAGAAATTCCTGAATTACAAAACAAAAAAACCACCCCGGCAGAATAAAGGGCGTTGAAATATACAGTTCTATTTTTTTAAGTAGAAGACAATTAGTAAAGTGTTGCTTCATGATCTTAACATGTAGAATAAAATATCCATCAAAGTTATCTAATCTGAACATATATGTTAAAAAATGCAAATATACCGTACACATGTAAAAGTAACATATTATCAATACATTGCAATTTAAACAAACTTCAAACTCCAAACAGAACTTACAGAAGGATTAATTTTCATGTACATACAATATATTACATATACAAGATATTACGTAGGGGTATAGCTTAATCGTACGTCTAACAAACTATTTAATGTCAACAATCAAACTGTTCAAAATACAAGGAGCGTCACCACGCACTTCAAAATATCCTTTATTAAACAAGATACTATAAAATTTGCAATTATAAGGCACGTAAAAGTGTAGAGCCATGTCTTATCAAATGCATAGGTCATGTAAATAATAAATTAATATTTCCATACACATATACCTTTGCATGGGCACAAATGGTTCATAGATATCTTAATAAACGAGAAATTGCACAACACTGAATAATAAAGAACTGTCTTAAAACAATTTAACATCTCATACAGTCGTATAATCAATAATCCATTTCCATACAATCATAAAACGAACAGTGAAAAACATTTAATCATTTACATGTATATTTGTAATGTTCAATCAAGTATATCTATATAAAAACTACATAAACTGTCATATAGTTATATTTATTTGCACGTCAGGGCCCCGTCTTGTAAATAGTTGATATTATTCACAACTTTTTTGCGATTGATATCAATCGCAACTATGTACATAGGAGATAGGAGACTGCAAACTTGCGATTGATTAGAAGAAATGCGATTGATTTGGATCAATCATGACTCTTTAAAAGTCGGAGCCCAGGTCTTAATCTACTGACCATGATACATTACCTTCTAACTTATTCTAAAAAGCAATTTATCACAAATAATGTCAGCAATTATTACAATTAAATACGAACAACAATACATGATTCCTAATCATATGCTAAATTGGAAGAACATCATCAATAATAAAGTAAACGGATCTCAAATTTAATTGCATTTTCTGTATTCAACTTCTTATATATTCATATCATACCTTATCTTACACACACGAACTTTATCTCAATGTGGAAATAATGTGATATAATTTTCAAATGTGTATTTAATTATATCACATTGAAAAGAATGGTACAGTATATTATTAACTTAAATTGATTTAATTGACTAATATCAATTCGAAATACCATACCAACTGATTGTGAGTGACGTGAAGCCACAGGCGACCTAACCGCATTAGAAATCATACTTTACTTTCCTTTCTTACATGACTGAGAACGCATTCATTTGCTTTGTTTTTGTGAAGAAAGTTTCTTATACAAAATCACATTTCTAAATGCAAATGACGAAGGGGATAACCGAAATTTGAAGAAAAATTAAATCAATGCATGTGACCCTTTACTACACAAATAATCATTACACAGACTATATACATATCTTACATGTGAATAAAAGCAAACTGTTGCATTTCTTCAGTTTGCTATAAACACAATTTGCACTTGGTTTAATGGTAAGAAAACAAATATTTTAAAGATGTAAACTGCAGTTAATCATCAATAACTCCAATTATTAATATAAATTTTCTATCTATATAGTCATTCTTAATTTTGGCAGAACAAAAAAAGATTTGAGAACGTGTCAAATCAATTGTTATATATTGTTATTCATATCATTACATTGACATAACATAGACATTATACACATCTTACTGGGAATTATACCATAAATACTTTACTAAAGTGAACATGAATAACTAATTTATCATTTCCAAAGAGTGCATATTATAACATTTATTTAATATCGTAATACTTTATAAATTGAATCGTATTTTACAGTTTCTTAATGATATCTCATTGAAGCATTTCTATATGACAATATACACGACATGTTAGCTACTTATATATTTACAATTGAAAGACACGGTGAGAATCTCATGAATGCAATAAACGTCAATATTGTTTCATCTGATACATATATATAGATGAAAATATTCATTGTCATTCATATTACATCAATTTGTTCAAATCTATTTACATTGTATTGCACATTGCCCGGCCGTTTTACGAGCCTCATCAATTAAGATTGAGCGATCGAAAGTTCATTACATTACAAGCGAAATACTTAACATATTAAAATAAGAAAGTAATAGAAATGATTAAGATATAGAGAGGCTATAGGGGAGAGAGAGAGCATGAGGAGGAGAGTGAAAGAAAGAGAGATAGAGAGAATGAGGGAGAGAGAGAGAGAGAAAGAAAAAAGAGAAAGAGAAAGAGAGAGAGAAAGAAAGAGAAATAGAGAGAGAGAAAGATAGAGAAATAGAGAGGATCACAAAGACAACAAGATACACCATTCGTTAAAAACGCGGACTATAACCACATACATGTCAAAATCACTATAATACTAATTATGTCAGCATCAACAACATCATCTCAAATACAATTACATTAATATCACAAGAAACAGTGCATGTTTTAACACGATAATCATTGATGAATAATACTATTTGATTTACTTATTCACTCCTTCATACGAGTGTCCTTATATTTCTTTGATTACTTCAACATTTCGCATGAACTCACATTTAGGAGAAGCTTGTTTTGCGAGGCTTAGGCACCGGCTTATGCTCAGCCTCGCTGGGATCTGGTGGAGCCGATGCGACGGTAGGAGAAGCAGACAAAGGCCTGACATCTGCTACAGGTATAGGTGGCGGGGTGGATGGTGGTTGTTGGTTAGTCTGCATCACTCGCATAGCAATCATAATCTCCTTCAAGAGATGCTTGGAAGCAGAGAGGATGTACATATGCTTGCCAGGGTAAAGGACCTTCCTGAATCGAGATTCTGGTGAGATCTGCTTGCTCCAGTCATCTAGGAGTGAGGGGTTGACGAATGGATCGCTCTTGCCTCCAAAGACGGTCATTTGACAAGGAAGCTTGTCTTTGTGTCTGAAGCGATACTTCTTACAGGTAATGATGGCTGCTTCAATGCTTGGAATGAGACGGGTCATGAGGCGGACGTTGTTCATAACAGACTGATCAAGGAAGCTGAACTTGATTGGCATGGCATCAGGAAGTGGTGTCCTGGTTGAATCCAGGTGGCTGGTCAGGATGCGCTGCATCTTCCTGTAGACATCTCCTGTCACCTCTAGCTCTTCAGGATGTGGGTAAGGCAAGGTTGGTGCATACCAGGCGCTGATGAAGAGATGCGCAGGGTATACATTGAAGTTCTTCCATAGATAGTGAGCCAACTCGAATGCGATGAGACCACCGAGACTGTGTCCGAAGAAAGCAAAGCGTCCCTGTAGCAGTCTAGGCATAAGTGCCTCGGCCAGCTTACTAACGATGTCGTTGATATTATGAAGTGGTTTTTCATGCTCACGGCGTTCCCAACCAGGGAGTTGCGTCGTTATCATCTGAATGTCGTACTCAGCCAGATGACTCTTCCACGGCAGGAACATAGTGGGGCCACCACCAACAGATGGGAAACAGATCAACTGTGCTGCCGGCGTATCAAGGTTGTCTTCAATGCGATACCACATTTCACTTCGAATATTCAGTGTCGGAGTGATCTGTGTTGATGCCTCCTCTCCCTCATCGTCACAGGAAAGAACGCGTTCGTAGATGGTGTCTGTAAGGCTCCCGAGGGTCAAGCTGTCATTGAGGAGTTCCATTGCTGTCAAAGTAACACCAAAGTTCTCATGGATGATGCTACTCAACTCCGTGGACATGTGGGAGTCCAATCCCAAGGACATGGGTGTCGCGTCTTGAGACACATCTCCACTTAGACCCAAACGTTCGACCAAATGAGTTGACAGTGTTGCAAAGATCACTCCCTTAGCCTCTGTTGGCGTGAGCAACCTAATCCGCATTCTGATGTCAGTGTCAGCCGCCAGGAATGTATCCCGGTTAGGGAAAAGTGACTTGAGGATGGAAAATGTACCACCAGGCTCACTGAAATGATGTGACAGCATGACGCTAAAAGCTCTTGCATATTCACGCCTGTCAACAGCACCTGTAAGGCCAAGCTCTGGATAGTCGGTGGCTAGGATGCAGCCCAGGCCTTTCAGGATCTCTGAAGGAGGTAGACTTCCAAGTCCGACGTTCTCCCATCGTTTCACAAACCCTTCACGTGCGGCATGCCCATGAGTGTTGATTACCCCAGGGCAGAGCAGAGTGGCTGGTAGGCCAATCTTCCTTCTCATGCTGCATAATGCGGACAGGAAACTATTGGCAGCGCAGTAACTTCCTTGCCCTTCATTGCCAATCATCTCTACAATCGAAGACATCATCACGAAGTACTTGATTGGGAAACCAAGTTTGGTTGTCAATTGGTGAAGAATCAGTGAGCCGTACGCCTTTGGAATCATGACGTCATTCCAAGCTTCAGTAGTCATATGACGAAGGATTGCATCATTGTAGACTGTGGCGCAGTGGAAGATACCTTCAAGTGGCTGGTCTTCGTTGTCCTTGATGGCCAGGAGTGCCTTCTCTACTTCATGCTCACGCCCCATATCAACCTTCAGATGAGTAATCCTAGCTCCAGAATCACGGAATGATTTGAATTTTAAGATCGTCTCTTCTTCTGGTGTATTACGTGAGATGACGTAGACATGACGAGCTCCACATTGAACCAGCCACTCTACCATAGATAGTCCGAATCCCTTGGAACCTCCTGTCACTAAGAATGATGCCTTTGGATTAGCAGTGAAGTGGATATCATCGAAATTCAAAGTGGCAGGAATACTGTCTTCATCAATGTTGACGGTTATCTCCTCGAGTGATGCATGGGGAGATCGTGCCAACTTAGATATTGGAGCAGTTGGGACCGTGAGAGACTTGAGTGCCTGGAAGCCATTGTGGACGCTGAAAAGATGCAAGAGACGGGACATTGCATCCTGCATGCGTGCACGCATATCCTCGAACCGACCAAGAGCCATGTCAATAGACAGAAAGTAGATGTTAGGAGGCAAGTTGCTGATCCTAGAATCCCCAGCAACGGCGTCTCTTCCATGGATCTGGACAATGGTTCCGAAAGGCCGCAGTTTCCCAACTAGCCTCTTCAAACTGCTTGTATCGTGAGGAAGCTCTCCAGCAAACAGCAGAACATCCACAGAGAAGTCATTGATGAGCGTGTTGAAGTTCTCATTCGAAGTGATAACCACTCTGGAATCACCGAGGATTCCAAGGAGCTTCTCGACGGGTAAGATGTTTCCATCATCTGATTCTACATGGATGAACACTGTAGCTCCCTGCTCAAGTGCGAGATGTGTCGTCGCCAGGCCAACTCGATCACTAAGAGATGATAAACAGACAATAACTGTGCCATTCTCTGTGAGTTTCAGTGTATCATGGAAAGCGACGAAGGCTGGGAGGTAATCTCGCACGATGTTGATAGCCTCTATTGGTGTGAGGTTAGCTGGAATGGGGATTAAGTCAGATGTCTTAGCGTGGAGAGATGCAGTGATCTGATTTCCGGTTCGAAATCCAAGGACGTTGGTTCTCATTCTGAACATGACTTGCACCTCTTCACTACAGCTGAGTATCTTCCCGGCATAGAGATATCCACATCCGACCTTCCTGTCATTTGCATCTACTAGCTGCTGCACAGAGAAAGCCGTTACTTTGATGGCGAGTTCCTTGTCAGATGTCTTGGCTGGCATTTCATGACTCTGCTTGACCGTGAGACGTTTCTGTTTCAAGCTCTCATTCAGATCGACCTGCCAATTTGTAGATAGAGTAGGAGCAGAGAAGCTTGATTGTGGTTGCATGATGATGCGCATGGCATGAGCTTCAAAGGCGAGTTCTTTTGGATCGTCACCAGCTGGAGCTGGTACCTTTCTCCTGAGAGCAACATAGTTTTCCTCATTCGGGGCCGACTTCATGTACTGGTATAACCAATGTGCCGATTCTTCAGGCTCTTGTAATGACGGGAGATCCACAGTCACTACAGGAAACTCCGGGTCTTCATGCATGAGTGTCAATCCGAATGATCCAGCTGGAGCCATCATGGGGTCTACCACGTCAACATCCATGACAGAGTGTGCACCTCTGGTGATAACCCACAACCTTGGCTTGGGTTTAGTGTCGTGTCGGCTGACTGCTCGGTAGAGGCTGATGGGAGAGAGTGCTGTCATCGTCTGTGATTCTTCAAAGCTCTGCTTACTGATACCTCCGATCGCTCCAAACTGCTTCACATCCAGGGGAGAGAGGAGGATTAGGTCTGTCACCATACCAAGTGAACGCAGTACTCGGCGGAATCTCTCGTCACCGTCAATGAGAATGCGTGGATCTAGGACGCTAACTACACTCTCAACTTCCATCCGCCGTTTCAGTTCCATTGATACACCTTGCTTGTCCTTGATGATGATTATTGCACCTGGAGCTTCTGAGCCTATTGCACTGAGTGGTCTGGTTGGTGGAGGTACCTTTTGTGGGACACGAAGGGCACTGTCATCAACCTCTATGTGAAATGGTACCCATTCTCTTCTCCACAACTGAACTCTCTCCTCTGGCTCATTGGAATGTACATTCTCGAACATCATGCTGTCAACTTGTGCGAAAACTCTCTGGTTCGTAGCATCAGCAACAACGGCATTACCATATGTGATACCATTCGCTTTGGTCATCTTCACATGGAATGCCATTTGAGTGGGTGCCTTGCCCTTCATATGTATCTTACGAACAGAACGTGGTACTTGGAACCAGGTTCTGAAATTTGAGTTCGTTGTTCGTGCTTTCTCTTGCTCTTGGAACATCTGACAGATACCAAAGCCCTGGAAGACACTGTCAAAGAGTGCAGGGTGGAAGTTGTACAGCTTGAATTCTCGCTCGAGTGCCTCTGGCACAGATGCATACAACAGCGCCTCGTTGTAGTCATGGCTGAAGTAAGCTGTGTTGACGCACTTGAATGTCTCACCAAGATGGAAACCGCCTCGCCATAGCCTGGCGTAGAACTCTTGTTGATCGGTCTCATAAGGACATTTTCTTCTGATGTCGTCTGTTGCTAGCTTCACGGAGTGGAATCCTTCCTCAATCTGATGAATTGAGTTGCGCACTTTGCCTGGTGCATCAATTGATGACTTACTATGAAGTGTCCAGCTGCGATCTGTTTGGTTGTAGCTACGTAGAGCGAAGAGAGCTTCCCGTGATCTTGTCTCAAGACTGATTTCTAGGACACCCTCAAGCTCTGAGGCGAACACAAATCTTTCAAACTTCACATCCCTCAGCGTTACAACCTCGGAATCAGGGTAGACTTCTCTTGCTGCAGCAATCATAGTTTCTGTGTGAGCAGCTGCTGGGATGACGATGTTACCTTGAAGCTTGTGATCTCGAAGCCAGGGCACAGTTGATTTCGAGAACTTGGATCTCCACACTCTTGGAGAATTTTCTCCGCTGAAGTGTGAGAGGTGCTGCTGCTTACCCAAGAGTGGATGACAACTGATGGGAAACCTGAACATCTTGTGACTCTTCTGTGTAGTTGCCGAACAGAGGACGCGTTGCCATGGGTAGCTTGGGAGTGACATCACTTTGTAAGGACCCTCCTGGAAGAGATGATGAAGATCGAAGGGGTAGCCCTCAACATGAAGTTTCGCCATTGAGCGAAGGAGGTTCACTCTGTCATCTGCTACCTCTCGGGTATCCGATGGTCTCCTAAGGGAACCTGTTACAAACACGTTGCTGTTGTTCATCACTGATGTTCCTAGAGTGTCCCTTATAGCAGGTGATAGCACAGGATGCGGACTGATCTCTAGAAAGCAATTGTAGCCATCTTGGAGGAGCTTCTCGATTGCCATCTTGAACTGGACGGGTTGTCTGACATTCTTCCACCAGTAGGCAGCGCTGTTGACCTGGTCCCTATCAAGGTACTGGTTGGAAACCGTCGATATCAAAGGCACAACAGGTATCATGTTGAAGTTCTCCCTAGCTGCCGCTGAATCCAAGAACTTGACCTTCTTCAGGAAGTCCTTCCTGATCTCTTCTTGCTGGTAGCTGTGGAATGCGTTGTTAACCTTCAGCGTCACGCACCTTATCCCTTCTCGCCTGAGATTCTCCGAGAAGGCAGCGAGTGATTCCTTGTCACCAGAAAGCACTATCTGACTGGGGCTGTTGATTGCTGCCACGTCGATGACACTGACATACTCGCTGCTTTCTAGTCTGGCTTGGATTTCCTCTGCCGAGTGCAGGATGGCAACCATGCTTCCCATCCCACTTGTTTTCCTGAGCTGTCTCCCTCTGGTGTAGATCAATCGGATAGCATCTTCTAGAGCCAGGAGACCAGCAGCATGGGCTGCCGCTACCTCCCCCACGCTGTGGCCAACGATGGCATCTGGAGTGATGCCTCGGATGCGGTAGAACTCTGCCATACCAATTTGAACGGCGCAGATACATGGCTGGGCGATTTCTGTATAAAAAAAATCACCAAAAATAATATGATAACGATTTAGAATATATAATGAAGTGCTAAACAGATATACATGTATACTCATCATTTATAATTACTGATACATACCGCCTGACATGCATACACTGAAAGGATGATTTAATCAACGAGAGAGGAGGGTAGGTTGTGCTTCAAATACTTTCATTCATACAAATAAATGTAAAGTAGCCAAAACTACTGATATATCGAATCCCATATCCATTCAAATACATGGATGTGCATCATTATCAATTACAGAGATTTAGTTATACTTTTTTGGGGAATTATGATTTCACGTTTCATGCACAAAGAAAGTGGAGAGAGAGTGAGAGAGAAAAATATGAATACATTTTCACATCAATTTAGAATATGATTATAATCATGTATATAGACCAAGTTTAACAGAGCAATTGATTACCTGTTTGGTTGATTTTCTCTCGATCCGCTTCTCTTGTGAGTAGATGTATCAAAGACCACTTAGCTCCACACTTTGTCAAGATCTTATCGATGCGCTGTAAACAAAAATAACAAGTATGAAAAATGGGATGCTACCTTTAATATTTATGCGTGTTTACTTTTCTCATTATATTGTCTCAGAATACAAGTAAATATACGCAGTATGTAAACCGAGCTAAATTAAAGTAGCCAAAATGGAGAGGAATTATCGGCCAGACCATGCAATCAACATGTGTACAGTCAAATTAATATCCAGACCACTGAAGAGAAATAAATATTAGTCTTGATAGGCAGATGGTCCGTCTACACAGGTTCCCTTAAATACATTTTAAAATGAGAAATCTATATTCAAGAGATAAATTTATTTTTTTTCATAGACAGGTAGTCTTTTGATCGAGGGGTCTCTGAGGCAAGTTCGACTGTATAGCTGACATGAAATGCATTCGAATTACCGTTTGAGTAATCATATTTTGCTTTTTAATATAACTTTTTTATCATAAAAACGCAACGAGGAATCAGAAACACCCTTATCTATCGTCTGAGGTCGATAGAGGTACATTAAATGTGATTAATGTTAAACTGGTCAGACCTTCCTGTGTAAATACCTTCTAGAATTCATCCGACACTATAAACAGAAATCTCCTTTAACCCTTTCAACCTCGCGTATTAACCAAGCAAATTACATTACTACACGTTACAGGGAGCATGAAGCCCGTGAAAGGTTAACGTGATTGTGTGATATTAAGTGATGACGGGGGCAGCAGAACGAGCCAGGAACGCTTCCGTTTTAACAGTGATATTTCAGGTGAAGAGAGACGGGAGAGACAAAAATAGATCCAGAAAATCTCAGGAGACTTTGGGAATATGCCAACGTGGCGTACCGGTTGCTACCGGTAAAAACTTGAACTAGAACCTTCCCATGTGTCTTTTTGCAGACATTCGAGATCAAAATAATGAAGAAATACTTAGCGATCCTTACATTATTTTAAATGCAAATTTGTGGAACATGCCTTTATTGAAAGGGGTGTGACCCCATTCCCATTCGAAACTCTTGACGGAAATTCCTAGAACACTGTTTACTCTGTCGGTAAATGTGAAAGTCCAAAAAACTACTCTAAAATTTGCTTGTTGGAAAATTTTGAGCTTAAATTTGATCTAACACCTCCACCCTCAATCGAGGAACCCCTATAAATATGTAGCATATTTGGTCCACGGAAGTAAATGTAAACGTATTTTTAGCAGATTTGTCCATAAATATGAAAATTGATTTCGAATAACTCACTAAAGTAATGATTACAATTTTAATGTAGATCGAGTGAATAGTCTCAAATTTTGGTTTGATTTTCTTGGGAAGGAGCGGACGTGGGAGCGATTTATACATTATTCGATCGTCCCTTTAAAATATAATTTGGGGGAATTCAGTTACTGTTACAGTTATAAGGTTACAGATTCTTAGCATATTGATAAACAGGAATATCTTACACTATACGTTTCAATGTCACATTAGCTTGATAGTGAAACAGATTGAATAAATACCTTGATGATGTTTCTGAAATGGACGTCATCATCCATAAGCTGTCTTGCCATGGCCCACCACTGCGACCCCATCCCAGAGAAAACGAATACCAGTCGATGCACTGACAAGTGTGGTTCCGGGGCTTTTCCTTCGATGACATTGTAGGATACCCTCGGATCTTGGTCTATTTTCAATCGGACCTGTTCTGTAGCATCTCTGGGTGACCTTGCGATGATACCCATTCGAAACTGGTGGTGTGTGGATCGGACAGCTGCTGTGTACAAGGCATTGTTGTAAGCCCTTGTATCGTTCCCGATCACTTCGTTGAGGTAGCTTCCCCATTCCTCCAGATGTTGCTTGAGGGCGTCCTTGCTCGCAGCCGACAAAAACAGAATCGAAGGTTTTCCAGAGTCTCTTTCGTTGGAACCATGCGAGGAGTATGAGCGTTCATTTCGGTTGGTTCCTTGTTGGTATCCTTCGAGAACGATGTGAGCATTAGCTCCACCGAATCCAAAGGAGCTGCACCCAACAAGCTTCTTAGCAGCCTTTGGCCACCTTGTAAGCTCACCGGGGACTCTAATGTTCAAACTTTCAAAGTCAACACTCTCATTTCCTGACCTAAAGTGAACCACCTTAGGGATCTGTTCATGATACAAACACAGTGCTGCCTTGATGACACCAGCGATACCGGCAGCGCCCTCTGAATGTCCGAAGTTTGATTTGACAGATCCGAGGTAGAGTGGTGGTTGTTCTACTTTTCGATTAAGTCCCATAGCTTCTCCAATGGCACTCGCTTCCGTTCGGTCGCCGACCTGTGTACCTGTACCATGCGCTTCCACGTATACGACTTCCTCTGGAAGGGTGTTTGCATTTTTATACGCATTTTCAATGAGCGATACCTGACCATCATAACTTGGCAGGGCAATACCAGGAGTGCGACCATCATTCGCGATAGCTCCACCGCGGATCACTCCGTAGATTCTATCACCGTCATCGATTGCGCGTTGAAGAGGTTTGAGAATGACGGCTCCTACACCCTCTCCTCGAGCATATCCATCTGCTGATTTGTCAAAGCTCTTACATTTTCCATCAGGGGCGAGCATCCCCGCCTGGCAAAAGCCGATGCTGGTGATGGGAAGCAACGAGACGTTCACACCACCCGCCACAGCCATCTCACATTGTCCATTCTTCAATGCTTCGCAGGCCAGATGGACGGAATACATGGATGACGAGCAGGCTGTGTCTACTGTAAAGCTCGGTCCGCGGAAGTCGAACTCGTATGAAACTCTGTTTGCCGTCATGCACGAGTTGGTTCCCGAGTTGGTGTACTGGTTGATGTTGTCGTTTGGCATGCCGATGAGTACACCGTACTCACTAGCTGTCACTCCCATGTAGACACCAGTCTTAGAACCTCTGGCTGAATGGGCTGGGATACCTGCGTCCTGGAGTGACTCCCAGACTACTTCTAACAGCATACGGATTTGAGGGTCCAGGTGATTGGCTTCCTCTGTCAAACGAAATGTATCAAACATTTAAGTTAGTTTCATGTTTTACATACATCTTAACTCTATAAATAAAAACATAACTGTGTACTTTGACTTAAATAATTGAATTTGAAAGTAATTCGGCACACTGTACGTGACACAATTATAGCATGCCTGTTTTGTTTACAACTTCTAATTACTTATTATAATTAGATCAATTATACAGCGCATCTACTATACGAATATACTTTACTGTGCTGTGATGGAAACAAAACTCCTAATAGTGCTACTTAACAGACACGTAATAAAAACAAAAATATTCAAAAGATCTTGAAAATAAGTGCGTCTTCAACATACTCGGAAGACAGCAACATATGAGGATTTTCTTATGTCTAGTGGTAGATTCTTCCAAAGCTTTGGAGTGGCGCAACTGAAAGCTCAATCTCTAAAAGTTACTTTTATCATGAAGTTTGTTAATAGATCTGAATCTAAAGTGTACCTCAGCAGAATACAATATCGTCTTTATCATCCTAAATACTTTAAATATCCATTAAAAATAACCATGATTTTATAATATGAAGTCATTTTATATCTTGCACAAATATACATAATTGTCTTACCTGGTGATATCCTGAAGAACTGGCGATCAAAGTGTTCTGGATTCTGCGATAGATACCCTGCACACTTGTTGTACATCTTCCCTTGTATCTTGCTTCCCGGGAAGAGGAAGAAAGATGAATCGAAGCGATCACTGGGAGGCGGCGTGGTACAGTCCATCCCCTTGGCCAACATCTCCCAGAACTTGCGGACGCCGTTGATGCCGTTTGCGTAGCGGCATCCGATGCCAACGATGGCGACTTTCTTGTCGATGGGCATGGTGGGGTCGTCGATGGAACTCATGATGGCGGCTTTGTGTTTCTTGCCGGTGATTTCCTGTGAGACAGTCTTGGTGAGGCGTGCTCCTCGTGAGAGTGAGAACGCTCCTCGGAGGGTTCCTGATCGGCTTCTGTGGCCGCCTGTAGCGCCCCTCCAACTATCGTCCATAACTCAAGGTGACCAACAAGAGAAGATTAATCTGAATGTTTGGAAAAAGGAAGGAAAAAAAATGTATGATAATCAATGAAACTATTCAACAACAGTTTGGTTCGGTTTTCCTGGGCAAGGTCTGAAAATCTTGACCCCTAAAAAAAATGTTATATCTTTAAATATTTTAGGGAAAAATGCAAAATTGTATGTACATAGTGAGCTTCATGTTAACAAATGTTAACAAATCATTCATAATAGTTTGATTAGTTAGTATACAAATAATGAATGGTTATGAGTTCAATAGTGCGAATATGTTCATGAGTTGAAAGATGAACATTCTATTCAACGAGGCGTCAGCCGAGTTGAATAGAATTAACGTTAATCTTTCAACGAATGAAAATATTTGCACTATTAAACGAATGAAAAACATTCATTATTTGTTTTATACAACATCGAAGAAGACCTAATAGAACGTTAATCAACAAATTATGCTTTACTCCTTATAAAGATAAATTAAAGTTCGAGTCAAGCCTTCTCTATTACATGCAGATTGCCTAAGCTTCGCGTCAGATACACGCAGGGATACGCGCACATGCAGCAGAGAGGTGCGCAGTCTGCATATAACCAAAAATGCACGGCGCATATAACCAAAAATGCACGACCGTGCAATATACCATCTATTGAATATCATGTGACCAACAATCGTCCAATCAAATGACAAGGATCCACGTAGGTGTTGTATAATACCGCATAGTGCATGCAGTCATTATTTCCAAAGAAAATTAATGGTGTGATGATAAATGCAACTTTTTGTTACCCCTCCTGAAAAGACGGTCGCTTAATTTTATTAATTTTTGTTGGGGGGGGGGGGGGGTTTGGTCTGGTCGCAAGGTATTATTCGGCGAGATTGCAGTTCTGATGCTGGTTATATGGCTATGGGGTACAGACATGCCTTGGATGTCACACTCAAGCTAGCAGTTAACATTCATTTCCGCCGGGACCCATGATATACTGATAGTCCTCATCTGTGCTTTCCCGTGTCTTATGAGATTGATTCATGGCTGCAACATTGTATCCGTGTTATACTTGGGGTCCCCGTGTATGGATTGGGAAGGGGTGTATTTATGTGCGTGCGCGTGTGTGTGTGTGTGTATGGGGGGGGGGGGGTAAGTTAAGCATAATTTTATTATTTTTTCTTCTGATTTCATTCAAAATTAGCGCTTAGACTTAGAGACTTCGGTGGAAAGCGCTTTATAAGCACAATTGTTATTATTATTCCTATTTTTTTAATCGATCGTTATTTATGACTTGTATTAAGTTAATTGAGTTATGTTATTATAAGAAAAAAAGATTGTATTTTTAATAGCTAGTTGTATTGCTGTTATAGTTAATGAAATAATATACAATTTACGGGAAAAAACCCAATCCTACATTTGTAGCACATTCAATCATCTATTTTGTTAAAAATGTACAATCATTCAATATTCCTATGTCTAGTTTTTAATGATTTTTTTTCCTCATTTTCTATCGATTACTTTTACTGTTCCCGCAAATATTTGTATTTTAATCTTAGGGGTGAAGAGATAAAGCTAGCTTCTCCAAAATATCCATTATTATACTGAGATGATCTTTCACTTCAGCATTGCTGTGTTTTTTCAAGGAGAGCGAGAAAAAAGAAAGTTACGTATACAACTTTGAGAGTACACAGAAACTTTTGTTCTGGCCACGCCCAATACCAATTTTCCTGGATAATAGTTTAGATACGGTGCCTATTTCAAATTATGGTAACGTTCATGATCAATAATGAAATAAAGGACATACCTTCCGCTTTATTCTTAATAGACACTTTTGTCTTTCCTTTTTATTTATTTATTATTATCATTATTATTATAATTATTATTACTATTGTTATTATCATAATTTTTTGTTACAGATTTTACTATTTTACTCTCCTGCGCTTTACATTCTGCATGACAGTTCTCAGCGTTGTGTTATCATATTTCAACAGCATTGGATCTTTAATTCAAATGCAGGAAATTACTTATATTAATTGCGTAATATCAGGATGACTGTTTTATTAGGGCCAATTAATATCGGACGTGGAGTGTAATATTTCTTATGGCTATAGGTCGAAATTATTTGACAATGTTGAAGCTTTAAATTGATTAAATTATATCTAGTATTGTACTAGTACAATAGAATCAAGGTATTGGAATAAATGTATAAACACACATTAACATATACAGCAAGGCTTTTTAAAGAAGTCACAATGAACCAATAATATTGATGGCAATTATTATTAATAACGTGATTGTTGAATGTTGATGTCCGTTGACGCCCTTAAGGCTTACAACCCCCTCCTGTTTTTCAACTCTCTCTCTCCCTCTCTCTCTCTCTCTCTCTCTCTATCTCTCTCTCTCTTCATTTGCATGTTCATTTAGTCTCCCTATCAATTAGAGAAATGAATTATTACCGTCCAACTGGGATGGCAACATGTTGTTAAAGTACACGGCACCCCACCTTTTTAGAGACACAAAGCCAACGAAGGAAAACAAAATACTTTCGGAGTTCATTTTTAGCACTGACAATGTTATTGTACTGTCACGGTTTTTTCGATTTAATGATAATTCAGAACTTTGATATTATCTGTTTAACATTTATTTCAAGCATTATAGCTGTGATGTTAGCTTTATTAGAATGTCACAGGCGAGGTAAAAGAATTTGACCTTTACAGGGTTGAGATATTGGCAGAGAAAGAACTTGTACCCCCTCCTCTGACGAAGTTTGACATACCGGTTTCCGGTCTGGTCTTTATACTGTAGGAAACTTGTTGAAAGGTCATGAACCCGTTTCATTGTATGTACAAAATCCGTAGTAATAGAAATCTGCTGTATTTGATATAAATGTGAAATTCGATTAAGATAGAGAATGTCCAAAAGACTTAAACCTATGATTTTGTTATCGTACAATTTATTATAGGAATAATCATACCTGGGGCTTCTTAGACCAGCAAAACTGAAATAAGTACATATGATTGTACACAATTTCCATGTAATTCTCACCTTATCGTATAGGGAAGGTGCGTAGGTAATATTGTAATACGGGCATAATGGTTGGAAGATTACTGTCTCCTCCAATAGAAGGAATTTCAAGTTCAATTCAAAAGCTTTATAAAAAATATGTAGCTGAACTAGTCATATTTGGATTGAAATTGTATCGGTTCCTGTACTTATTTCATTCAATTTAGGTTTTTACCCACTTGTTGCAAACCTGCTTAAAAACCCACAGTAATAACACCGATATGAATGACGGCTGGTAATTAGTTCTTAAATCGCCTAAAAATCATTCCTTCCTCCGAGTCATTCACTGGAAACAAAGAACAGGAAAATCGAGTCTAATGCAAACTGGAAGTGGAGTATTTCGACAACTAAAGCTTGCCGATACGGGCTTTCTTTCTCTCTTTTTCCTGAATAACCAGACGGTAGTTTATAATTAGGACTGTCAATTGTTGTTTGGGTGTGACAGCGGGATACTCATCAAATGTGACAATTCCTGTCTTTAGGATTTGAGGTAAATTTTAGATTTGGTGTGATTATGTTTTCTTTAAATACGTGTAGGTCTAATTCAAGCTTTCTCTAACCAACGAGTCAATATATACGGTATCATGAATTATAATCCTAATGTAATATGATCTCTGAATGGATAAAACTAGCAGAAAAAGCATAAGAATAAGGTTTTGTTGTTGATAAATGATAGTAAAAAGAGAAAGATGCAATGAATTTTTAAAAAAATTAAATGAATATAAAATATAATAGATAAGAAAGCATCAAAGGAAGGCGGAAATCAGGACAAAGCACTTAATTTTCATCCTTATTTATTGTACCGGAAAGAAATCAAGTAGAAATCATGGAATTAAAATGCCGGAAATAACGACAATAGTAAATAAAACTCGATGAGCGTAATTGGAATTTTTAACTCATGTTAACACAACTATGATAGTATTCAGTGTGATACTTTATTTGTAAACCATAATAATTATTTGCCTCAGTCTTAAAATAACATTCTACATTCGGAGGATAGGTTTCAATTATAATATGTAACGCACTGGCTGATATACATAGTAGTGGCACGAGAATAACCCCAAGCCACCATTCTATTTTAAGGTCATCCATTTTACATCCATGGACATTTTTAATCTGTTTTATGAAGAAATTCCTGTCATATTTTGGCATCATCTTCATCATCATTCGGTCTAAGATGGGTTCTTCCTTCCACGCGAGTTAAAAGCTTCCTTACATTAACTCTATTCAGAACCCCCTAAGACCCCCATAATGTCAGTTCAATGTAAAAAGGAGGGGCACGAATTATATATTTCCTTCTAAAAGTTGACAAAAATATGACGAGGGACGCCTAGGAAATGAATAGTGCACTAAAAATATATACATAATTCAAATACTAGCAGCAGGAAAATATTCCTACAAGACATATCTACTTGATTTGATTGAGTTTGACCTGTATTTGCAATGGAGGAGGGTGTGTCCCCCTGGACCCCCACATGGCTACGCCATCGAGACTAGACAGTCAAGTCGGAAGGGCAGATTAGAGGTTTAAATCGAGGGTTTCTGCCCCCACGCACGTTTTACCTCCATGTATTCCCATTTGTGTTACTCTGAAGAAAAAAATGGACACTATTTCTGGTTGATGGCATATCTAAAATTGTGGATTCTCCTCCCAATTGAGATTGGAATGCTATTTCTGGACAGCCCTACGTGCTGTAGACTCATAAGTGTTTTCTGGGGGGGGGGGGTGCGTACACAGGCTTTATGTTCAATATACTGGATACTCCACTGCTGGTTTCAGCATTGTAATTTGATACACCTTTGCTCATCTATTGCCATGACAAGCATTTCAAATTCAGATAATTCTGTATAAGGACCACACACAAAAATAGAGATAGTCCTAGTGACCCCCCCCCCCCCCCATGAATAGTTTTAATACGCACCCTAAACTTGAAACAGAAGTTAGCGATCGAGGGGACGATATGTGGACATGATGTTTATCTGAAGCGAGTGATGGGTCTGACGAATTTTTAATCCTCATCATAATATATCCGGCCATTTGGTTTAGATTAATGTTTAGGAGGTCCAATATGTGAAGTCATTGAAATCATTCACTTCAATTTCCTTCTCTAATGACTAGTGCCACAAACTCAGAAATTCATTTCCCATCTGTATTACTGATATAATAGAAAATAATTGATGATCAGAGTATTCCTTTTTTTAAACAACGTTTGAAGTAGTTTTAAATAAGAGTAATCGAGGCATAATTTTTCTTATCCATAAATTTCCAGATAATTTTGATGCAAATTGGCTAGGTCTGAGAGTCGCTGTAATTTATTCAACTAAACAATATTACATTTTCATTTGAAGCAAAATTTCTATTACTCTCAGAAATGTCATTGGTTTGAAAGTAAAAGTACATTTCCAGGTTAATTAACTGGAATTATTACTCACCCCCGAATAATACATATTGATCTGTACCAAACTCTAAAACTCTAAGGGCGCTTGATGTTTTTTTTCATTTTTTTTTTCATTTTTTTTTCATTTTTTTTTTTTTTTGGGGGGGGGGGGAGCTACAACACATCTAGTTTATGACTTGCATAATTATTGTCTCGCTAGTTTGATAATTCATGTACATGTATGCGTGAAAGAAAAGTTGACGTCATTTTAATCTGATCTTTCATCGGACAGATTTCTGAGTGTAACATTATTCCGACTATCTTCACGTTATAGCTCTAAAATACATATCATTCCTATAAATCTAGTCATGAGTGGACTCTATTCCTATTACGTGAATACATAGATTAATGGCGCTTGTTCAGTGAAACTGCAAATACCGAAGAAAAAGATGGAGGAAATTAAAACGAGCATCACATTAGAAAAAAGGGTCAGTCCGTGCAAAATTAAGATGCGCTACATTAATTTAAATGAAATCATTATTTATACCTGAATAAATTAGTCAAGGTCTACAAAATATTTTAGTATTTATAAAATAGATGTCAAGAAAATGATGATTATCAGAAGCGTAAAACAAATAACTAACATGACTAAATAAAAAATAAAAACGGGCGACCATTCGGATACCCTAATTTCAATAGTTTAAAGCATGTTATTGCTTTTATAATACCCCCATGGCTGAAGTAGGAACTTCCGTAAATGTTTCAATTATGTGCACAGGGGCCTATACCCTTGAAACCTTTAACAACAGGTGTCATCCAGACATAGGGATCCTATATGATTGCGTCATACCAGTACAAGCAAAAACACCGAGCAGATTATTGTACTGCTCTCATACTTCAGGAAATCGATAATTACCTTTAATAACTTCTCTTTCTCCATTAAAACATTTTTCCTTCGCAAACCCGTTGCTTATTAAACTGTATAATTTTCAGAAATACAGTCAAATGTGACTTCTTGTGATAACAAACTAAAGACTCTCTGTTCCCCGGTAAAGAAAGTGGAAAATATCACGATAGGAGAGGGGGGAGAATGCTTTAGCAATTGATAACGAATAAATAATAAAAAGGTAGAATCAGAATGAGGTTTGGATGAAAGGCCGAATATGAGAAACAGAGAAGAAAAAAATATAACAAATAACAATAACTAGCATTGTAATAACAAAAACTTACCGTTTCTTGACAACTTCATTCTGGTGCGTGGAGTTTCCTTTTCTACCAGAATCAATGGTTGAGCGTTAGCGATCCTCCAACTTTAACCGAGTGTAAAATGGCTACCCTAGGAGTTATCCTGACATCATGGATCCAAATGTTTAGTTGGCAAAATACAACCTCCGAATTTCTCCAAGAAAATTCAATAGATACGCTTCAGATTTCTGAAAAATGATGATTCGACTCTTTCCCGAAATAAAAATTCGCCAATGTGGGATACACTTTTTTTTCTTCTTCAAGCTGATAAAGAGATGAGAAAATGGCGACCCTTCTATGCTCCGCAAGCATGTGCGTGTTTCCGCAGTTAGTTCAAGCTTTACAATGTCCGATGTATGCACGTCTACTCCACTAAGTAACCTTTTGCAGAATGAACCTCTTTACCCCCTCCTCGCCTTTTTAAAGCACACCTTTCCAGACGAAAAAAACTTCCAGCGAACCAAAAGCGTCCATCCAGACCGGTTCAAGAATACCCTCGCTAAATAAGAGCGTCCGACGGGAGGGGTTTATATACCAAGCCCCCTCGACAACTCGTTAATTAAATCTCGTGAGTTGAGAAGGACTGCTGTACACGTTCCCCCGTCGTGGTTCAAGCTTTAACAACCCCAAAGCTGAATAGTTTGAAAGAAGGGGAGGGGGTTCTATTTCTCTATAGGAGTTGTCGGCTCTCTAATGCGCAAAGACTTATATACGCTGTATCGGTGCATGGCTAGACCTCAAGCCAGAAACTGACAACGAGTTTGCCTTGCCTGCTAATCTAACTTCCCAGATGAGTCATCAAAAGTTTTGCACAGTGTTTCCCTTTTCGTTCTAGGTCTCCCTCTCCCTCAAATTCTACAGTTTCAACACAGTATCTGTGCATCCCTTGGAACTGCCCTATACCCGTTTGCGAACTCTAATCAAAACCCGAAGGAAATGCTACCCTGTAAATACAAAGAAACGTTAATATATGACTTGCAGAAACATCAGTTTAGTTGAAAAAATGATGCCATTCCCCAAACACCATGACAATGGAGAGTGAATTCTAAAACAAAACTATGCAAAATACTCTGGAAATTGAAGACAATGAAGGTTAGACATTGATCATACATGTCATTACACATGTAACAAATCGGAAGTGTTTCATTAACTCAAAAAAATAGCATCGCTGTTACACTGCTCTTCATCTTCTTACAAGACATACATCGTAGTATTATCGTATATTTATTTATAATATTGGTCTATAAGAACTGACCAGCAGCACGAGCTGAAGGGATAAGTTTAAAATTAGAATAATATAATGTAATATATACCATGATATTATAAACATAGAACGCTCAAAAGAAAATATAGTATAAAACACGGATTATACAACGAATTATATCTTGATTTACTAAGCCCTATACTTCTGATGAAATGTAATAGCACCAGGGGTGGCGCAGTTTAGGACTACGCCATTTTTATTTTTCCACCCTGACGAGGCTGATTGAAAAAATAAAAAAATGATCCCTCCCATCGACAAACCCCTAACATCCCTGATGATAACTTATCCAATTGTTTTTATCTTAATTGATGAATATAGATGTGTTATCAATGCAACTACAGAACTTCCCATGTGTGTTATATCAAAATAACTGGAAATAGATGTAGAAGAATGTGGCCACAGAGAAGTGCATCCGAATTGCAAAAGCCGAAAAAATCTGAATCCATTTAGCATTACAATATTAAATGTGTGTGGGGATTATTTTTATTCACTTCTCCAAAAGTCGTCTGTCCTTTACTCATTTCAATTAAAGGCATTGCTTGATATAGTCATAGTTGATTGCAAACTATCACGTGCGATAAGAATTGCAGCCGATGTGATTAATCATAACCATATGTTCGAGCATTTATGCAATTGAATGAGGCGCTTGATTCTGCAATTAGAAAATTGTCCGTTTCCTTTTTATCTGATACCCCAGGCCTGTGTGGCATTTTATAGAGTTATCATCATGCGGAATATCGCGATATGAATTCATGCTTAAAGATAAACTTGAGTTCTGGTAAAAAAAAATATAAAAAAATTCTCACAGAATCTAACGAAACTTACACTGAATGTTCAAGATTACAAATAAATGTCATGTGACAAACAATTTTGGAAGAAAATGTATACTGGCTGAGTAATGAGCATAGAAAGATAAGGAAATCAAGGTAGTACTATAGACCCGACACCATTTGTGTTGTCCCATATACATCTTATGTGTACACTGTACATTGATTGTTACTTTACCAAGACTGGGCCAAATTCATGATGATTTTGATTATTTTTGATGACCCCAGAACCTTGCAGTACCCAACAATACTTACATGCTATTATGATCATCTTTTTCTGATCCATTCCACACCTTTTCTTTCACAATGCAATCATACTACCAGAACTCACCTTTATCTTTAAATGCAAGAAACAAAATCAAAGCAGTGGAGGGGAAAAGAAATGTCGTTGAATTTTATTTTCAATTAAAAAAAAATCAACCTTAAACAAATGTTACCTGTTCACTTTAAAACCAAACGTTGTTAAAAATTAAAAAAAACTATGATCGTCATCATGCTAGGAGCAAAATGTAAGAGTTATAGAATTAAGGGCATATCTTTGATGTAACAAGTGCATCTTTGCAGGTCTTATGTCATTGAAAAGACACATGGAAATTATTTATTAGCAGCAGCTCCTATTTACACCTCTCCATGTTTACAAGCCAAGCTTGGCTATTTGTTTCGTTTACTACGAACTCCAATGTCGGGGCATCGCTAATGAGTTGATTCCCGGAACAGGGAGGGGTCGTAGGCAAATTAGACATGATATATTGTTGAGGAAATATGAATGAACACAAACAACCGTGATTCCCTCATCAATTTCAGTTTCTCTTTCTCCTTGATCATGCTAACTACATTTGAGCATTGTGTTGCAGGGGTTCGTTAATTAGTTAGAACCCCCTATCCCTTGTTATATTTCAGACCCCTTACACAAGACATGTTGGTCGAACCTTATAATATGGGCGTACACAAAATGTTCACTTGATAGATAGCAGATCGCGACATTTCTTCCTAAACCATATTCTTGTAGTTGTTTGTTTTGTTTTGTTTTGGGGTTGTTATGATTTTGTTCTGTTTAATTTTGCCTTTTTTACCAATTTTTTTCTTCGTTTTTTCATTTGTCAATTTCTCATTTTTCATTTTTCATTTTTCATTTTTCACTTTTCATTTTTGTTGTTGTTGGGGGGGGGGGAGGTCTCACCACAATATTGACAAATCACATGTCCCCATCATATTAAAAGAATATGAATTTTAGATAAAATTGATTTAGTCAATATATGATTTTATTCCATTTAAATAATATGTTGAAATCAAGGCTTTATTGAAATAAAATCCTAATATAAGTTTTTAAAATTCTGTATCTAAAAAATACCACTCACACTTCATATTCATAATAGGAAAGTTAGCTTCAGGATCGACCGAGTTTCGACCCCCTCCTTCCCTTTATAATATCAAAAGTTTCCGACGTTTGGAAACAGAAGTCCTATTCCCTTCAATACCTAGAATATTATAAATAGAACATATCAAGTTGCGCGGCAGTTGTGTTTAGGTTTGTCCTTTGATATTTGAACTATACAGTGTGTATCTAAAAAGTATACCAACTTTGAAAGCTCATCATGATCAAAGTATAGCTCTTGGATCTTGAATTTGATTTCATAGTGAAGAGTAAAGATGCTGTCGAATAAAGCATCGTTGGTTATAAATTACCGTAGATTGTTCTTATATATATTTGTCATCACACTGCACCTTCAAATTATACGAGAAGAAGGGGGATCGATCTTATGTGGAAGGTCCATTTTCCTTTGCCAAATCATTGCATTTGAATTAAAGCTGATATGCGCCCGTATATTTCCAGTTCTCATTTAGCGTTAGAGAATGGATTGATCATCAAGCATAAATTAAAATTTTCCTGAATCTAATACTTGCTTAAAAAGACAACAACCGGATTCAACTTGGCATGGCACTTAACCTCAACTATACAACAACAAAATATGTTTTTCTTCTTCTAGTGGGCCTACATGTTGTTATGATGGTGAAAGAATGGTTGATGGATCCACCCAAAGTTCTTCAGGGCATTTAAACTTTAAATCGCCAGTTCCTGGTCTTATGAAGTCAAACAAATTATCTCCTTGTTCCGCTTCCAAGGTGCTTTGACAATTTCCACTTCGGGAAATTCAGTTATTAGAATTCCCCGTCACCAAATTGGTACGTCCCATAATCAAGATGGATGAAAGAAATGATGCGCATGGGTGTAAAGAAATGAGAAATAGAAAATTAAGTATTCCTATATTTCTAGGTCATGACCTTCCGAAAGGCAGTAAATAATCACAATTTGGAAAGAACGTCATGTTCCTTATTCCTATTCAAATACAGCATTATTTTGTTGCACCTCCGGAGTGATCTCCGTCATCTTGTTAAAACTTATATCACTCAGTCTGAACCAATTTTATACAACGGTATAACCCGTCATTAATAAATTGAAAGTTAGTGCAAAGGAGATGAACAAAATATGAAAAAGAGTAGGAGGAGAAAGTTGAAGAAGAAGAAGGAGAAAGAGAAGGAGAAGCGGAGTAGGAGAAGGGGAAAGAGAAGGAGAAGGAAAAGGAAAAAGGGAATGAGAAGGAGAAGTGGAGAAGGAGAAGGAGAAGGAAGGAAAGCGTTGAAGAGTAGGTATTACAAAAGTGGGATTGGAGGAAAATATGCCGCCAGAAGATAAGAGATTAATGAAAGTACTGTATCAAAAGTGAAAAAGAATAGCATCAACTTGACTTCACTTATCATGTGGAATGCACACAAAGCCTACAAGTTGTTTACAGCGTTTAATTAATATAGGTATTACGGCAAGAAGGGGAGAGAGGGTGAGGGGTGGAAAGTACGGTCGACAAGAACATATCACAGCGTCGTCAATTAGAAAGAGAAAGAAAGAACAGGATACGAAGTAATTTGTTTTGATGGGTCGGATGGGAGAAGAAGGTGATGCGTCATTCCGAGGTCTAGCAAACATAAAAAATCTCCACTACATACAAATATGAAAATGCCATCATGAATATAAATTTAACCGATTCTCATAAGTGTGTGCTATGACAAGTTTTATGGATAAAAGCCTGGTAATAATACTAATACTAATACTACTAATAATAGCAATGATAATAATCAAATAGCCTATACAAAAGGAAAAATGTCATGGGCTTTCGGCTTATATATATATATATATATATATATATATACACTATACTGATCGAAAGCAACTTAACAAAGTAAAACATACTGTATAATGTATTTGTTCTTTGGGTTGCATAAGATATCTCTTACTTGTGTTAAAACATTACAATTTTGATATGATATCTGCCAGAACAATCAACACACAATATCATTTTCACCCTACAACTGTAATATATCATCCAAGATGTAATCATATTGCGTTATATTTGTGTACACGTGTGAACGTGTACTACAGGCATTTGATACGAGTTAGCCATGAACAATCTAGTTTCATCTTAGTCATGTTTCTTTGAATTTTCTTTCTTCTGAGATACTAGTACGTCGAATCATCGAAGAAGATACACTTCTTCAGTTCCCCCATCCCTGTTCATGTACCCCCTTGTTGTACCTTACATCCGTCTATTTTCTCACGTAATCAGCTGTTCTCCCCCTCCCCCTCTATTTCCCATCCACCAATCCCGTTCTTGTTCTCTCCATCTTCTCCATATTCTTCTTATCCTACTCTCTTGTTTATTTTCCATTCCTTTAACGTTAGTTTCACCCTCTCTTTCTCCAACTCTCCACGCTCTTGAAAATTCTTTTTATTCTGCTCCTCTTTCTTTTACTCTTGATCTATTGTGCTCATCTTCTATTACACACTATCCCTTCTTTCCTTTCTATACCACCTTGACGTTCTCTCTCACATCACCTCTCTGTAACCTCATTCATCAGACTTTCTACTTCCCAGAACTCAGAAAAATAATGTAAAGCAACATAACCCAACTGACTCATGAGCAGATCGCCTCAGCTGTATGAAGGTACATTCCCATTGCTAAACATTTCCTGTTCACACCCATCTCTATGCAGTGCGAAGGCCCCTATGCAGTGCGCAGCCCCCTTTTAAGCCTGGTGTCAATACAAAGTAACCCCTTGCTTCACAAACACATGTAATCCTATCAGTCTGCTATGATACTGTGCAAGCAAGATAGTGACTCCAATGAGACAGGCAGATTATCTTAGTATTGGGTACAGCGCACATCATATCATGAGTCACCCAATTGCAGTCCAAAAATAATCCAACATTGGGCTGTAAAAACCAAACTTATAAATAGCAAACAGACTAGGAATATTGCAAATTGTCAAGATATTATCAGCAGACATTTTATTTGAGGAGACTTGGCTATCCGAGGCACTTTTAAACTCTGCAGCACTTATGAATCAGTCATTTTACATGTACAGTACATATATAGTCACACAATGTACACAACATACATGACATAATGTAACAGCTGCAGGGGGGGGGGGGGGATTTTACTGAGAAACTGTTGCTATGACAATGCAGAATTTGGAGCACATCTTGTGAATATTACACATTTTGGCAAAACATATACCGCTATGGACACACATGAATTTTAATCCAGCAGAATCTAAACACTCCTCTAAATACAAAATCTGACAACTTCAGCTATCATAGGAAGTGGTGAATTGTTAATAAACCTTCATTTCACATGTCTCCAGAAAGGAAACATGTAGAGGTTCCTTCTTTTTAAGGTAAGATACCCTCAAAATGTCACACTGCGTTACACAAGATACCTCAGTGAAGCTAACCCTGAAGGGTATCTTGACTATGATCTTAACTCATTCAAGCTGATGTTTCACACACATGGATATGAACACATTGGGCTAAGGAGGACATAACCTTTGAAATATTATCTGCAGCCCCATTTCCACCCAAAAGGAGAAGAAAATGTATCAAAATACCTGATGATATATAAAAATGACATCAACCTTGACCCATCTTCAGTTTTATGTACATTTTATCAACATTTTTAAATTTTTTATTAGCAGGTTCATCACATCTTAAAAATATTTTCATTCAATTTCATAGTAGTCTTCACAAACGAAGGTATCATCTTTACAAATACTAAAATTAATAAAACAATACTGGTAATATACCATTCAAGCATCATGTTAAAAAATAAATAAAATCTGAATTGCACCCATGTGAGTAAAAGGCCGATCCATGATATAAAAAGGACACATTGATGGGAATGACCAAAATTATACTTTGAACTTCCCTAGACAATGACCTGGACAGGCACTATTCCTCTGGTAACGTAGTAAGAAATAACATATCTATATAAATCACAAATAGGATATTATCTTGAATAACCAACTTTCATACAGAATTATATTCAATATTTGGTACTTCACAAATAACTGAACCAGTCTGTTGATACGAGTTTTTGCCAATTTGACATTGTGACGTCAGAAGCGGGGTTTTTAGCTGGGTTCTGCATTCAGGTCGTAGAGGGCGGGATTTGATTCTGGGGAGCTACTGATTTACGTTACACTGAATGTTTATTACACTGAACAGTCTACTGTTAATTTTGTTTTCCTGAGACAGCCCAATGTTGTTGAACCACTCATTGGTATCATCGCAAGGGCATTGTTGTCGAGTCGTCATTGCAGTTGGGCTTAGTAGTACTCATAACGTCACCGTTCCTACATCAGTTCAACAACAGCTTCCAGGTCCACATCAGACTACAGACAGGCTGTTACAATGAGTACTGTTGGACAAAAGAATGCCAAAGGAGACCCTGAGGGTGGAGTCCGTCCTGAAGATTCGGCCAGCCAGTGTGGGAGCACTACATCTTCAGTGCGACTGCGGACTATGGCACGTAGAGCTGCTTTAGCTGTTGAGGCTGAAGCACTGAAACAGAAGATGGCGCTGGAAAAGGAGGAGTTAGCTTTGAGACAGCGTAAAGCTCAGCTAGATATGGATACCAGGATGAAAATATCTGATGCTGAGACACAAGTCTATTTGAATGAAGCGGATAGGCTATTGTCGGATGAAGCTAGTGCTCCTCAGAAACATCCAGTTGAAGTGAATGAAACGTTGGCTTATCCGCTGGACTCTGGAACGCCAACGCCAACCCAGGTTGAACAGAGTACGAAGCCAACGGAGGCTTTGTTGCTGCAGATTTTGCAGGAGGGACAGAAACAACAGAGGCAATTATTGGAGTCTCTTAATGTGCCTCAAACACAAATGATGACGTATGATGGTAACCCTCTTAAGTTTTGGGAGTTTTGGAGGGCGTTTGAGAACTCAATAGACTGTACAAGTATTCCGGACAGTGCCAAACTGACCCGACTTCTATACTACTGCGAAGGAGATGCCCGCAAAATCTTGCAGCCTTGTAGTATTATGCCATCTGGCGAAGGGTATATGAGGGCGAAGGCCATGCTACAAGAGAGGTTTGGTACACCCTTCATGATAGCTGATGCATGGATCAGGAAAGTGACCGGAGGGCGGAAGATCACCGGACGGGACAAGAGGGCCCTAAGAGAATTCGCAGATGAACTGCAAGTTTGCTCACTGACTTTAGATGCCATGGGTTACATTGGCGATTTGTCACCACAGTTAGTCCTTGTCCAGATAGTTGAACGACTACCACTATACTTATGCGGGAGATGGCTGAGTGTGGTACGAAGAATCAGGCGAGAGGATAGACTTCCTAACATATTTGACCTGGTGGATTTTGTCCAAGGTGCAGCCGACGAGGAGAATGATCCGGTCTACGGAAGGCTTCTTACCAAGGATCAGGGCGGTAGAGGCATCTCCCAGAACAAGAAGTCGACAGGACTGAAGAAGGGTGCTTTCTCCACGACAGCCACAGGTAATGATGTGACACCACAGCTGTGTGTGATATGCAAGGAATCGCACAGTCTGTTTGGCTGTGACAAGTTCAAACGAATGCAGCTAGATGACCGGCTGAAACTGGTGAGGGAAAACAGGCTTTGTTTTAACTGTTTGGAGAAGGGACACATGTCGAGATACTGTAAACTAAAGAGGATATGTTCAGTTTACGGATGCAACAGAAAACATACTAAGTTTCTCCATCAGCAGAAACCAGAACAACCTCAGCAAGCACAAGAGGAAGCTGTTAGTCCTTCACCTGAGAAGATTGAGAGTCATGTCACAGGGGCCGGGAACATGAAGGTGCTATTGCCAATCGTTCCTGTCTGGGTTTATGCGGCAGGCAGTAATATTGGTGTAGAGACTCTAGCACTGTTGGATTCAGGCTCGACAAGTACCTTTTGTACTAAGAAGTTGGCAGCAAGAGTGAAGGCAAGTGGATTGTCCAGTATAGTGTCTGTCTCAACTCTGGAAAGAGCCAACAGCGAACTTCAGACCAGTGTTGTAAGCCTGAAAGTTGCAGCAAAGTCGTCATCCAGGATGGTGAATCTCCCTAAAGTCTATACCAAGACAGACATTAACATTAATCCAGATCACCTGCTAAAGAAGGAGGATGTTGACAAACTCCAACATCTCACAGATGTCGACTTTCCATCGACTACCAAACTGCAGGTGGATCTGCTGATTGGGCAAGATTATCCAGAGCTTATTTGTCCCCTCGAGATACGACGTGGTGAGCCAAGAGACCCTTATGCAGTAAGGACAGTGCTGGGGTGGACCCTGAATGGGCCGGTTCAGAGTGATGGTAGGAAGATGGCTGTGACATCACACTATATCTCAGATGAAATATCCCTTGAAGACCAATGTAAGCTGTTTTGGTCTCTAGAAGGCATTGAAACCCTCCATTGTGATGCTAAAGGAATGTCAGTCAAGGACCGAGAGGTATTGAAGCTATGGGAGAACAATGTGGTTATGAATGGAGGTCACTATCAACTGCCCATACCATTCAAAGAACGACCCCCGCCACTTTGTGACAATAGATGGATGGCCCAGCAGAGACTCCATTCACTTAGAAGACGACTTCTCAGGGATACGGCAATGCATGCTAAGTATTCACAGGGCATGGCTGACCTAGTTGCCAAGGGCTACGCCGAGGAAGTTGACACAGTTGGCACATGGAGCCCCAGCTGTTGCTCGTTTGCCATGCGGCAAACAGCAAAGGACTATGGAGATCAGTGCAATACACAAGCACCAAGAGTAGTAGAGATGAATTTCTACGTAGACGACTGCCTGGTCTCTGTTGAAGAGGAAGATGAAGCTATAAGACTGGCATCAGAATTGAGAACCTTGTTGCAGAAGGGTGGATTTCGACTCGCTAAGTGGATGAGTAGCAACACAAGAGTTCTGCAAACCATACCAGTACAAGATCGGGCCAAGCAAGTGGTTGGACTCGACCTGAACTTTGATGCCCTACCAATAGAGCGTGCACTTGGTATGATATGGGATGTAGAAAGAGATAGCTTTGTCTACAAGATACAGGTGAAGGACAAGCCTTTAACACGAAGAGGACTCTTAAGTGTTGTTTCTTCTGTCTACGACCCTTTGGGATATGCTAGCCCATTTGCACTGAGAGGGAAGTTGATTCTTCAGGAGTTGACCCGGAAGAAGCTGAACTGGGATGAGCCTATCCCTGACAGTGATGCAAAGAAATGGAAGGCTTGGATTGAGGAACTTCCACAGATGGAAGGAGTTGAAGTCAGTAGATGTGTCAAGCCTCACGACTTTGGCAGGGTAACTGATTACGAGATCCACAACTTCTCTGATGCATCTGAAGTAGCCTACGGGGCTGTATCATATCTAGTGATGAGGAATGAGGAAGGAGAGGTGCATAGCAGTATCATCATGGCCAAGTCACGCCTTGCTCCAGTAAAGACCGTTACCATACCTCGACTAGAATTGATGGCAGCTACACTTGCTGTGAATATGGATGTCGTGATAAGAGGAGAGCTAGACCTGCCTGTGAAGAAATCATACTTTTGGACTGACAGTATGATAGTGTTGCACTACATAAAGAATGAACATAGAAGGTTCCGTGTCTTTGTGTCAAACAGGGTGGCTATGATACACAATGCCACAGAGATAGACCAATGGAGACATGTTGGCACAACGGAGAATCCGGCGGACATCGTATCCAGAGGCATGTCACCGTCTAATCTGAAAGATGAGGAGAAGTGGTTTGTGGGACCAGCCTTTCTACAACAGCCGGAGGAGAGATGGCCCACATGTCCCATAGAGAAGGATGGGATCAGAGAGGACGATCCAGAGGTGAAGCCTGTAGTCCAGATCTTTGCTACAAGTGAGGGCAAGAAGTGCATCGACCAGCTCTTCATGCACTATTCTTCCTGGACGAGACTACGCAGAGCGGTAGCTTGGTGGCTGAGGTTAAAGGAAACCCTTAGAAGGAATGTAAAGAATTGTACTCCAGTTAAAGAATTGAGCAGACACTTGACAGTGGAGGACTTGAACTATGCTGAAAATGCCATCTTTCAGCATATTCAGACCGAGTCATTCGATGAGGAGATGACAACCTTAAGGGAGAGAGTTAGAGATCCACAGGGACGAGAGAGACCTGTGAAGAAGGGGTCGAGGCTTGCAAGGTTGGATCCTGTTTTGCAAGATGGTCTACTGAGGGTAGGAGGCAGGCTTGGACGAGCACATATCCCAGACACTGCAAAGCATCAGGTGATACTGCCTAGAAGGCATCATGTGTCAGCACTGTTGGTATGGCACATACACGAGAAGGTTGGACATCAAGGCCAAAATCATGTTTTGGCAGAACTCAGGAAGTTGGCAGAACCGAGGAAGTTGATTTAAAGGGACTGTATTTATCGAAGTCTTGAAATTTCAAGAGAGTGACAGTTTTGTTATAGATGTTGGCAGTGAAAATTTCAAAAGAGTGACAGTTTTGTTATAGATGTTGGCAGTGAAAGGTTTGGTAAATTCAAAGTATTCGGTTAATTTAAGGGGCCGGGATGTTGATACGAGTTTTTGCCAATTTGACATTGTGACGTCAGAAGCGGGGTTTTTAGCTGGGTTCTGCATTCAGGTCGTAGAGGGCGGGATTTGATTCTGGGGAGCTACTGATTTACGTTACACTGAATGTTTATTACACTGAACAGTCTACTGTTAATTTTGTTTTCCTGAGACAGCCCAATGTTGTTGAACCACTCATTGGTATCATCGCAAGGGCATTGTTGTCGAGTCGTCATTGCAGTTGGGCTTAGTAGTACTCATAACGTCACCGTTCCTACACAGTCAATAAAGCTATTGAATTGAATTGATGGATTGAATTACAAACTGATCAGTAGGTCAATTAGTTCACTTACAACTAATGATAATAATAAAATTCCCCTTTTATATAGCGCTTAAAGATAAACTTGAGTTCTGGTAAAAAAAGAAAATGAATTCTCACAGAATCAAACAAAATTTACACTGAATGTTCAAGATTACAAATAACTGTCATGTGCCAAACAATTTTAGAAGAAAATGTATACTGGCTGAGTAATGAGCATAGAAAGATTAGGAAATCAAGGTAAGCTAGCCCGACACCATTTGTGTAGTCCCATATACATCTTTCTGTGTAAAGTTCTGTATACTTTACCAAGACCGGGCCAAATTTATTATGATTTTGATGACTCCAGAACCTTGCAGTGCACACCAATACTTACATGCTACATGATCAACTTTTTCTGATCCATTCCACACCTTTTCTTTCACAATGCAATCGCATTACCAGAAGTCACCTTTATCTTCAATACATAATCTGGAGTTTCAATAATAACACTGTATTATAGACAAAACTGACTGCAATTTTATGACAAGAATTCTAGACAACCTTCTTTTGGGAGAATCACTGGAAAGCTGTGCATTCACTCCACATGATTTTGAACTCTGCAAACATGGAAACCAATATCAGCATCATAACAAATTTGTAGCCATGGTAACTAATTCTGTTAACCATTCTGTTAACCATCAACTTACCGGTACTGACATTGTTCAGTATTTATGACAAAATAAAGGCAATTTTTTTTCTTTTCTACAGTGCATTTGCTTGCCCAATCACTTAAAACTGGAGAAAAAATGTGGAATCTAAATCTTTCCAGAGTTCAAAGGTTTCAAGACAGGCATTATGGGGAAAATGTTCAAAAGACCAAAGTGATAATATTGACCATACACTTAGATTTTCTCATGAAATTAAAAAGATTTTAATTTACAATATATAACTTTTAATGATGATGTAATGAATAAATCCGATTATAAACTATGTTGACGGAAATATCCTTCTAGGAGCCCATTACGTGCCATAGACAAAATACTGTACATAATTTAAATAAAACATTAAAAAAAAACTAGATGGAATTCGACTGCGCGCAGTCGAAAATGATGCCTCCGTCATAGAGCAATTTTACAAACCAAAACAGAAGAAATTTTTCAAATTCAAGTTCAATTGTAATCCATTAACAGGTTCTCAGAATATCGTGATTACAAACAATTTCTCATATACATATATGACCCTTTGAACTTTGACCTCATGATCCTAATATCTACTCAGCTCATTGGCTCTGCAAGATATCCAGAGTTAAATAGTAATCCATCTGTCAGTTCTAATGAGAATGCGTTCACAAGCTATTTTTGCATACATAATGAGCCCATGACCTTGGACCTTATGAACCAAGAATCTACACAGTTCATTGCAAGGCTCAAATTAATTTTTTGTCCACGGGGGCTCTTCCAAAAAAAAAAGAGCCCCCGTGAGCTCTCTCACGGGGGCTCTTTTAGTACCGACGGGGGCTCTTTTTTTAATACAAATTTTCATTGAATTGGTACCCATGAAACTCCTAAATTCCTTGGTATTTTATCATTATCATTTATTTAAGTCGGCATTTTCCCTCTTAGAAATGTACTTGTTACATAGCTGTTATTGACTTTTATCTCCGTAATGACATTCTCTCCATTTCTTCCCGCTCTGCACATAATGTCCTCCTCATTATTTGGAGCAACCTTATTTACATTCTTTCTTTACTTTTGGTTTTTACCATATCCTTCCAAAACACAGGGGCAGATCTAGCTTTTTGCTAAGGATGGGGGGGGGGGGTAACCCAGATACGATGTGGAGCATCGTCCACGAGCCGCGTAGCGGCGAGGCGATTTTTGTTGTTGCTATTTTGAACTCCCGTAATTGATGTGTTCCTGGCATCTACTAACATGCGGAGCATCGTCGACGAGCCGCAAAGCGGCGAGGCGATTTTTTGGCGCTATTTTGAATCCCCGTTAGTGATGTTTTCCTGGCATCTACTAACATGCGGAGCATCGTCGACGAGCCGCAAAGCGGCGAGGCGATTTTTTGGCGCTATTTTGAACCCCCGTTAGTGATGTTTTCCTGGCATCTACTGACATCTACTAATACTGTGTAGGTCTGGACACAATGACACATGATAGCATTTTTCTATGCACAACACATTTTCACTCGGCAGCCCAAGGGGGAGGGGGGGGGGGGGGGGTGGTTAAACCCCTAAACCGCCTAAATCCGCCCCTGCAACATCTTTGGTGATCTTCTTCTCAATATTGATTTACTGGTCAAGTTACATTATTTGCTGATCTTTTAGAATAACCAGATTTCAGAGGATTCACACTTTTCACAACGAAAAATTTCTCCATGTTTCAGTCCTTGCGCGATCGTCTCCAGCTCCAGCATATATTGGGCGTCAGCGTGCACACCGGTACTACCGGCGCAGTATAGCCATTGCTGACGGCCGCACTACAGCTGCACTGCGAGCTCTGTTGTTTGTATCGGTAATACTCATAGAGATGGGAGAGAAAGCGCCATCTAATTAGTTCCATTTTATTGGTTTAAGGTTTGAAAATTGATACTCAATATTGTGTTAAAGTTATATCAGAAAAGATAATCTTTATTTTATAATTCCACGGGGGCGATTTTTAATTTTGCAATCGCCCTCGTGAACCATCTGACGGGGGCGATTGTGGGGCTCACGGGGGCGAATCGCCCACCGCCCCCGTGTATTTTGAGCGTTGGTTCATTGGCTCTGCAAGATACATAAATGATCTAAGTTTGGCAGGAATCCATCAATCTGTTCTAATGATAACGCGATCACAAGCTGTTTTTGCATACATAATGGGCGCTGTGACCTTTGACCTCGTTACCCAAAATCTAATAAGTTCATCGGCTCTGCAAGTAACATACATGACCTAAGTTTGGCAGGAATCCATCAATCGGTTCTTGAGATAACGCGATCACAAGCTGTTTTTGCATACATAATGAGCCCTGTGACCTTTGACCTCGTGACCCCAAAATCTAATCAGTTCATTGGCTCTGCAAGATACATACATGACCAAAGTTTGGCAGGAATCCATCTATCGGTTCTTCAGATAACGCGATCACGAGCCGTTTTGCATACATAATGAGCCCTGTGACCTTTGACCTTTGACCTCGTGACCCCAAAATCTAATCAGTTCATCGACTCTACAAGATACATACATGACCAAAGTTTGGCAGGAATCTATCAATCGGTTCTTCAGATAACGCGATCACGAGCTGTTTTTGCATACATAATGAGCCCTGTGACCTTTGACCTTTGACCTCGTGACCCCAAAATCTAATCAGTTCATCGACTTTGCTAGATACATATATGACCAAAGTTTGGTAGGAATCCATCGATCCGTTCTTCAGATAACGTGATCACGAGAACGGGACGTACGTACAGACGTACGTACAGACGTACGGACGGACGGACGGACGGACGGACGGACAACCCGAAAACATAATGCCTCCGGCTACTTCGTAACGGAGGCATAAAAATGGTTCTGGATAGATTACAGTTAAAAGGAAAAGGAGTGTGATTATCATGCCTTGATGCCCTATTTGTGAGGGGAAACCCCTATGAGGAGGTTATTCTTGGGTGAACAGGTCTCTGGTTTCAATGAACATATCGTCACATGATAGCCTTGCTCTCTGGCTAACTCAGCTCTGTCTCTGTCTATGTAACCCATGCACCGCTTCCCTGTATCAACAGAAACACAATCAAGATGGAGAATTTATGAGATTAAAGTAATTTTTTTTGTACAGAGAATTGAATCCATTGAATCTTTAATCATTCAACAAACAATAAGCATTTAACAAGCATCCATAACAATAAAAATGAAAAAGACATACACCTGACTCAGTAATGTAAACTTGTAGGAAAATGCAGAAAACCAGACTCGAAAAAGACAGAACTTAAAAGAAAGAAGAGAAAAACAAAACAAATATGTTTATGCCTCTGCTCTGTGTGCCAAGTGGGAGTTCAGCTGTCTGATTACGCACATCCCTCTAAAATAATATACATGTATCTCTCTATTTACAACTGGATCACAGGGGAATCCCCATATTTGCCCCTAATTTTCCCTCTTACTATGTTTGTTTCACACCAAGCAGTGTTTTAACCTGAAATGATATTGACTGCTAACTTATTACTTCCTTTAATCCCTGAAGGGCGGGGGTGTAAACAGAATTGCTACCTAATTTACCTTTAAGAGTTAGAGGGAGTATCAAACAATATGTGTCACAAAATCTTATTGAATTATGAGAAATATCAACAAAAAGTAATGTACTTTTACAAAGAGATATTATTGTCATATTTAAGCTAACTACATCATCAGCATTAAATGTCTTTGAAACATTCTCCATGAATATTTCTAAATGTAATTATTTCTCATTCCAGCAGGGCGTCTTATATTTGGTCACCTATATGGCAGACATGACCTTTAACCCCAAGCCTGAATGGATAGTTTTTTTAGATAAAGGTATGGATTAGCTTTAGTCTTTACCTTGCTTAGAAAGATTGCTGTCAAAGTCCCAACACGTCTGATCGGCTGCATGAGCAACCAAGAAATAGTTCTGAAAACAAATCATATTCCGTCACATTTAACTTAAAAGATCTTCATGATACCCTTTTTTGCATATAGAAAGCAATAAATGAAAGAAGAAGAAATATATCTGAAGTAAATTAGAAATTTCTCAACATCAATGTAAATACATTACTTGGCAATATTATCAAACTATTTGTTGCACAAAAGTAGAATTTCAATCATTTCATAACTTTTCTTAAGTTTAGCAAAAATGCAAAAGACTGATATTGATACCCTTCTAAGAATACAAAAATAGCATGCCTGACAGATTGATAAAATCCATCAACCAGCTAGTCAGCAATCAAGCACTTTTTGTTTCATTCATATATCCACCAGTCCAATCATCCTTTGACCTATCCTGTCTTTCCATCTACCTCATTCATCATTACCATTTAATCCGTTGACTACCGATTTCTCTCTTTCCCATTGACTTTAATACAGGAGCCATCAGTTTCCCATTGGTAATGGGTTAACAGATGGTGAAAAATTCCTTACATCCATCTATCCACTCGTTCGTTCGTGTCTCCTTAGATCAAGATTAACGTATCCTGATCTTCGGAGTAGTTGCTACAATCTATCCACTAAAATGTATCCATCTTATCATCAGTTCCCGCCAATCACTAGATCCATGCATCTTTTGATCCATTCATCCATCAATCTTTCCATCCTAACTCTCCTTTCAGTTTCCTTTCAAGAGATGTTGGCAATCCACCTACCATTCCTTATTCCATCCTCCCTTCTTCCCCACTATTCATCCTCCCATTCTTTCTCTCACCTTCTTGGAGATGTTGCTCTCCCTGAATACCTTGCTGCGTGGGTATGTCAGGTGATGTGTGTTATGTAATGAACCATAGCAACAGGGACTGCTCACAAACGAGGCTCCCTGCTCCACACATTTACTGAGAACTATGTCTGTAGCTACTCCACAGGCATGTAGAGATACCTGGGAAGAGGGGGGGGGGGGAGAAGTGAAGAATCGCACGTTAAATAACATCAGCTCACTATGTTATACAAAATCCATGTCTGAGAGCTACATCGCAATCAATCTACGACTCAACTAAACACCGTTTTTTCCCCTTTTAATGCTAAAAAAAACAACCCATCACATGGGAGTCATCACTAGCTAACCATCTATCAATCAACTTACAGAGCCATAGGTGAGCCCAAGGGACACTGCAACACACTACATTATGAAAGAACTACATTACATAGGTTGAAAAGATTCCAGTGTCTTCAAAATCTCAAAGATCAACATCACCGCATAAATATATATCTATAAAATTGTATATGTCTACAACTTGTAATATATGAATAAAATCTTGCACCACAATTCTTGTATCATTATTTAAGAATGAATTATAATGTTTATCTATCCAGTTACTGTTGTACTATGTTAGTTAAGATCTTGTTAGAATTTTTTGTTTGAGGATAGTTCAATAGTAGATACATGTAATTAATTAAGCTTGTAATACAATGTAAAGCGCATAGAGACATCTATATTACTAATACCACTAATCGCCGCGGGGGGTCCAAACGGGTACAAAACGGTTCCTCAAAAACGTCTTTCCCGACCCCGCCCGCCTCCGCCGTGGCGCGGGGAGGGCGGCACAATTCCACGAGGCCTGTCTCCCGTAACCCGCGTGCCACGTCGACCCCGCGATCGACGTCCACGCCGTTAAACGCGGTTTCGGGGTGCCGGGGAGGACGGGCGGACGAGAGCACGGCGGGCGTCGTGGATTGCGAGGAGGCGACGAACCCGCGAGAGCGAGTCGGCGAGGCGTGCAACCGCCCTCTGTCTAATTATCAAAGAGAGACGAAGAGACACACGATGGACGAGAATCCACTCACGTCAACGGGTGTAGCAAATCCTGTTGTAATGGGTGAGGCGTACTCCGAGTTAGACCTCTTGCTATAGGATATGCTTTGTAGCATGTAAAAGAAATACACATTAACAGACGACTCACCCGGGTGATGGGATGTAGCCAATATGTACGCTCAACGGGTTGAGCTGACCTGTGTTATGCGTCTTTCTATAGGGTATGCTGTGTAGGCCAGGCGCCCATAGTGTACGTGTATATCACGCTCACCGTCACGTCACATGCACATACACACACTCGATTCGAGTCGTGGCGATTGCGACAATTGGCGCAAACCATGGACCTATTTTCACGTAAAATCTTTACTCTGTAAATAATTATACACATTCTGTGATCTTTGCCAACATATTCATAGTCCAAGCTTCTGTTTTATTGGTATTTTCATGAAAACTACTTCGAAATCACAACAATAATAACGCAAATAGATCTGTAATAGTACGCCTAATCAATCTGCGATTTTTGCACACACACAGAGCATACAGGATTTCAATTCCCTACAGCGCCCAACTCAGGCGGGTCATCACGGCGCTCAAGCAATCATTTTACGCTGCGCCGCAGTGACTGCACTACACTATATAGATTTGATTTCCGTATGTTTGATTTCGTTTAGCGTTGGTTATTTGAAACTTTTGAACTCCGAAAGACTGTAAATATGTTAAATAGACTCTTGATGTTGGATTTCTTTTCTACTGACCTGTTAATGAAAGCATGAGGGATAAAAAAAAAAAAATAAGGACTGCTCTGTAATTGGATGCTGGTGGAAATATCACTCCTTCAATTTCGTTCAAATACTGCCTCGGGTGATAAAAGGACCGGTATGAACACCACCTTGGGAATGATAATTTCATCCTCATGAGCAGTCAATATTTGTATATTTTCACTAAGACCTCCGGGACCTCTCTGAAGTTCTTTGTATCATCCATGCAAAATATCATTTTGTTGATAATTTTTTTTAATAGAACATGTAGTTTTAATAATGTATGTTAAGCCAAATTAAACAATTGTTACTCATGTTTTGATTTGGCACAATTAGTTCTAATTAGAGATGAGTGCAAATATGAAAAATGAGAATGGGAGGATTGAGAACAGTATTCGTAAGAAACTGGACGGGTAAGGGAAAATGAGAATAAGGATGGGAATGAATGAAAAACAATAATCATAAATAATGAAAGTGAAAACGAAAGTTAAAGCGTATAGTTTGCATCAGTTTATTTACAAATTACTAATTTCATTTTTTCTTTTAATCTTCAAGTTTTATTATATGTTACAAATTAAAAAAAAAACCATTTCAAAATGATATATGAAACAGCAAACAAAAGGTTGATATTCTATCGAATTAAGTATTAATAACAAGAGTAGAAAAATAATAAAAGGATAAAAAGTTGGCCTATACCAAGAGGGAAAATGAAATTGAAAATAAAAGGGGAAAAAAAAACAGAAAAACAAACATGAATATTAAAAATAGATCATCTAACATGAAAATTTAAAGAATCGATAGCACATCATTCACAACCACCCACCCCCTAGAATCCCGTGGATTTTCCACGGGTCCTCCTAGTACCTTGTATAATGCGCTATAGAAATATAATTTGTTATTATTATTATTATTATGTACCATTGCTCAATGATGAATACATTTGTACTCACCCCAATATCAAATTGTCCATAGAAGTAATCAATGTTACTCAGGTACAAGGTGACATTCTGAAGTCCTAAGGTTTGGACGCGACCGAGCGCTCGCTTCAATGACTCTTCCTTGTTTTCTATCATGATCACATGACAGTCTGGTAGGCAGTAGGCAAGAGCAATACCAAGGTGGCCCTGAGGAGAATAAAACAAAACGATTCATCGAAGATCATAGCCCACCTACAAAATATTAAACTGTTACTTAAAATATCATGTCTTGTATTACCAGGGTAGCTTCATAAGGTGCCCGTTACACAAGGCCTTTTTTCAAAGACAAATTACAAAAATCAGTGACAAATCTGCTGATACCCAATCAGAAGCAAGGATTTTAGTAGCTAATAACAAAAACTGTCATTTGTCACTGATGACAAGTTTTGTGAAACGCCCCCCAGGATTTTACGCTGGTCTCTGCAGTCACATTATTATCCCAGCTTCAGCAGAGCTATTCTATGTTTCAAAAATAATCTCTAGATTTTCAAATATACAGATTTTAAGAGATCAATTCATTCTGAGCTAAAATGTATCAGAACTTAATCAAACTTACCATAACATAAGTGGTCAATAACCTAATACTATCCGAATCCTGCATCTCTCTGTACAAGATCAGAATGGGTTGTGAACTGCATTTTAATGTTCCATATCTTGGAATACTATTTGTATCAAAATTAACATTGACAACTCTACAATGTTTTCTGGGTTTAAAGAGAAGGTCGAGTTCTTGGAAGAGCTGAAAAATAATTTGTGAGCGTTATCATTGTTATAATGCAAGTGTGGAAGAACATCAGATAAAAAAAATTCCCTGAAAAGCATGGCTCTTTAAATACTTTAATATTCTAAATATGGCATGTAACATCATAAAAATCGGACAGATTTTTATGCCACATGTTTGTGCAGTCCCATATACTTCTGTGCACAGTGCTTGTATTTTTACCAAGACTGGGCCAAATTTCTTATCATTTTGATGATTCCAGAATCTTGCAGTACACACCAATACTTATATGCTAGATGATCAACCTTTTCTGATCGATTCCACACCGTTTCTTTCACAATGAATTTGCATGACCAGAACTCAACTTTATCTTTAACTCTGTATTTAAAGAAAACAACGAAAATATATCCACTTAAAAATTACTATGCATGTACATACCCCTCCACTGCAGAAGTCCAGAATTCTGGAACCCGGTTGGGCTATTTGCTGGACCGCTGTAACAATGCTTTCTAGCTGTTGCTCTTTCCCTCTGGCTCGACGGGCTTCAACCTCACCTGTAGTGAATTTATAAAGTCAAACTTATTCAAGTTCTAAATAGGGTTTGGTTTCTTTTTCACAAAGGTTAAGAAAACAAGCACAAAATCTAAAATACCCACTGCTTAAAATGTTATCCAGTGGACTAGATCGATACCCTCCCCAGAGAGCAGTGAAACACCAACTGATATTTCTGTTCCTACTTCACTGCTCAAACCACTGCACTACTGCCCCCTTCTCTTGGAGAAACCATTCTAAATTCAGTAATGCTCAGTTGAGGTGTAGCCTTTGGATTAGGACATCCAGTATTGAAATGAAATCATTAACCTAGTGTTCTTTGAGTACAGACATCAATCCCTAATTATATCATCCGTAGATTATACTTCAAGCCTTCCGTCCAAACAACCATCCATCCATTGAACTATTGATCAGTCAATCAATCAATTATATATACAAGCTGGGTCCATGTTCCTCAAATCCAGTGATGTCTTCTTCCTTCCATCCATCCATCCATCATTCACTTATACATTCATTTACCTATCCATCTATCTATCAAATTAAAATGTGCTACCTTCTATTGGGCTAACCACTGGATCCATGTTCCTCCAATCCAGAGTTGTATCCTTCGAGGGGTGATCCATGAAGCCTGCACTCAATCCCTGATCCTCTAGCGTCAGGATCACATCCGGTAACACCTTCTTCAGACGCTCTCTCACTACACCACGACTAGAAGGGGGAGAAGAAAAAAAAGAAAGCACAAAAGTCAAAAGAGTTTTGAGCATACATGGCATCTTGATACATCAAAGAACTCACTAGCCTCAAATCACTCCTGGAACATCTATCCTATCACTAGCTCCTAGAAGGCCAACACATCATCTTCAAATTCTTCAATACAAACAGAAATGTACTTGATGGATATAAGAACACTGTAGACTTCTGTTCCTCTGATTCTTATCTATTATTTGTGGTCCGTCTTGGAACAATTGGTTTTGATATTCTGGGCCATGTCTTGTCATTGGTTTGCATCAATCGCAACTGTGTACTTCAGAGATAGTAGATTAATATTAGCGACTGATTGGAGGAATTGCAAATTATCCAGTCTTCGAACTACAGGTGCTCACAAAATCCATTTCATTCGATAACATTATTGTTTTATCTGGATACTTTACGTTTAGTTTGATATTTGTTTAAAATATATGATAAGGCACTAAAAAATAAACCATTCAACTGTTGCTATGACATAAATGTAAGTTATGGCTAAATTTATGCCTGGAGTTATATCACATTTCTACAGTTGCCAGTAAACTGATAATGACAGAATATATAAATGCCAATATTAATCTGTATCCTGTGTTTAATACAGTTCATATAGTTAAAATTATAAAATTACACTGTTTTGGGCCTAATAGAACATACAACATACCTGACACCCAGACTCCCAACGTGAGGTCGAACATCTTCTTCCAATAGGTAACTGTCAGTTTTGGAGTTTTCTCTGACAGCAGCAGCATCATCACCCGATGTTTCCTTGAGGGGTGTAATATCCACTTCCCTCAACCCTAGAGAGGTTGATGCCACCTGCCTCACACTTGGAACATCCCACATGCGCCGGTACCACTCAAAGACCAAAGGCACAGTCCTGCGAGCATTGTGGGCTGTTCCATTCAGACTGGAGGTGCGTAACCATAGGTGGATGGGAATAAACAAGGCAAAATCAGCAAGAGTGACATCGACACCATGTGCAAATAGATGAGTGAGCTCTGGCAGAGAGTCCTTGTGAATCTTCTTCTTATTCTTTGTTTTTTTTCTCCTTCTCTGATTTCCACCTTCAGGTTGAGAAGACATCTCACCATTTGCATTTGTTTCAACTCTGTCAATAGCACCATTAGGCACATCAGTTGATGTTTGCTCTGCCTTCGTTTCTGCAGTTATATCATTTCCCAAAAGACTTTGGTCAATTGCAGCATTCTCTCTATTCTGTTCTCTCTTTCTCCTGCGAATTTCTTTCTTGTTACCCAAGTTCATCTTGGACTGGAACTCAGATGTCAACTCCTTACTATTATCTTCACACAATGTAGCCGGATCATCTAGGGGCTTTGGCATCCTGCTGTTTTCTGTTCCACTTCCTTTCTTATCTTTTCCTTTTTCTCTTTCATCAAGTTTTCCAGCATCATCAGTGTTCCTCTTTACATTAGACTCCCCTCCTCCTTGGATGCTGTTACCATTCATCTTCTTGCTCTTCAACAGTTTTCTTCTCAATTTCTCAGAATTATGAGTCGACACAGGCTGGGACAAGATTTCTTGAAACTTATTCAAAAATAGAGGACAAGAAGACACTTCTGAAGGATTCTTGAGGAAGTTGGTGACCTCTTGAGGGGTGTCCACCTCACAAAGCTTGGTCCAGATGCTGGTTTCTGAACAGCATCTCAGGCAAGTTTGTCTGAAACCCTGCAAATAAGACAATCATACAAATGGTATCAGAGACAGGCAAAATACATGGATTAAAAACTACTTAACAAGTACTTCAGTTTCTACATAGTTTCCAAGCATATGCCCTCTTTAATTCTTTATGATTTTCATTAATATTTTCTGACATTGTGCTTGTTAAATACTGCAGAATTTTTCTTGCACATTTTGAAATTTGAGTGAAAAGTACTATTTCACATGAGATGGTTAAGAGAGTAGTTGAATTTATTATAATCTTTCTTCCTATAAAATTTTGCTTGGTTTCAGCATTAAAGATGTTAAAAATGCAGCCTCCAAGCTTTCACTTACAAGAAGCGTTTCTAAATTTCGATGTGGCTCCAAAGGTACCGCAGCTTGGATTATGTGTCTTAAGACGTTCGCCAGACCAGAAACACAGAGCTGTCTTCCTGGTAACAATATGCAAGGAAGCTGACAATCCTGCACCACACGAGGGAGACAGACATGTTTCAGTACTCTGTACTCAATGCTCTTTGGTGTTTCTAGAAGATTGAGCCCGACATCATCACTGCGAATAGAGTTGCTATCAAGGTTATCATCAGATGTCGATATGTTTGTATCCTTGTGCTCAACCTTTCCTTCATGGCCCAGATCCAGATGAGACTTTAGAGGAGCTTTTGAAGAATCTTTTGCCTCCTGATTTAGTTCACTTCCACAAACAAGAATCACGTCAAGGTTATGATAGTGGCAGTACTGCTGAAGGAAGATTACGATGAGAGATGGTAGCGTCACGTGACTGGTATCCCCACTGGACTCGAGATAGAGAGTATCTCTAAGCATATCTTCTGTGGGCTTGGTGTCCATTTCCATTCTTGAATGGATATCAGATGAGAGGTCTATCTCTATGATTAAAAAAAAAGGAAAGAAAAAAGAAGTGGCACAAATATGATAAATATTACGAGTCAATTGCATATTTTCTCATTCCCTTTGGAGTATGGATTCTACTAAGATTTCAACCTGCAGCATCCTACATATAATTTCTCCTTTCAGATTTAGCAATAAAATATTTACTCTTCTTCAAACAATTACAAATTTATAACTAGTATTTTAAGCCTTTAGAATAGACTAGGCCATACTAAATTACTAGGCTATACTACTGCTGTAGAAAGAAAAATGTCATTAAAGTTAAAATTATTTCTAAAGTAAACAGAATATCAGAGCTATGCAGAGGGTTTTCTTTAAAGCCCTACTGCACTACTTATAGCGACCTGTGCCCTCTATATAGCAAACGATGCTAATCAGTGACCATTTGTCCCCCATGATCCTCTTTTATTTCTTGTTAATTGAGAGCTTATTTGATGGGATAACTACCTGTCAGTGAACATTTAGGGAGGTCTAATCCCTCCTGGCCTGGTCAAACTTAGCCTTTAAGGGCTTGGTGATAATATTTTTATGATATTGATATCACCAAGCCTCAAGTCTTAACTTGCTCCCATAGGCATAGACGTGCACGGAAAGGCAGGTAAACAAACCCTAAAATGTGTCTGAATTCACCACTTCCCGCACCCGACGAATATGGGACAGTGGCCTTAAAGGGATCGTTTAACAATGTTAAATCTGAGATACACGGCCCTACTTGTTATCAGCGTCTGTGATATGGTGTAATATTGAAGCCCCCAAAAAATTACGCTTCAAAATGATCAAGAAGTGCCTCAAAAAAGTAAAAATCTTTAAGTGACCGGTTTTACCATACTCGTTTTCCCCAATAGACTTTAGTGTTATGAAAACCGTCAGGCGAACGGTTTTCAAAATTTGTAATTTCAATCATAAATATCTTGATAATCAGACAGGCGATCGGCTTGTAAATGTCATGGGGTTCCTGACTGACCTAAAGGTTTATAATTATCATTGCATCATGAGCTAAATCCAGAATTTTATTTCAGAATCTGAGACAAAGTTACCGGATCCCTTTAACGTTTGCTATGCCGCTCCTTGGTGATAATATCATAAAAACATTATCACCAACTTAGCCAAGCCCAAGGACAAACTAGTGCATGCGGTGGGGCTTTAAGTTTGATATTCAAGATTTGCATCATAAATGGGTTTTTATCGATACCTTTTAAAACCTATAGATCCCCTATTCAAGTTAATCTAGATCAATCAAATACAAAGAAGTTGCAGTTGTAATATAGTCAACATGGACAAAGCTCGATCCTCCAGCTCAACCCTCCAGAATTAGATGACCGAATCAACCGCGGACGACACGAAGACACAGTTCACACAGCTCACACAGCTCCAGCCTGGCTGTAGCAACGGGGAACAATAACCTCCTAGTTCCGATCGGGGCGCGCGGCGATGGTGTTCGGCTAGCTGTGTTGTCTGCTAAAGCAAGGCCTCCGACACGGCGTATTCTATGGAGCACAGAGCATTTATCAAACTTTATAAAAGCAATTTTGTTGGTATCCTGTAATGATCAGGAATATGATCTCTAAACAAAGGTGTCCATTAGAGAGAATATAGATTAATTAACACAGTTTGAGTTTGATTGTCACGACGTGCGATTCGCTTGGTGCATATCATCACGTGTTGTATTGTAATCGACCCCGTTGTATTCGTGTTGGGTGAAGCTTTTCTTCACACACCTAATCGGAGATGAAGGTAGCCCATCTTAAGTGTAAAAAATGCCAATTTGATAAGTGTAAGGATCGCATTGTACACGTACAACCGCTATACTACACACACGCAATATATTCTTTGTGTATTGTATCCATCAGGCATGATCATAGTGCAACGATGGCTGGCTACCAATTAAAATAGGCATGGTGGTCGGATATAATGAGAGTAGATGATGGAGGGGGGGGGGGGGGGGGGTAAAGCGCAGTACTTAGGGGCAAATCAAAGAATTATACTAAGACCTCACCTCATTTATGTTAGAAATTAAAACGTTATTATCTTCTTTCGAATTGCAATATATCCCCGCACCATAATTATAAGCATGTCATGCATATATATGCCTTTTCTCTGGGAAAGGGGGCATTGACTCTTTAAATACCAAATCCCAGAAACTATTCACCATTATGTCACCGTCATGTACATATTTTCTATGGATATAATTTTTCACGATCTCAACTTTTCACCACCCTAGCGTCATATGTACATTGTCAATTATGGATAAAAGTGGAATATTAACTCTTCACCACCCTACGCTAACTTTTCACCACCCTAGCGCCATGTACATTGTCTATGGATAAGCTGGAATATTAACTCTTCACCACCCTACGCTTACTTTTCACCACCCTACCGTCATGTACATTGTCTATGGATAACCTGGAATATTAATTTTTCACCACCCTACGCTAACTTTTCACCACCCTACCGTCATGTACATTGTCTATGGATAAGCTGGAATATTAACTCTTCACCACCCTACGCTAACTTTTCACCACCCTAGCGCCATGTACATTGTCTATGGATAAGCTGGAATATTAACTCTTCACCACCCTACGCTAACTTTTCACCACCCTAGCGCCATGTACATTGTCTATGGATAAGCTGGAATATTAACTCTTCACCACCCTACGCTAACTTTTTACCACCCTACCGTCATGTACATTGTCTATGGATAACCTGGAATATTAATTTTCACCACCCTACGCTAACTTTTCACCACCCTACCGTCATGTACATTGTCTATGGATAAGCTGGAATATTAACTCTTCACCACCCTACGCTAACTTTTCACCACCCTAGCGCCATGTACATTGTCTATGGATAAGCTGGAATATTAACTCTTCACCACTCTACGCTAACTTTTCACCACCCTACCGTCATGTACATTGTCTATGGATAACCTGGAATATTAATTTTTCACCACCCTACGCTAACTTTTCACCACCCTACCGTCATGTACATTGTCTATGGATAAGCTGGAATATTAACTCTTCACCACCCTACGCTAACTTTTCACCACCCTACCGTCATGTACATTGTCTATGGATAAATGGTAATATTAACTCTTCACCACCCTACGCTAACTTTTCACCACCCTAGCGTCATGTACATTATCTATGGATAAGCTGGAATAATAACTCTTCACCACCCTACGCTAACTTTTCACCATATAGCGCCATGTACAGTGTCTATGGATAAACTGGAATATTTAATTTTTCACCACCCTACGCTAACTTTTCACCACCCTAGCATCATGTGCATTGTCTATGGATAAGCTGGAATATTAACTCTTCACCACCCTACGCTAACTTTTCACCACCCTAGCGTCATGTACATTGTCTATGGATAACCTGGAATATTAACTCTTCACCACCCTACGCTAACTTTTCACCACCCTACCGTCATGTACATTGTCTATGGATAAGCTGGAATAATAATTTTTCACCACCCTACGCTAACTTTTCACCACCCTACCGTCATGTACATTGTCTATGGATAAGCTGGAATATTAACTCTTCACCACCCTACGCTAACTTTTCACCACCCTACCGTCATGTACATTGTCTATGGATAAATGGTAATATTAACTCTTCACCACCCTACGCTAACTTTTCACCACCCTAGCGCCATGTACATTGTCTATGGATAAGCTGGAATATTAACTCTTCACCACCCTACGCTAACTTTTCACCACCCTAGCGTCATGTACATTGTCTATGGATAACCTGGAATATTAATTTTTCACCACCCTACGCTAACTTTTCACCACCCTACCGTCATGTACATTGTCTATGGATAAGCTGGAATATTAACTCTTCACCACCCTACGCTAACTTTTCACCACCCTAGCGTCATGTACATTGTCTATGGATAACCTGGAATATTAATTTTTCACCACCCTACGCTAACTTTTCACCACCCTACCGTCATGTACATTGTCTATGGATAAGCTGGAATATTAACTCTTCACCACCCTACGCTAACTTTTCACCACCCTACCGTCATGTACATTGTCTATGGATAAATGGTAATATTAACTCTTCACCACCCTACGCTAACTTTTCACCACCCTAGCGTCATGTACATTATCTATGGATAAGCTGGAATAATAACTCTTCACCACCCTACGCTAACTTTTCACCATATAGCGCCATGTACAGTGTCTATGGATAAACTGGAATATTTAATTTTTCACCACCCTACGCTAACTTTTCACCACCCTAGCATCATGTGCATTGTCTATGGATAAGCTGGAATATTAACTCTTCACCACCCTACGCTAACTTTTCACCACCCTAGCGTCATGTACATTGTCTATGGATAAAGTGGAATATTAACTCTTCACCACCCTACGCTAACTTTTCACCACCCTACCGTCATGTACATTGTCTATGGATAAGCTGGAATAATAATTTTTCACCACCCTACGCTAACTTTTCACCACCCTACCGTCATGTACATTGTCTATGGATAAGCTGGAATATTAACTCTTCACCACCCTACGCTAACTTTTCACCACCCTACCGTCATGTACATTGTCTATGGATAAATGGTAATATTAACTCTTCACCACCCTACGCTAACTTTTCACCACCCTAGCGTCATGTACATTATCTATGGATAAGCTGGAATAATAACTCTTCACCACCCTACGCTAACTTTTCACCATATAGCGCCATGTACAGTGTCTATGGATAAACTGGAATATTTAATTTTTCACCACCCTACGCTAACTTTTCACCACCCTAGCATCATGTGCATTGTCTATGGATAAGCTGGAATATTAACTCTTCACCACCCTACGCTAACTTTTCACCACCCTACCGTCATGTACATTGTCTATGGATAAAGTGGAATATTAACTCTTCACCACCCTACGCTAACTTTTCACCACCCTACCGTCATGTACATTGTCTATGGATAACCTGGAATATTAATTTTTCACCACCCTACGCTAACTTTTCACCACCCTACCGTCATGTGCATTGTCTATGGAAAAACTGGAATATTAACTCTTCACCACCCTACGCTAACTTTTCACCACCCTTGCGCCATGTACATTGTCTATGGATAAGCTGGAATATTAACTCTTCACCACCCTACGCTTACTTTTCACCACCCTACCGTCATGTACATTGTCTATGGATAACCTGGAATATTAATTTTTCACCATCCAATTACAATACAGTTTATTGAAGTTAAAACGGGTATTATGTCCTATGTGCAGGCCAAAAATAATGACGAGGTTAAAATTCCAACGTAATTTGAATGATAATAATAATTTAGAACTTCCCTCAAAACCAAAAGGTTTGAAAATGTCTTTTTGTGAGAAAATAATGATCATTAGTTGTCGAATTGAATTTAGCGAGCATGCTCGTTTAATTAGTCTGATTTTTACATAATAGACAAATGTACATTTAGTACATGTAGAGAGGCGCGGATCCAGGGGGGGGGCGAGCGGGCCTTGCCCCCCCCCCCCCCTCCCGAAAAAAAAGGAGAGAAAGAAAAGGAAAAGAAGGGAAAGGGAAAGAGGAGAAAAAGGGGAAAAAAGAGGAAGAAGAAAAGAAAAGAGGGAAGAAGGAGATCGGGGGGCAAAAGGAATTGCCTCCCAGGCTGCTGCCCCCTCCCCCAATAAAAAAATAAAAGAGAAGGAAGGAAAGGGAAAGAAAAAAAGGAAAAGATGAGATAAAGGGAAGGAAAAAAGAGGAAGAAGAAAAGAAACGAAGGGGGATATCAGTTGCAATTTTCCCGATCGGGGGGGTGGAGGCAAAAGGCCCTTGCCTCTCTCCCCCCCCCCCCCCGTCCCCGCGTTAAAAAAAATAGAAGGAAGGAAAAGGAAAAGAGGAGAGCTAATAGGGAACAAAAAAGAGGAAGAAGAAAAGAAAAGGGAGAATAGAAGGGGAGATCAGTCAACAATGTGTGGACCGGAGTGGGGGCCAAAATGACCTTGCCCCCCCCCCCTCCCCCCCCCCCCCCCCCCCAGGCAAACTTAAAAGAGAGAGAAGGGAAGGGAAAGGGAAAGAGGAGAGAAAGGGAAAGAGCAAAAAGAGAATGAAGAAAGGTAAGGGATATCAGTTGTAATTTTCTCGTCAACAAGGTGTAAATCGGGGGGGGGGGGCACTGGCGTACTGATAGGGGAGGGGGGGCTTGGGGGGAATCAAATTCAAACGTGGTTTATTTCTAATTACATAACGGTGGTTTACAAATAATGATGAAATGACATAATTTTCCGAGATTTTTCATCACTTTTAAGTAAATTGTACTTTTGTATGCGTTTGTTGGAAAATGACAATTCCTAAATTTACATCCAGGCAAG